TACAGTCCTCAGATGCAATTGTTGAGATGAGCTTAGGAGACTGGGAAGGCTTCCATAGATCAGAGATTTACACACCTGAAACTCTAAGCTTGATAGAAAGATGCCAACCTGATTTCTCAGCTCCATCCGGCGAATCACTCAGACAAGTAGAGTTTCGGATGGTTCAGTTTCTGAACGGAACGCTCTTAGGAGTTGCAGAGAAGCTCAGGACAGAACTTCTTCCATCTACACATCACAACATTGCCAGAGGAGGGTTCCCACAAAGTCCGCACTCTATTCATCGCCCAAGCCTTACGAGGAAGAAGTCTGGAAAGACTCGGTTTCAGGTGATGAACACAACCGGTGATCACGAGGCTAACGAAGAGATATTTAATCATCAAAACGACGAGCAACATCTAGGTGATGTAAACATCAAGAGTTCCTCTTCTCAGCTCTCAACCTGCATTGGAGTTTTCACACACTCGTTACCTATAAAGTGTCTTCTCACCGGAATCCTCGGATGCAGCCCGGTAATGACACATAAGATATGTGTGGAGGATTCCTCCGTGACCGTGTTACAGCACTCGTGGAAAACAGGTTGGCAGGTAAAGCGGTTAAATGACACCGCTCATCTTAGACTGTTGTAGGCATCATCAGATTCTTTTACTCTCTTAAAAGCTCGAGCAACAACGAGCTGGTAAATTATTCCAAGACCTTCGCAAGCCATTTGAGTCTGCAGAAGAAGATCAACAAGCTTGCATATTACACATGCTACCGACACGAGCCTCTTGTATTGTTTGTTTTGAGAAAGAAAGTAGGAAAAAAAAAAAAAAAAAAAAAAAGCTAAGGGATTCATTAATTTTCATCTTTTGCCTCCTTGTTTTGTTTGATTCTTTCCAATTGCAAGCTTCCTAAAAATAACTTATGTAATTCTTATACTAATAAGTCAAAAAAAAAAAAAAAATCTTATATTCTTCTGAATCATCAGCAATTGCCATATCGGAGATCTCTGTAAGTTTCACCGCATTTCATTTACTTTGGGTAAGCTTTTCTGACAGAAAAACCACAAAAAGCTTTCTACATAGGTGGTGGAAGTAAAAAAGGTAAATGCAATCACATGACTTAAGAGGAAGAAACCAAAAAAAATAGGCATGTGAAACAGTTAAGGATCCATACTTTGGTCCGTGAACACATTCATTCAATTCTTTGTTTCTTAGTAAGACACGCACACACACACATGGGAACAAACGAATCTGTCTTCTTCTCTGTTCCATTATGTATACTCACTTGGCAAAGAGTATCTTTCTTTTGCAGAACAGAAGAAAAGAAAAGAAGAAACACCTATGGCTCTGTCTTCTTGCTTGTCGTTTTCCGTGTTTCTCTTGATCGTTGTATCGGTTCAATGGACTCGGGTTTGCAGTGAATCCACAATCTCAGCTTCTCCTGCTGTCTTACCGTACGTCAATGCACCAGATATGTCTTCGTTTTTCCCTTCACCGACCAAAAACCGGCCTTTCGATACAGCGGCCTCCCCTGTTCCAGGTGAAGACGCACCTGGTCCAAGTTCAGGCCAGCTTAATGGGAAGATTGCAGGCAGCTCGATACGGCTCCGTCCTGATCTTTCTTTGGGTCTCGTCATTGTTGGGATCTGTAGCTTTCTATCTTTGCTCTATTGATGCTGTAATCTTTGTGTTTCGCTTTTACAGTATCATCACTGCTCCTCCTTCGAGTCTTTCTTGTTCAACATATACTCGTTGATACAGTTGTTTTATATATATAATAAAATATACAATTATCACAGAGTGTAATTTTCTTAAAGTAGTCTAGTAAAAGTTTGGATGGAATACACATTCTACAGAGGTCATCAAACCCATTATCCATGTGACTTTTTTTTATGCTTCCGTATGATAACGAACTTTAGGAAAAAAAATACTTGACTTAAATCGCTTCGACTGTTAAAAGCAAAAAAAAAAATTAAGACAGTTAAATCCGCTTTAAAGAAAACAAAAGTAGAAACGGCAGTTTGTATTTTGTAATAACGAAAGGTTGAATGATAATATTTTTATTATGGAATGTTATAAGAGGTTAAACTGAACAAAAAACAAACATATTGTTATTCAAGAAGATAATATTTTTTGAGAAAAAAAGTAAGAAATATATCAATTTGGTTCCAAATTGCCCGATTTCGCATCATCACTCAGCTACAAAATACCAGTTTGCATGATTGCTAACTTCCAGATCAAATCGCTCGTTTCGAAAATACCAATAAAAAGCCAATAATGTTGTCATTCAGACAAAAAAAAAACGAAACAGAGTAATACTCCAAGTAACAAAATGACAAAAAGGGCTTTAACAACAGTATAATTCTCCTCCACATGTATCAGCAACTCATCGGAATCTAAAAAGACTCCGGCCAAATAAAATTACAGTAACATCTCTCCTGAGTGCGTCATTTTTCCTTCTTTTATTTTGAAAATCATAATATATTACGGAAAAAATGAAATATATAGAACATAAACAAATATAACAGATGAAGGCAGAGACAGAGAAAAAGCATCAAGCCATCCCTCATCAATTTTAAGCAAGGTTGATTGTGAAGGAGACATAAGGATGTGTCTCGGAGTCACCGGCTAATCCAGCCATGGCTCCTGCGTCCTCCTCGCTTTTCCAGTATAAACTGCATTTTTTTCATACAAAGAGACTCAACAAACTCAAATCGAAATCTCATCAAACTACTTAGATCTGATCAACACACTGGCCTCAAGGTCCCAAACTAATCAGGGCGGAATCAGTACAATACAAGTATGGTTTTACTTGGTTCTTGGTTTTTCAAAGTTTTACAATTTCTCTGTTATAAAGGTCATAACTATGACTTCAATTTTATTCGGGCGGATCAACATGAAACTGAATGTTAAACAACTTCCATGTATCCTACGCATAGAGCGATGAGTAGGCAGAGCCTTTTAACATACCTGTTGGTAGAATCACACAAGCGTTCAAGAATGGAGCGTACTTTCTTTTCACTTTTCACAACCGGAGATAAGACACATGCCTGGAAAATAATTTGGTCAGGGAAATAACAGGCTTGAGGGATTCTCTAGAAAGAGCATAGTTTGGAGTCTTAATTTACCAAGAACGCCGGAGGTAACCCATATCTCATAATGCTCTCAGCAAAGATACGAACAGCACAGAAATGCATCCAGGAGCTGAAAACCTACAGATATAAAGCAAACTATGGTATCGAATTTCTAAGACGATATTATAAGGTATAGCTGCTATACAGAGCAATGTGTAGATACCTCTCCATAACTGGTGTAGCACCACTGCAAAAGAGAGGTTCTCAAACTTTCTTGATCCTGAACCAACTTTTCTAGCTCTTGTTTGCGAGTCTCTTGTGCTTCAGCGCTGTGTTCAAAATCACGGACCTAAAAGAGAAATGGTGTACAACAGATGATGAGCTTCACAGAAATAAATCCAGTTCTAAGGAATATCACTACTACTAGGACATAATTAGTTTTAACTTCTAAGAAAGCTCTAGAGGTAATAACAGAAACTTGACCAGCATACTCACTTGGAACCCTTTCTCACGGGCACTTGTCCTGAAATTGTCTGCAACACGAGTAAAGAGAGTGACAGTGTAAAGAGCATACTCATTATCCTCAAACAATCTCTTCGAAGACCTAGGAACCTGAAAACAGTTAAGATAAATTAAATAAATTCACAATGCGACAGAACAATATTGTTGCGATTGGTCTATTCCATACACTCAACAAATTAAAAATTTACCACATATTCGGTTAATGTCTCGTAACATGCTAGCCAGTCCTTTTGGGAATACTTTGGAACAACTGCAAGGAGAGTCACGAGATGTTCTGAAGCGACTATATCTTCTGGCTTAACCAAGCTTGAGAGATCACGAACAGCTAAGCTGTAAGAAAAAGAAGGAAGATCAGCCACATTGCCATAAATATATTAAAACAGAGAGAAAGAGATAAAGACCAGCAGCATTATTCTCGATCATCACTTAGTATTAGTCTACAACCTTCACATGGTAGAACATAAGCTTACTAAGTGGCTGAATCAGAAAAGGAGAACAAAAGTTTACCTTCCACTCTGCTTTCGGTTAATGGCATTGAGTTGACCGCGGATATTATTATATTCAGCGACACGAACCTGAATAATATGTGCAATCAAAGTCGTCAACACCAAAAATTCATTTAATCACCATAAGAATTTTCTAACCATAATTTAGAACAAGAGCTACCAACTACTCTTCACAAAGAAACTCGCATTCTGCAGACTTTTATTACCAACGGATTCATTAAGCTAAAGGTTAAGCTGCAATACCTTGAGATCATCCTCAATCTTCGCAACCTGAGACTGAATATTGTCCACGACCTCCTTCAAAGGTGACATTGTTGGATACTTAGCTTCATCCCAGACAAACCTTGAGGCCAATAATAAAAAGTGTAGTCCTTTGACGAATACGATCACCACCAAATTAGTAATTTAACTCTCCGTGAGAGAAAAAAAATCAGATACCTGGTGAGATAAGAATCTACAGGAACTCCATCAACTGTAAGGGCGTTGCTCTCCACACCAGAAATCCTCTCCAATTCTTCGATCTGTCTCCTGATCTTTTGCGAGACTCCTTCCACAAAGCTGTTTGACTGCACATCTCAAGAGATCATCATCACCCACCAAAACTTCTAAATAACGATCCAATCGGGAGAGGAAATCAAAACGCAAAATGATTACCTTTAGCAGATCATCGCCGAGGGCGAGTAGAGAATCTAAGGTTCCAACCCGAAGATTAGGAATGTTGAACTGCGACAATTGAAATCAAACCCACGATATTAGACCGTAATCTCATCGTAAAACCATATTAACATCAGAATAGCACAAGATCTCTGGCAATTTCAATCGAATACAACAAATCGAGCAAAATCTGAGTACCCGATAAACTGGAGTATCAAATGAATGCTTGGAGATCTGCTCCTGTAAACGATTCCACAAGGAAGAAGCAGATTCCTTCACTGGCAGAGATACCACCCAGTACCTCGAAGTCATTGATCCTCAATCTCTTTCTTTCTTTCTCTACCTCTGTCTTCTTCTCCGATGGATCTGTACTTCAATCAATCCTCTCTGCCTGTCAAAATGGATAACCGGTTCGAAATATTTACATACGAGTAGAAAAACCAAACCGGTAAGATTGTAGCATTAAGCCGGTTTAGTAACCCCCAGCACGTTCTCCACTGACACAATCGCGTCCGAAATAGAAAACATCAATCAAGAGAAAACGCGCCAATGAGCTAATGGGCTAATGGGTTATTATGGGCTAATAGGGTATAATGGGCTATAATGGGCTATATAAGGTCCAAATAAATACGGTAATCGAGAGGGGAGAAGAAGAGTAGTAGCATAAAGCATTGAGAAACCTTTTAGGGTTACCGCGAAATTGACTGGAGCTTGCTTTAGCGATTGCGTCTGTTTGCTCAAACAAAGTTCCAACTCTCTGAATCGTCCTCGAACCCTCACTGCAATTCCTCTATAGCGCGAGGAAGACGATTCATCTATGGCGGACGTTGAAAACCAGCAGGAGTCCTCGTTTCCAGTGAAGCGGAAGCCGGATCTCTATTGCCAAGACCAGGATAATGTGGCAAACAAGTCTCAGAAGCTTAATCCCTCGTCGAATTCTGCTGATTCTGAGTCCAAAGACGGAGAAGCTAATGGAAGCGGCGTCGAGAATCTGAATTCTCCCACCGAGGAAAAGATAAAGACAGAATCATCGATTTCGCTGGAGAAAGCCGCTGCTTCTGTGTCCGAAAAGGATGAGAACGATCTAGGAGCTGAGGAGGAGCAAGAAAGTGGAGAGGAAGAGGAAGACGAGGAGGAAGACGATGATGAAGAAGAAGAAGAGGAAGAGGAGGAGGATTTGATTAAAGCGTCGATTGACAGGAAAGGTAAAGGCATCTCGAGAGAGGATAAGGGGAAAGGAAAATTGATCGAAGTGGAAGAAAGTGACGACAGTGATGATGATGAAGACGACGAAGATGGGGATGAATACGATGAAAGCGATTTGTCCGACGATCCTTTGGCGGAGGTGGATTTGGATAATATCCTCCCGTCGAGGACTAGGAGACGATCGATCCAGCCTGGAGTTTACATCTCCAATGACCGTGGTGGTAACAACGAGGATGGTGATAGCAGCGATGATAGTGACGCTTAAACCTAGCTTACGAGGTTAGTGCTAAGAAGTCAAGATTTAGTTCCTTTGATTCGAGAATTTGTCTCTCGTCAGTGATTATTGTCATAATCTATAAATGTTTCGAACGCTTGGACCAAAGTGGGCTATTTATATCTATGATGTTATTGCAATTCAACTCAATGCGCCTCTTGGGTTTTTCGATCTATAAGTATATCGATGCATAAACACTCTCATCTTTTCTCGATTCTGTGTGGGCTTAAAGATCGCTGCTTGTTACTTTTTCATTAGAAGCAAACTAGTATTGAATTGGTAATTTTCAAGTTTAGACATGTGAGATCTCCAACGAGGCCATGGATGATCCTTAAAAGTCTTGTATATCTGCGTATATGAGCCTTGTGTGAGAATGAGAATAGACTTCAGGATCTGTGACATCATGCATTGCAGTGAAAATTCATGAAGTAGATAATGATGCAGCCTATACTAAGTCTTTGAATAGACTAGTTCTTGTTCTCGTGTTCCCCTTGGTTGGTTGCAATGCAACCCAAGATCAAAATGGTATGAGAGAATAAGAGAGTACTAGAGATGATCAAGGTCATTCTACTGGCATGCTTTTGATGACGATGATGAGTAAAGATTGAAACTTTGAGTTCTCATTCTAATTGTTCTGTCTTCAACCGTAGTGAAGAGACTGATACTACTCATAGGATTATAAGGGGATGATAAAGTAGTTTTTGTATTGTAATGTTCATGAGGTCATATTCTTACATGTGATTCTATGCATGCTTGTGAATGAGAGTCCTATGACTGCTTCTCTAAGAATTTCAACTTTTTAACTTCTCAATTCAATCTATGTTGTTGCAGCGAATATTTCAGAGGGGTTAAATTGTTCTGCATAGATTCGTATAGTTCAATTATAGGAGTTACAGATTTTTGTCAGGAGAATATCATCATATCTCTTATGTTTTTAATGCAACAAAGAAAACTGGACCACCAGGGATTGACAATGAGAACTGAAAGAAATGGTTACTTTCCGAATCTCATACATACATATATATTACATATACGAGCAAATGTAGATCAATCTATCTATATATATGTAAATTATATGATATGGATGTGTGTGGTTGGTATGGTGATATGTGTAATGGTGTTTGAATTTAATAATTGGGACATGCGTCATCATGACTCTCTGCTTTTTGGGCCTTTGATTTTGGCCTTCGGCTTCATTGGATAAAAGGAAAAAGAATCTCATGAACCAACAAAAAGCTGGGAAGAAAAAATAAGTTAAGAGTTCTAGAAGAAGGAAAAAAACAAAAACTTTTACCGAGGATAAAGACCAGTTGATTATATTTCGGACATTCTAAATTTTGATATCCGTAATATGTTTTTCTTACAAATTTCTTGATATCCATTATCCGGGATTTACCGTTAGGTTTCTCTTAACGAATTTTATCATCTGTGAAATTTTCAATCGTATTAAAAAATAATTCAAAATTACTATAGTCGTCTAATTTATTCTAATAAATGATGAATGAGTCAATTAGCTCAATAAATACTCTAAAGTCTAAATAAATCTTAGTTTTGAAAATGAGGAGTCACATCCACATCCGAATTTACCAAGATAATTTACCCGCATTAACTAAGGTGAGATAGAGGTTGGTTGCACAGTAAAATCCAATAATTCAGGCATTATCTGAGTCAGCTAAAACCACTATAGCTGCTGGTGGTGAAAATGGAGATAATTAGTAAAAAGTGATGAGATAAAAAGCGAGCGAGAGGTGGCCTTCACATGGCAGCCATTGTAGCATATGATGGATGGGTCAAGAGAGGTGAAATCATCACTCGTCCCCTTTTTACACAGTAAATTTAACATTTCGGATAAATAAACATTGCATTATCTATTTAGAGAAGAAAAAAACATGGCATTATCAAGATATCTATCAAGAGAAATACAGAGGAGAACCAATCAAGAATGTAAAGCGTAAAGGATGATTTCTAATTTATGCGAAATGATGTATACTTTTTATATAGGTGATATAATTCGCTTAACAGAATAACAAACTGTCCTAACTAGCTAATCAACTCACCAATTGCAATTAATATTCATAATAATATCTTATCCAAACTCTAACTAAATCGAACCGAAACAATTTTGGTTGGAATTTGGTTATACTTTACTAGAACCAAACCAAATGTAACATAATTGACTATAAACCAACCTGAATATGATCAGATGACAAGATGGTAAAACTAGTTAGTTAATGACGTACTTATTGACTACGTATAAACACAAGTCTATTGGTAACTAGTAAGACTTATACATGAATATTTTGTGCGATGAATAATATAACTAAGCTAAGATATATTTGAATGAAATTTGATTTCACGCAAGACATCCAACGAGAATATTCTTTGAGGATTATGAGTTATGATGTTTGATTAGTTGATATATGTCCTAATTACTTACCAATAATTAATACCTATAATTTTTCATAATTTTGAACATTAGAGTTAACTGTTAAGCAAGAGAAATGACTCTTATCTTTCAACCCGTAATAATGATTTGGTTCGTGTACTCTTCTATACTAGCCCTCTCTGACTCTCTCGATGTAATAATTCGCAAGTGGGTGGTCTATTATTGAGTTTGATTATGAGCTTATGCCACTTTTTGGTTCCTTTAATTTGTTTCTTAAGGGTTTTTGTCTTGAGGTTTTGTCTATTTCTTCTGGATTTATAACTTTTTGGTCTTTAGAGAAGAGAATATACCTGAAGACAAAAGGAAAAAAAGAGAGAAGAGAATATATCTACAAAGTAACTAATACAAATATTATAAAAAGGTGAGTTATTCAATAATCTTATCTTATATATCTACCAACTCGAAAGAAAACATAGTTAGGATCAAATAATTCAGTTTCTGTTTATTGTTTAAATAATACTAATAACTATTGTATGTTTATCGTTTCAACGTTATATTACATAAGATTTACGAATTTATCGAGATTGAACCCTACCCATAACCACCTTTTGAAAAAGATGGGAGTTTGATTAGCTTTTTGATTTGTTTGGTTAGAGAAACCAGTATTATGATTATTATTTTTAAATATATATTGAAAGAGATAAAAAAAAAAATCAAAGTTCATGACCTTCTATTTCCGTAAATCCATCAATGGGTGTCCTCGTCTCAAAGACAAAATCAGCCAGCCTTGCTTATCTTTCTTCTCCTTTTCTTGTATACCCCATAATCAAACTAATTTAATTTAGTTGCTAGATTAATAATGAGATTTATCTGATTGATTAACTAATTTACATGAAAACGTGTCTAAAATGGTAATTACCTATATTCGTTGCAGTACGACTGTACGATGGGTTCTGTTTTATTTTTGCTAATTGTTGCACTTTCTAACAACCGTGAAAGATTTGATTATTTAACAAAAACAAAAGGATTGAATCTTTATATTTTCACTGAATTAATTTAATCCACATATAGAATATGATTTTAGCGAGTATGGAATATATATTTTTCTATTCGCCTGGGAAGCTATCAATGGCAAGTTCGTAATAATATTGAAAAGGTAGGGGCTATTTACATGTCCCTTGCTCTGACACTAATACATCACTTCACCCTTTCTCTTTGGCGAAAGGCCTCGTAACCAGTGGTCGCAACACATGCACACCATACCATTCTTCAACGGTCAAGATTCCTTTCGTGGCTATCCTTGGAACCAATATCCACCGTTGGATCATCAACCCCAAAGCTTAACCTAACCATGGTTAGTTTTTTTGGTCAGCTTAGGTTGGCTTTTCCTCTGGTTAAAATGTTTTTGAGTCTCCTTCCATAGACTAAAGAAAGAGAAGGAGAGAGAGTGTGTTTCTTTTCTTCTGATTCTGAGCTTTTTTTTGGTTTGCTTTGCTTGCGTGAACTCTCTCTCTCTCATCCAAATCTTTTGTTCATCATTGGACTTGGAAGCAGTCCAGAGTTTATCTATAGATTCATAATTCTCCATCTTTTTTTTCCGACTCTTTCTTCTTTCTCTTCTTCTTTATAAACATCAGCGAGTTTGGTTCCGACGACGATTGTAAGTCGCTTCATTTGCTCGAGGTTTTCAACTTGTTCGTCGTAGATCTAGTTGATTTATACACCTTTAGATCTGAATCTTCAACTTCAGTGTCTAGTTTATAGAGTTCACGATCTTGTGTACTCATTATTCTTTGTTTATCGAGCTCCGGATTTTCAAAATTGCTTTTTTTGAATACGAATCTAGCTTTCCCTCGCCTGAATCGAATTCAAATCCACGAGTCTTCAAGTTCCGGTGAAGTTTTTATAGAGCTTAGCTTCTCTGTTTTGTGAGCTTTTGAATTCAAATCCTGCTAGTGTGTGGATCTCGCTGTACCACGAAGCTTCGCTGTTAGGGTTCAGCAATCGATAGAGGAGATGAATTATTTCCCGGATGAGGTCATAGAGCACATTTTTGACTCCATAGCTTCTCACAGAGACAGGAATTCGATATCTCTGGTTTGCAAATCGTGGCACAAGATCGAGAGGTGCAGCAGGAAGAAAGTGTTCATCGGAAACTGCTACGCCATCGACCCGGAGAGATTAATCGGGAGGTTTCCATGTCTCAAATCGCTAACCTTGAAAGGCAAGCCTCATTTCGCCGACTTCAACTTGGTTCCTCACGAATGGGGAGGTTTCGTGCACCCTTGGATCGATGCTTTGGCTAGGGCTCGTGTCGGGCTCGAGGAGCTTAGGTTGAAGCGGATGGTCGTCTCTGACGAAAGCTTGGAGCTGCTTTCTCGTTCCTTTGCGAATTTCAAGTCATTGGTGCTTGTTAGCTGTGAAGGTTTTACCACTGATGGCCTAGCCTCCATTGCCGCCAATTGCAGGTAAACATGAAAAAGCTAAGCTTTATGTGTTTCTTGTTCACTTTCTTTTGATTGAGAAATGGTTTATCTTAGGCTCTGAGCAGTGAAGGTGTTCCCTTTTAACTCTTTTTTACAAAATGTGGTGTCTTTCTTGTTAGGCATCTTCGTGAGCTGGACCTGCAAGAGAACGAAATCGATGATCACAGAGGTCAATGGCTCAACTGTTTTCCAGACAGCTGCATCACTCTTACTTCGTTGAATTTCGCCTGTCTTAAAGGAGAAACCAACCTGGCTGCTCTAGAGAGGCTCGTCGCAAGGTCACCGAACCTGAAGAGCTTGAAGGTTAACCGTGCAGTACCGCTCGATGCGCTCACAAGGTTAATGAGCTGTGCGCCGCAGCTAGTGGACTTGGGAGTTGGGTCTTATGAGAATGAGCCTGATCCTGAATCTTTTGCGAAACTCTCTGCTGCCATAAATAAATGCACCTCGTTAAGGTGCTTGTCGGGCTTCTCAGAAGTTGCTCCACGCTGCCTCCCAGCGTTCTATCCAATTTGCCAAAACCTTATCTCCTTGAATCTCAGCTACGCAGCCGAAATCCAAGGCAACCACCTCATAAAATTTATTCAGTTTTGCAAGAGACTCCAACGGTTATGGGTAAGTTTGATCTCTGTTCATCTTTTACTGCCCTGATAAAAAAGAATCTAACTTGCTATTGTATAACGGTTCCTACAGATATTGGATAGTATTGGCGACAAAGGACTTGAGGTCGTGGCTTCGGCTTGTAAAGAGTTACAAGAGCTGAGAGTTTTTCCCTCTGATTTACACGGTGAAGAAGATAACGACGCAGCTGTGACTGAAGTCGGACTAGTCGCAATCTCTGCAGGTTGCCGTAAACTTCATTCGATTCTCTACTTCTGCAAACAAATGACAAACGCAGCGCTCATAACCGTGGCCAAGAACTGTCCAAACTTTATCCGGTTCAGGCTATGCATCCTTGAGCCAAACAAACCTGACCACATCACATCTCAATCACTAGACGAAGGCTTTGGTGCTATCGTACAAGCTTGCAAGGGTCTGAGACGTCTCTCTGTCTCGGGTCTCTTAACCGACAAAGTCTTCCTCTACATCGGTATGTACGCGGAACAGCTCGAGATGCTGTCGATAGCTTTTGCAGGGGACACTGACCAGGGAATGCTCTATGTGCTGAATGGATGCAAAAAGCTGAGGAAGCTAGAGATAAGAGACAGTCCGTTTGGGAACGCGGCGCTTCTTGCTGACGTGGAGAAGTACGAAACAATGCGATCCCTTTGGATGTCGTCTTGTGATGTAACGCTCGGTGGCTGCAAAAGGCTCGCGCGGGATGCGCCATGGCTCAACGTGGAGATCATCAACGAGAATGAGAGTAATGGGATGGAGCAGAATGAAGAAGATGAGAGAGAGAAGGTTGATAGACTTTACCTCTACCGAACAGTGGTTGGGACTAGAAAAGACGCACCGTCATGTGTTACGATTCTTTAGCCTCTCTACTGGTCATGTTGGTTTTTGTTTTAGGCTTTTGATGTACTTTAGGTGTAGTTTCTTTCAGACAAGAACCGATTCTGTGAAGCTTCATGTGTTTTAGACCTTTTTCGTTTTGGCGATTCTTCTTACATGCTATACTCTGCTTATTTTGATCTCCCTTTATATAAAGTACCAGATTTTGTCTATCAAATTGTTTTACCATAAATCAGCTTCTGGAAACTAAAAATCTGGAGAAAATATCAAGCATGTCATTTCTCAATTGATACATAAAAGTTACAGAGGACATACACAAGATAGCTATGTTTCTAATCCATGAGTCTACTCTCAAACAAAGAGGTACAACAATGACAGACAATGAAACATGACGGTACATAAGACATAGAGCGAGTTATTGTACATGTCTTCGATTGACATATAATGTGACTTTAAATGACAATAAAAATAAGTAAGAGATCCGCATAGAAGGGCATTGTCAGAAGCAGCATTCCTCCAACACACAGCAACAGCAGAGAGCAGCAAGACTGCGATTTGCAACACGCAGAAGCAAAAAAAAGACTCAGTTAATCGTAGCACGAGAATAAGTAGTATGAACAAAAACTTAATTTGTATTTTATCTAACAAACAAGCATTCATTCGAGTGAGCATAAGAAAGCTGCAGCAGATGAAATAGATACTGGATTATCTTAGGATTTATACAAACATTTTGGGTTTAAAATTTCTATAGCCATTAGGAGTTCTTAAGTGTGCCACTAGTTTTCTTGAAGAAATAAAAAAAAAAATGTCCAAAACTCAATTACTGAGTTTCACAAGCTGAACTTTTTATGAATAGCTCTAAATACACCATAGATGATAGATACCTTTCTTAGAGGATCAACAAAACATTCAGAGAACTAAATCTAAGGATTAATACGAATCTCTTGCACTCAAATTCCGATTAATGGCCATACAAACAAAAGGAAAACGGAAGTAAACTCTGGGTTTCACATTAAATGTCCAAGTTCAACTCACATTATGACTTTATCCAAACATCAACTCAAAGAATCTGGTTCTAATCAAGATCATTTGATCATAATATTCCCAAATTCCAAGAAACCAAAACACTAGTTCAATGAACCTCAAAACATTAATTGAGTGATCCTTTAAACCCACACGTTGCTCCTAAGGTGTCCACAGATCAATCTTTTGTCAGAAGAGAATCAAAAGAAGAAAAAAAAAAACAACATAAAGTCGAAATTCTCAATCACAGCTTTATACCCCCACACAACAAGTTAGCAAGGTTGACCCAAAAAAACGCAAGAATCGAATCAGTGCACACACAATAACGAAGCTTCGAAGAAACAGTGATACATAATGAGAAATTAATGGCGGGAATTAGAGAGACGAACCAGCCGCGAAGAAAAGAGGAGCAACCATTGTCATTATCCTGGTAATGGTGATGATCGTGCTGGTAGTGATTGTAATGCTGCGGAGGAGGAGGAGGAGGCGGTCCCTGATGAGGATAACCTCCGGCTCCGGCGAAGTAACCTTGGTAACCGCCTTCGTAAGGGCGTGAAGACGGTGGTGGGTACGGTTGATAACCGTGGGGCTGAGGTGGAGGATATCCTTCGTGATGCGGCGGAGGATAACTCGGCTGCGGCGGCGCCGATGGATAGCCCGGAGGAGGATAGTGAGCTTGGTATCCTATTCGTCCGAATTTTCAAACCAGATTTTAGAACCGATCAGAATCAGTTTGAATAAGAAAACTACGAATGTCCAAGGAATCGAATCGAATCGAATCATAAGAGAGAATAGAGATCACAAACCTGGAGGAGGATACGATTCCGGTGGAACTTTCTCGTAGCTCATTTTTTTGTTTTCAAATCAATTTTGCTTTCTGAGTTAGGAGAGAATCAGGAGAGACTATTGAGCAAAACAAATATATTTTCAGTTTCAGGGACTTATGTCGAAATGTTTAGCTGTCTTTTCGAGTCACGTGTCATTAAATCGTGCGCTCACGTTCATATTAGAATTGGGCCGAGCATTATTTTACATTCGTTTGAATAAAGCCTTCTAAAGTTTACCATTGGGCCTACCCACTAATTATTCGAGAGGACAACAAAAGAGTTACGTAAACAACACAAAATACAACACAAACCATATTATATGTTTAGTTTGTGAATGGCAACACATTGTTAAGAAAAAAACCACTATACTAGCAAATAAAAACCAAGAGATGAAAATACAAGAGCTACAACTAATAACCGCCGCCCATGCATATGCAACTGCGTCTGCGTTTTAATACTAAACGCGAACGCTATATTTGTTACGGCGAGAAGCATTGGAACACATAACTCTCATAAACACTACCGTCGGTGACCGAAATCTCTTTCTCCGGCCGAGATTCCGACATCCATGGATTGGTTTTTCTCTTTTCCGTTCTATTGCTTGAACCAAAACCTAGCCTCAGATTTTTTCCAGCAACGGCAGCAGCTTTTTTCTCCATTCTCCGGCGGTTGACATACTCTTCCGATATAAAGACATCCATTACGATAACTTGTATTCCCGTAAATACCCTTCGAAGAGATGGTAGAAAATTAAGGAATTAAGAAGTGAAAACCTTTGGGAGTGTTTTTAGGAAATGAAAGAAATGTTTTGATTCACACAGTCTGAAGTTTTTTGAAGGAACTGAAGCAAGAATAATTATTTATAGAAGGGGTAAAAACTGTGGGCGTTACTCGTTAGCTAGGTTCCATGTTTTGGCACGAATATTAAATACCTATACAATTTTTTTTTTTAACTGTTTTCCACATTATAGGATTCTACTTAACTTTGTTGAATGCTAGTTAATATTTAAGTGAAATAATTTAACTCATACAGTACTTCATTAATTAGTGGAACCTAGTTTTGATGGATTCGATGGATTTTGATACTGTAGTTTGTTTTCTTCAAAGGTGACATGATACAACCAATTATTCTGGTTGAAAGATGAACTTTCTTTGGTGCAACTTTTGGCCTTTTGAATTTTGATTAGTTCAATCGGATAAATTATAAACATTACCTATAGTGGAAGGTTATAGTTGATTACAGAGAAAATTCGTGCCCGATTTTTGTTATAAATTTATAATAATGGTTAACACAGATTTACCAGCCTAAAAAGACGTTAAATCAAAACAATAAAATACTTTTGTTTCTTCCAAACAATATCACTCCAATTGACATGATTAGTAGTAATTTCTAATACACACTTTTTATTGGAAGTAAATTTACCTATAAATTCCAAAAACTGGATACAAGGAGCTATAAACCATAAAGCCAAAGAGATATTGAGCGACATGGGTTGTACACTGTTTCGGAATGAAAACCGCGGTAGAACGTAACTTTCAGCTCAATTTGTATTTGATAAATTACACTTTTGCCCCTGCTCTAACAACAATATGGGCCGATTATAGGCCCCTAAACCAAATTCCTTAAGGCTTTAGTTCCAATATTGGTTTCTGTCCTCAAGTGTAGTTGCTGTACTACTGCGACGCGTGTCTGAGGAGAGAATTCTCAAGGGAAACCACGTCGTTTATGGGAGAATGGAGATTAATGGTTGACGTTCAAACATGTTTTAAAACGACGTGTTGTTCATCTCTAAAACAAAAGAACGGAAAGACGTTTAATGCAATCGCTTAAGCACTCTCACTCCTTCATCAACCACGTGTCTTTCCATCACTGGTAGAACCAGGAAGCGAAAAATATGCAAAGCAATACTGATAAAGCTTCTCCCTCCGCCATAGCCATTTCTCCTCTGTAGTCCACATAACGAGCGAGAGTGAGAGCTACAGCTCGAGTCACAGTCACTCGAGGTAAACGAGATTCGTGATTTTTATCAGACCCATGATTCTAGTTTGGCGAAATTATTATACTTTCTGGGCTTAATCAGAAATGGACGTTCTCGCCTTATCCTCTCCTGCTTCCGCCGCAGCATCCGCCGCACCCACCGCATCTATCTCCGGAAGTTTCCCGTTGTATCCTTCTAGGGTTAGGGTGAGAAGAAACCGGGAGAGTTTATTAGCTAAACAAAAGAAGTTTTTAGTTTCAGCTTCGAAAAGGGAAGAGCCCAAGCTCAACGAATGGGATCAAATGGAGCTCAAATTCGGCCGTTTGCTCGGAGAAGACCCGAAATTGACTTTGGCTAAGGTGAGATTCTTAAAATTTCTTCTGAGAATTTTTTAAAGGAAATTCGAATTTTGAAAGTCTTTGGATATCTATTCACGCCCATATTTTTTATGGTAAAAAATTATACAGATAGTGGCTAGAAAAGTGAATCCAGATGCTTCTTTCGTTGAAGTTGAGAAATCTTTCTACAAGAATAAGGGTAAAATTGCAGACATCGAAGCGATTCCATTGGATTGGTCAAAGGAAGATAAGAAGAAATCTAGTTCACTGGGTGGCTTGAATTTGGTGAAGCCAGTTCCGAAAAACGGAGTCCAATTCGAAACTGTGGAAAAGCCAGTGATGAAAAAGCCAAACCCTGCTCTGAAGAAGCCATTGGAGAGTGCTCCGATTGCTGCTCCTCCAAAAAGGACACTGCCTAATGTTATATTGAGAAAGCCGAGTTCGTACTATGTGAACAATAACGACGATGAGGAGTCTAAGTTGCGGTTGAAACCGAATCTGACACTGAAAATGAGGAATGAGAGGGAAAACGAGAGGTTTAGTGACATGACATTGTTGAGAAAACCGGAACCACTGAACGTTGATGCGGGAGAGGAAAATTCTGGAGATAAGCTTCCCAGTGATGGATTAACTATGGAAGAAGGAGAACAAGATGAAGGGGTATATTCAGAGTACACTCTTTTGGAGAAGCCAGAACCGAGGCCCGAGCCTGAGAATGTAGAAGAGGAAGCTGGAGATAGTGGAGCTGTGGAACTGCCGGAGATAGAAAATACATCAATTCCAACTGGTATGGGAAATACATCAATTCCAACTGGTAATAGATAGAGACAAGACTAAGACCTTTCACAAATAGTCTAAATATGGAGCTGATTAATATGCTTGTTGTTTTATCAAGAAATGCAGCTTAATAGCGAGATATCCTCGGGATCCTCTGAGGAGAAAACCATTAACAGTGATCCAGTCGAGAGAAGTCCTTCGAATCCAGTTTCTCAGACCATCGTAGAGGCTTCTTTACTAGGGAAGCCACAAAGGTTAACTCCGATTTAGTATCTTGATAATTCTGTTGTGGAACTGCGCTTTTCTTCCTCATTTCTTCTCGTTTTGATTGACTGGTTAATTTTGTTATAGATTAGACCCGTCTTCTGCAGAGCCATCAGTTTCAACCAGAGGACAACCATTGATCGTGAACCATGAAGGTCGTCAGGTCTCTGTTGAGCTCAAGGGCCCTCCTTCTAGATCTTCCTTGGAGGTTTTAAAATTAATACTATTTTACCATTTACTCGTTCATAAGATAAGAGGCATATCATAAACTCGTCTTGTGTGAATTTGATAGGAAAGTGATTGGAATAAGGCAGAGTCTCTAGTTAAGACAGAATTACGTGCAGATGTTGAGCTAATAAGCTCGAGCACTAGAGGATTTGCTGTAAGTAAGATCTGTACTTATTTATGGCTTCATAATTGCTTGTATTTTTTGGTTTGATACTCTGTCTTTTTTTTTCTGCTCTTCATGATTGCTTTTTATTCTGAACAGGTTTCCTATGGATCTTTGATCGGATTTTTGCCCTACCGGAACCTTGCAGCAAAATGGAAATTTCTCGCGTTCGAATCGTGGTTGAGAAGAAAAGGTGTAGATCCATCACTGTATCGACAAAACCTTGGAGTAATTGGAGGTCAAGATGTCACGAGTAAAGCTCCAACTCCAGATTCAAGCTTAGTAGATTCTGAAGTTGGGAACACAGTCAGTGAAGAAGTTTCTTCTGATATGAAGCTGGAAGATCTTCTTATGGTATATGACAGAGAGAAGCAGAAGTTCCTATCGTCTTTTGTTGGCCAGGTTTGACCAAAAAAAATCTCTGATAGTTTTGCTATCATAATTAGAGATGCTTCTTTATTCCCCCTCTAAAACAATTTTTTACTCAATGCAGAAAATCAAAGTGAATGTGGTTATGGCTAACAGAAATTCAAGGAAGCTTATATTTTCGATGAGGCCGAGAGAAAATGAAGAGGAAGTTGAGAAAAAACGAAATCTTATGGCTAAGCTTCGTGTTGGGGATGTTGTGAAATGCTGCATCAAGAAAATTACGTATTTCGGTATTTTCTGTGAGGTACAATACCAGAGTTTATCATATGTTTGTAGTACCTTCTTGCTAATAGACCCGCAAGAACGTAATCCAATTTGCTGTTAAAACTAAAAAGTTTGGTTAAAACAGCTAGAAGGTGTCCCTGCATTGATTCACCAGTCAGAAGTTTCATGGGATGCAACTTTAGACCCTGCTTCATATTTTAAGATCGGTCAGGTAATTTCTTGAACTATCTTAAACACGGCTAGATAAATAAAAAGTGGTTTGAAAAACGTTTTTTGTTGGTGTTATTAGATGGTGGAGGCGAAAGTGCACCAGCTAGATTTTGCTCTTGAACGTATCTTCTTGTCACTAAAAGAAATCACGGTGAGAAAGATCTCTATAAAGCTTCCCTTATAGAAATCGTTATACCATTTGATATATATCTAAACCCTTTTGATATCTTTATGCAGCCTGATCCTCTAACCGAAGCCTTAGAATCTGTAGTTGGTGGTAATGATCAGTTGGGAAAGTTACAAGCTGCAGAGCTTGACGCTGAGGTATTGTAGTCTTCTGTGACTATGTAATCAAACCATTAGTATACGGGTTTCTGAAAAAAAAATTCTTCTGCAGTGGCCTGATGTGGAATCTCTGATCAAAGAGCTGGAAATGGTTGAAGGAATACAATCAGTTTCAAAAAGTCGTTTTTTCTTGAGCCCAGGTCTCGCTCCAACATTTCAGGTACACAGTTTTATCGCATTTTAAACACATAATCCTTATAAAAAAAATGTGAACTTTTTTTATAGTTAGTTTTTTTTAACAATGTTTCCATGTAGGTTTACATGGCGCCAATGTTTGAGAACCAATACAAACTGCTTGCTCGAGCTGGAAACAGAGTGCAAGAGGTAAAGAAAGAAAGAGAAATATCTCAATCTTAATGTCCTGTGTTTAATTTTTATAATCTTGGATTATTCAGTTTTTTTGGACTGTTTATTGATTGCAGCTAATTGTTGAAGCATCGTTGAGTAAAGAAGAGATGAAATCAACAATCATGTCTTGCACCAACAGAGTAGAATGAGAATATTGTGGAAAGATTGATTCCACTGTTTTGTTTTATTCTTCAAAGTGGTATCACCCAAAGACTTAGTAAGTGTACAACAATAAAATGTGATTTCTAGTGTATAATTTTCAGAGTTATTGTGATGAGAAAAGGTAGAAACTGAAGAAAAGAAAAATAGAATTATCTCTCATTTGAGGAATGAAGTAGATTATAGAGTTCTTGTGGGGGAAACAAGAGAAACGTAAAAGCAGTGCTATGAACATGCTCAAATAGATAATTTATGAAAATTGTTAAAGACCAACCAAGTTGTTTATATTGAACCTAAAATGTTTGAGCCAGTATGGCCCATGAGGCCCAATCTCTTATTACAGAGTCATTTCCTTGAAACTCGCGCGCACGGTCAGTTTTGTTCGTCTTCAAAACTCTCGAGGTTCATCAATGGCGGCTGCGGGATCAAGCTACAGTGCCTCGACAGATCAAGTTCCGTCAACTCTCGTGAATCTAGGTACTCTTTCCCGTGAGAAAAATCCGATTTACTCCATCATTAGAGTCTAGGTTTTGCTAATTCTGTGCCGATTTTTTTTTTTTTTTGGTGCAAAATTCGGTGCCGATTTGTCAGAGGAAACACGACACTTGGCCTTCTATATATGTGATTCGACTCCGATTTGAGAAGCTTCTTTCGTTATCTTCGAATGAAACCTGGATTATATTCTGTATCTGCTCCTTTTGGTATATGAATGTCGATAACTTTTGGTGTGCTTAGGTTATTACTGTGCAAATTCCGGTGATAAATTTAGGGCTTAAATTAACGTAACTCCAGTTACCCCAAGTCACTTGGATTGCGATTTTATGCTTCACATACACGCGAATTGGCCTTCTACATTCGTGTTTGTACTCCGATGAGAAGCTTTCATTTTGGATAAAACTTGGATTAGTTTACGATATCTGCCAATTCTGATGTAATATCTCTGGGAAAGTACCGTAGAATTTGAGCTTCTGCTTTTGTTTAACTGTCAGGAAATGCTGCTGGTGTTTGTATAATGAGCAACGCATGGAAAGCTGAACAAGACCCTTCACTGATCAGTTTCATATCCTCATTTCTTAGCTCAAACTCTTTCCGTCTTAACTTTGTCTCGATTTCCCCTGTATGTGGCTTTCTCTGATAATATTCTTTTTTTGGAGAGTTTGATCTAAACTAGCTAAAGAATCACTCGTTTGGCGTGATAGGATCTGATCTTCAATTGTGGAGGCGTGTCTATTGCTTTTGTTTTTGTGACCAAATGGGATTGTTCCAATGTTGCCTCCATCTTCAGCAGGTCTACCATCCATGCGCATACTTTCAACCTGTCTCGATTCCGGTCTTCTTATTAGTCTGTTTCTTTCCTGATTTCTTTGATTTCTTAACCTTTTGCAGAGTAAAGAGGCTGAAAGGGCAATTTGCGCGACTTTACGTTATTGCCACACTTTCAACTAAAGAACAGAATGATTCATTCATGCGATCTTACTTCCAGTGAGTGGTCTACACATCTTATCACCCTGCACCACTATTACTTTTGCCGTAAATGAAGGTCCATAATTCTTTTCATTAGATATGAGATGGACTTTGGGAAACCTGCTTTTGTACCAGTCACTGATGCTGAGATGGGATTCGAGAAGATTGTTAAGATTTCTCACTCTCACGGGGGTAAAAACTCATTTGTTTAGTGTTAGTTAGATAGCTATGCTATTCTGAGTTATTGATTAGATTGAAACTTGAGCTGCAGTGTGCAAGCAACAGAAGGTGGCGTCTAAACTCAAGGTTGAGGTATGATGTTTTCAAAGATCACTCGCTGTAAGGATCTGTTTCAATATTCGTTTTGGCGACCTCTAAAGCTTTTCCTTCTTTTTCCTTTCATGTGAAGAGGAAGCGAACTGTGCAGGATACAAACATGTTCATCAGAGTTGTCACATCCATACCCAACATCAACAAACATGATGCAAACACGGTAACTTCAAACTTGTGCTTTGTACTTTTCTTGCATTGTGTGTTTGATTCATGCCGGTTCACGATGAATTCTGCTTACGTATATGTCCCATTTGGTTACAGCTATACCAAGCTATTGGTTCAGTCGAGGCAATCGCTAAAACATCCAAAGAAGACATATTAGCAAACACAGATCTCTCTTCCGACAAGGCTGAGATGCTCACCAGGTTTTTCCAAGATCCTGAGTTCTACCTCAGTCCCAAATTCAATTGAACCATCGTAAGATCACAAGTCTTGGCTGGAGATAAACTTGACAACATCTTAGAGTTATCCTGAACCATCTTGTACTTTCTTACGTTCGTTTCTAGTTTAGATCGTTTTTCGTGTCAGAAATTGATCAATAACCGAAATTTCTGATGTTTTAAGCAATCACTCGATGTAATAACACCATTCGATTTTTTTTTTTATTAATATTATTAATCTTGAATTTTTTTTTTGCCTCAGCTGAATCGAAATACTCGAGAACCAAAAATCTCCATCAGTACCCAAAATTGGGTACCTAAAATATCTATAAATTACGGATGAAGATAATGTTGATTGGACAACTCGTTAGCAACAAAAATGTTGTGGACAACTCTTATCTAAAAAATTGTTGACTGGACAACGTAATTATCCAATTTCAGCGTCACTATTTTAAATTAGTAATAAAAAATTATGCTTGATGAAGCACAGTAAGATCAATCCTTCTTCATTTGAGATTTACCGCGAAAAAAATATATCGCGCGTAGAATTTCTGTTGAACCAAAAAAATCTGTGTTGGTCATCACTAGCTATCGAAGGTTTCATATCTAGAAAAATACATTAGAAATATAAACTGCATTAAAAAAGACTACTTTTATATTTTCCCAAATTCCACCCGAGAAAAGAGACAAAATACACGATCAATAAGAGTAACAGAAAATCGAGGAATCAAAGCCATCATTATCTCTCAACACGGATCATCATCGTTGTCATCATCACCACTGCCGTTTTTATATAGAAACCAACAAAAACATCTTTGAGCCCACTCCCTTTCCTATTTTTCGCTTTGCGTGCATTCTTATCAACTTGTGAAGAAAGCTACAAATATCATTAAATAAGGACCCAACTTTCTTGTGCCTTCTTCTCTCTAATCTCCTTCATTCGCTGTGATCTCCTCTCTTCTTTTTATCCAAAAGAGTAGTTTCCAAAAGTGCAGAAAGAATCGATCTTGCGAAGTGGGTTCTTTGATAATTTCCAAAATGGGTTCTTCCGTGGAGCAGAACATTCTTGTCACTGGTGGTGCTGGATTCATCGGGACACATACCGTTGTTCAACTTCTGAAAGAGGGTTTTAAGGTTTCGATCATCGATAATCTTGATAATTCTGTTATCGAAGCCGTCGATAGGGTTAGGGAGCTTGTTGGTCCTGATCTCTCCAAGAAACTCGAGTTTAATCTGGTAAGTACTACTTCTCTGTCTAGTCTGAGTTTTTTCTTCCGAGAAAAGCTGATGAAGGTGTTGTTTTGTGAGGTGAAATTCCTGCTCTGTGATTTGTATGATTTGGTCTCTTTTGTACGTTTTTTTGGCTCTCTGGAAATGGAAATTGGATTCTTGCAAAAATTCTTGTCTTACCTTTTCTGGGTTTGAATTGAAATTGTGTTTGATCACTGAAAAAGTTCCGCCTAATTTATGTTCTGGTGTAGAGAATTTGTACTTTTGCCTGATTGCATGCTTGATTAGAACCCAATTTGAGTTTAAAACAGAGAATTTAATTCTCTTTACCGTACCCGCATGAAAACAAGAAAAAAAAAAACTTCACATTTTCTCGGTTTGGTTCGTAAGAAAAATGGAAGAACTTTTAGCCGTAGACTTGTAGTTGTTTGCTTTTAGTACATTGGTTGTTGGTTTTCATTTCTCTGGAGGTTGAAATGATGTTGGTGTTGATTGATTACAGGGTGATCTAAGAAACAAAGGTGATATTGAGAAACTCTTCTCCAAACAAAGGTATGTTAGATTCATATCTTGAAAGTCTCAAAATATTTTCATGTCTATAGTTCATAACGTTTCTGGCTCTTTTGCTGTAAATCATTTTTCTTGTGAGGAAACAGATTCGATGCTGTGATCCATTTTGCGGGTCTTAAAGCTGTGGGTGAGAGTGTTGGAAACCCTCGCCGCTACTTTGACAATAACTTGGTCGGAACAATCAATCTGTATGAGACCATGGCAAAGTACAACTGTAAAATGGTTAGATAGGATTCTACAACTTCACAAGTCTTTATTTCAGATTTTACTTTCTTGTTCGACTTTACATTGGTGTGTTGTTGGAATATACAGATGGTGTTTTCATCATCTGCAACTGTTTACGGACAACCTGAAAAGATTCCATGCATGGAAGACTTCGAATTAAAGGCTATGAATCCTTATGGTCGTACTAAGGTATATTTCAGCACATCTAAATTTTAAGTCTTTAATCTCAAAGTCTTTGTTGTAGATCCATAATGGTGAAAGTTGACTTGATTGTGATTGATACCTTTAAATTTCCCCAAACCTTACCTGATCCAAGAAGCCTTTCTTAAGCCTTACAAAAGATAACAATGCTCGATTGTTGAAAGTCATTATGTGTTCACAACCTCTTTCTTGTACAGCTCTTTCTTGAAGAAATAGCTAGAGATATCCACGGAGCGGAACCAGAATGGAGAATTGTTCTGCTGAGGTACTTCAATCCCGTGGGAGCTCACGAGAGTGGCAGAATTGGCGAGGATCCAAAGGGAATCCCCAATAACCTCATGCCTTACATCCAACAAGTGGCCGTTGGAAGACTACCTGAACTCAATGTCTATGGACATGACTATCCTACCGAGGATGGTAGTGCGGTAAATACAAATCAGATCCCAAAATCTCTCATTCAGATTTCTGATGATAGATCAAAAAGCTAGTTTTGGATGGCTTTCTTAGAATAACTGTAAAGGATTATTATTTTAAGAAAGTTAAAGAGGATGTTTAAAACAGGTCAGAGACTACATCCACGTGATGGATTTGGCAGATGGTCATATAGCTGCGCTAAGGAAGCTATTTGCTGATCCAAAGATTGGTAACTCTCTCAGAAACTTAACTGTTTAAAGTTTTGATTTTTTATTTGATGGATTCTTCTCAGACATGTTTTGTTGTGATGTCAGGCTGTACTGCTTACAATCTAGGGACTGGAAGAGGAACGTCTGTGTTAGAAATGGTTGCAGCTTTTGAGAAAGCTTCCGGCAAGGTAAACAACAGCGAATGAAATCAAACGGGTAACTGAGTTTTGTATAAATGGCTGAAACAAGAAAACACATTTGCAGAAAATCCCGATCAAGCTCTGTCCGAGAAGGTCAGGAGATGCAACAGCAGTTTATGCTTCAACAGAGAGAGCTGAGAAAGAACTTGGCTGGAAGTAAGTTAACTCTTTCACCATTAAACGATTGGTTTCATTTGGTTTTAAATTGTTATCAAATGATCTAATTTTGGAACAAATTGTTATAAGGGCAAAATATGGAGTGGATGAGATGTGCAGAGACCAGTGGAATTGGGCAAACAACAATCCATGGGGTTACCAGAGGAAGCTTTGAGTGTACTCTCTCTCTGTTTTGTTTGGTTTTGTTTTAGTGACCTTTACTAATCACTCAATATAAACGAAAAGTGTGTATACACATATTATAGTTGTGCTTTAATTTTCCATGTATCGAACGAGTCTTTTACTTCGATGAATAAAATAGCAAGTTGATTCTATTGAATTTTCAGTTGTTTGTTTTGCTTCTTTTAGTTCCAGACTGATAAAATGGATTCAGTGTCTTTTAACTTAACTACAATGAAAAAACAAAAGGCGTTAAGCCGTACATAGAGAAAGGAATATATAAATGATTCTCATACATGTGTCAGAGAGAACAAGATTCAACTACATAAGAAAAAATGGAGATTATTTTATAACCAATCCCCATGCTATGCCCATTTCAAGCTATTTGATGCCTAGAAAACAACAAATCATAGCAACACAAGGAGGTCCATTTCAAAGCAGCTACGATTTCCTTCAAAAAGAACCACCAGATCAAGAAAGCATATCTAGAAAGCCTTTGTCTATATCACCACTCGATAGCATGTCAACAACCATCTTTGTGGTGGAAACATCTGCACAGAACCCACAACTCTTCATTTCTTCAATAAGTTTAGCCGATGCGACTAAGTCACCATCTCGGAGATGTGCCCTAATGAGAATGTTGTACGTACAACCATCTGGCGCATATTCATCCTCTTTCATTTTTTTAAACAACAGATCCGCTTCGGACACTGAGCCTTTCTTACATAGTCCTCCAATCATTATAGTATATGTTCTGACATCAGGCTTCAATCCTTTGATAGGGAGGTTACAGAATAAATCCCATGCATCATCGACCTTACTTGCATTGCACATCCCGTGAAGGATGATATTGTAGATAGCAATACCAAGATCCATTTTACTCTTCTGCATTTTTCCAAGTATTTCCAATGCCTTTTCCACTTCTCCATTGTTACACAAACCATCCAACAAAATACCATAAGTCAGAATACTGGGTGGCACACCACGAGAAACCATCTCTTGGAAGAGTTCTTTGGCAACATTAATTTTTCCCGATTGAGAAAACCCCTTGATGAGAGTATTATAAGTGACTGTGTCCGCAACCACTCCTCTCAGAGACATTTTGCGAAAGAGTTCCAAACCATCGTCAACTCGGTTGGCCTTACAGTATGCATTTATAAGGGAATTATAAGTCACGACATTAGGATCGCATCCCTTGCTAACCATCAGATCCAGCATCTGGTTGGCCTCATCTAGGCGGTTCTTCATGCAAAACCCATTTATCAAAGAAGTATAAGTAATGGTATCAGGAGATATACCTCGTTGATCCATCTCCTTATACAATTCATTAGCTTCTACAAGTTTTCCTTCTTTCACAAAACTATCAATCAGCGCATTGAAAGTGAAAACGTCGGGGGTTATTTTCCTAGTGATCATATCCCTCAACAACTGTGCACCATCATCCCATCTATCGGCTTTACAAAGTCCTCCTATGAGAGAGGTGTAGGTGATAACATCTGCCTTGATCCCTTTCATTTCCATTTCATTGAAAAGGTTGAGTGCATCGACGAAGCTCCCATCTTTGCAAAGACTATCAATGACGATATTGTAATTGGTTTCATTGAGTTTGATCTTTCTTCCTTCCATCTTTTTCAGCAAATCCATGGCCAAGGCAGTGTTCCCGGACTTGCATATTCTGTTTAAAATCGGCCCGTAGGTAAATGCATCAGGTTGGCACCCATTTTCCACCATTCGATCGATTAACTCAACCGCTTCAGACACATTACCTTTGAGACAAAGTCCATTGACAAGAGTGCTAAGCGTAATGAGATTGGGCATATGTTCCGTCTCTACCATTCGATCAACTAATTCCACAGCTTCAGAGACTCTACCCACGAGGCATAATCCATTGAGGAGTGTGTTAAATGTGGTTGTGTCAGGCTCATACCCAAGTTTCAACATCTTTCCCAAAACAGAAGACGCAAAACCGAGATTACGGCGCCGGCAGAAGCAATTGATCATAATAGTCAGTGTGTAGAGGTTATGCGCAACCCCATTTAATTCCATCTGCTTGCAGAGAGCTAACACGAGATCATACTGTTTCGTTTTGGCAATGCCACTAAACAATCTGCTGAAATCTATGATATTAGGAAGAGGACGAGACCGAATCATGGATTGGAACAGATCAACAGCATCATCCTTCTTGATATCGCTAATCCCATTCTTTAACATCTCTCTATACGAGAGTTTCCTATCGCCATCGCTGCTGACACCAGAAAAGTCTCTCTCACAGAGATAAAAGAATGAAGAAGAACTCCAGGAACCTGTCTCAGGTAAACGGGGATGAACAAATTTGAAAGCTTTCGGACTCCTCCGTCTCCGTATCATCAACATCATCATCATCTTCAGCTCAAAATCGTTCCTTTTACCAACTCTCACTCACTCACTCACTCTCTGTAAACCCTATGGAGAGCCATGGCATGAGCTCAAATGAATTCCCGCAACTTATCAACCGAACCAGTTCAATTTCGGTCGGTTCAAAACATACCGGAATTGGTTTAATCGAATGTAAACCAAATTGGTCAAAAACTCAAATAATAACACAATCGCCCACAAGTTGCTTGGTGAAATGCCTCAAAGAACTGCTGTTTCCTAGAATCCAATGGTTTTTTCGGACACGCGTAAGTGTGTATTTGTTCTCAGAGTCGTGTAAACATGGAATTGCAAATGTTTCCAGATTTATGGCATACTGTAAATTCAACACTACATGTTTTTACGCTAGTAGTAAGCAAATATGTTTAGGATATAAAAAACAAAAAAAAATAGAGACAAAATTCTGAATTTGATTATAATTATAAAAGTATCTGAAAACTAGAAGAACAAAAGAAATATACATTCTTTGGTTCTTTACCTAATAATAGCTTTATCCTCCTCAGTGACAACAAGCTCTCCATCAACAAACTCACAATACAAGAAAGGCAAACCAAGCTGCTTCTCCATCTTCTTCACTATAAACACTTGTGATTCCTCACACACTGTAACCACCGTCCCTTTCCTTCCCAGCCTCCCCGTCCTCCCAGCTCGATGTGCATAGTGAACTGCATCTGTTGGAAGTTCAAGATTCACCACTAGATCACATTCCGCAACATCAAGACCTCTAGCCGAGAGCTCGTTGGTCACAAGTACCCTAACTTCCCCGTTCTTGAACTTCTTTAGAACCGTTGATCTCCCTAGCTTCCCGAGATCTCCGTGCAGCTCAGCGCAATTCATACCACGAGCTTCGAGTTTGTAGACCACGTCTTTGAGCTGCTTCGAGTGGTTCATGAAAGCTATAACCGATTGGGCCTCAAGTGCGTGAACACATCTCCTTAATGCGTCGACTTTGTGTTGATGTTTTGAAATGCAGTAATAGTGTTTTAACGCTGGAGGTAAGCTCTGAATAGTAGTCTGAATCTGGCCATCAGCCTCAGAAGTTGTGGGAGTTAAGCTAATTGCCGGTGCAGATGGTTGAACGGTATCAAGAGGAGTGACTTTGTTGGCTTGGACCAGAACCGGCTCGTGACTCCAGCTCTTAGCTGCTCGAATAACCGAGAATGGCACAGTTGCAGAGACTAGAATGGTCTGCCGTTTAGCACGTTCATCAACTTCCCCTTTAGGACCAGCCCCGGATCTCTTTCCTACATGTTCTAGTATCCGATGGATATCTTCTCGGAAATTAAACGATAAAAGCTCATCGACTTCATCTAGCACCAAGAATCTACACCCATGAGTGTGCAATTTCCCGCCTTTGCTTATCTCGGCAATTCTCCCAGGAGTGCCAACTACGATTGCAGGTTTATTTTTCTTAAGCGCCTCTTCTTGCCTCATTCGGTTTGCACCTCCGACCAACTGCTGAACCATTCTACGGTGATCAGGTCCTAGCAGTTTCTCTACCTCTCTTACTATCTGCATAGCGAGCTCTCTTGATGGAGCCACGATCATTGCTTGAATCTCTGCTCTCTTCTCGCTTTCACCAGAGGAGCTTCCAGCTTTTCCTGCTAGTGGACCAATTTCGGATAGTATTGGAAGTAGATAAGCCAGGGTTTTGCCAGATCCTGTATAAGACTGAATCACTGCATCGTGACCTTTGATTATGGCTGGGACAGCTGCGGATTGGACATCTGTTGGAACAGAGAAACCTTCTCTTTCCAAGCTGTTTAACAATGAATCTGGGAGGCCAAGCTCCTCAAAGGATTTCGCAGAAAACAGAGGCGACACTATCTCAGCTGGTTTCTTCTCCTTCACTACTTTCATTTTATCGTTCTTTGCTGCTCTTACCTTACCTTGACCCATCTCAGTAACAAAACTTCCCTCAAGCTTTACCGCCTTACTCTTCCCCGATTTCCTTGGTTTGTTCCCCAGTTCAAGGCTTGCAAGAGTAAGAGATCCATTCTCTTTCGCAGCATGGCATAAAAAACGCGATTGGCGATGGTAATTAGCTGCAGCAGAACGCCATGATATCTTTCTGACGGTTGAAAACTCTTTGAGCAGAACAAGGAACCGAGATGAAACTGATGCCGCCATGTCACACTCTCACTCGTGTGTGCTTGCTAACAAAAAAAGAAAGCCTCTTTATCACTCAGGACAGCCTGAAAAGAGCATAGGATCCGCATCAGATAGATAAAAATCATTCGTGAAATTCGGATTTATACAGCAGTCAGAAATACAATTCACAGATACACGAAACGGCTGAAATGAAAGACATCAGCTTTGTGAACTCGGGAGACAAACTGCTAAGGTTTTTTAAATCTAGTCATAGTAATATAATTCAAATGGGTTATCTTAGAAGGAATCAGTTTATCAAACACCAAACAATATTAAGAAAAAGAAAAAATAAAAGCCAAGCCAACACTGGGGCAATTCGTCGAACACCAGGCGGGCGTGAAGAGCATCATCACCGAATAAGCACATTTCTTGGCAGCTTCCACCACAAACCACGCGATTTTTGGCAAAACCTTGCAAACAATCCACCCTAGACTCATAGTTTCGTATCCCAGCAAAAAAAGAAAAAACTTTGAAGTAATTCAACACTAGAGATAAGATATGGACCGAGTCCAAGGCTAAGAAAGATTGTAGCCTTAGGCAGCAAGAAAGTAGGAAGCTGGACGTAGCAAGGACAGAGAATAGGAAAGTAAAGAAAGGTACCTGATTATAATCTCCATGAGACGCTAAGGCAGTGGTCGAAGCAATAAGAGGTAAACAAAACTTTCCGTCTTGATTTCTCTTCTCAACTCCACACTCCAGTCTCTAGATAAAAGGTTCTGCTTTAATTTGACCAAACCGGACCCAAAAATCGGTCTGAAACAAACCGGAATACACATCCTCGATTTCTTTCTTTATCACAAAAGGGACCTCAGGCTTTGACTTGATTTTTATTTTTGTCGGCTATTTGATTAAAGCCCAAAGGTCAAAGAATCGGTACAAATATAAGCCCTTTTCATAAGTCGCTCCGAATCCATAAGGACTTGTATCCTTGAAACGTTGGCTAAGGTCAGATCATGCGTTGTGAACTTGTGATGTTGGACCTCGAGTGTGGTGCACTTGTTATTGAAATGTTCTAGAATTTCCTCAAGGCTATAAGGGACCATCATTCAAGGAAATGGAGAAGATTATGACCCTTGTTTCCGACTGCATTCGTGTGCTCTGTATGATGTTTTTTTTTGGGTACACTTGTGTGATGGTATATATCAGAACTACTCGTTAAAAAAATCTTATGCATGAGGACCTAGACCAAACTGGAATTGACTCCCGATCAAAATCTTCGTTGGCCTATCTCCAGATAACGAAAGATCTATGATCATGAAAATCTCTAAGATAATTTGAGGTCGACGCAGAGAGAGAGGTAATACAAAAGAATGGTTGCACACTTGCATGTGAAAGAAGATAGATAGATATAATAGATGTACAGACCTGATTTCTTTCCAAACTCAAAAAAAAAATTGTAAAATAAAAACAAACAAAAGTAAATAACTTGTATAGATATCATATCACAAACAATGCATCGTATCTAAAACACCAGCCGTGTTTTACCTTTGACCCCAAAGTTTCCTGATCAAATGTTGTGAGGGTTCATGAACAAGCAAACTGTTTCTTCTAGACTTCCTCTCGATCCAAGTTGCTACTCTTAAGGATGTTGTATTTGCAGAGCGGGCAAGTCGCGTTTATGTATAACCATTTGTCTACGCATGAGCAGTGGAAATGGTGGCCACAGGGAAGTTCCCTTAGTTCTGTTCCGTCTTCATAAGCAGAGAGACAGATGCAACATTCCTATAATGCAGAATTATTAGAATCAAAAAGCATAATCTATCTTAGGTTTGATCTTCAAGGTGTGGGTTATAAGATGAGATGAGTCAATTGTCTGTTATCATGTATACTTACTGCATCCTCCTGCAGAAGAGTATGTTCAACGGGTGAATCTGTACCACACTCGGTCATTATTCCCTCGGTACTTACTTGGGCTTCATCACCAGCGTGTTTGTTGACATCACCAACTTTTCGAAACTTGAATTTGGTGAGCTGCTCAATGTCTTCTTTTGAAGCTCCTTCCTGTTTTTGATCGTAATGTTAAAACAAAATAGCACAATATAGCGATTTAGGTTATAAGATGAGTGTGTTATCAGAAGTACCTGATCGGCCACTGCGTATAAAACTGCAATGATGCATGGCAGGCAACAGCAAACAGCAATGCCAATAACACAGGCCAACGCAACACAGAACACAACAAAGAACACATCGAAACCAAGAAAAACGATAGACAACCTGAAATAAGTAAGACATTCAGATAAGTTAAGGAAGAATCATAGGTTTACACTGATGAAATAAGAGATGGAGGAAGGACAAACCAGTAAATCCGCGGGGATTCTTGTGCTAATTCTTGGCCACCAGCAGATACCCAGTAGAATCCAATGATCCACCATATAAATGAAAACATTGTGTTGGCAGACTCCAGATGCTTTGCAACACTGCGACGGAAACGGTAAGTGAAATAAGAAAACACAACCCGAAACATGTATCACCCTTTTGGACTAGTAAATGCAAAGGCCAACGCAAAACAAAAAGGAGCATGTAGCTCGGACATCTGAATCAGTGTATGATTTACCTATGTTGTGTTATAAGGAAAAGAGTGAATCTTTTGTAACTATCTAACCCTGACAGAGATAAGATGATAGTAACTTGGAAATCAGTTGATCGGTAACACCATATTTTCTCCAAATTTAATCTCAATTAGATTGTACAAGATTTAGCTAGGAAACCACTACAATTTGGGAAAGAATCCGAAGATTATAGAGTAAACAAGCAATTTGATCATCCAAACCAAAACTCCATCTTCTAAGTGATCCAATCTCTTCTTCATCAACTGATAAAAACCGCAAATTTAAGTGCAAAGAGCCTGAGTTTTTAAAAGCTACCAAGTTCTGCAAGTATCCACTTATCTGTCATTTGAAATCTAGACAAGCTTGAGCCAGAATACACATAAAAATTCCTCAGGCAAACATCTGATCTTCTTAAGAAGTCTTAAGGAAAGAAGAATTCAAGCTACATACCTGCTGCTTTCGCTCTCCAACTGCCCGAGCGACAAGTCCTGCTCCTCTGAATTCCTCCTCGAGCCCAAAGCATCTTCCTCCAAAGACGAAGAAGAAGACGAGGAGGAAGAAGAACGAGACCGTGGAGTCCTATTTGTTCTCATCCTGTTCCTCCTCCGATACTCAACGCAGACACAAACCATATGCAGAACGCATTGCAAAGCATAACCCAAGAGCCAAACTCTGAGCGGCATGATCGGATGTTCATTTCGGCTCATCACAAGAACAGCCGAAGCGACGGAGACGAAGGCAAGGTTCCACACGATGTCGAGCACCACCACAGGCTTCGAGTAGGCCCAATCGCTCTGCCTCTCCTCGAGCTGCTCCGCGGCGGCCTCTCTCACAAGCATCGACGGCTCTCGCATAGCCCGTCCGCTACTAGCACGGCTCAGAAACCTCGCAGCTTCCCTCAGCCCCTGTCTCCTCACAGATCTTCGTTCCCCACCGTTCCCGGAACCTCCTCCGTTGCTGCTTCCTTCATTATCATCGCCGCTCAAAAGCAAAGGTGCCGGATCGATGGCGTCGGTAGAAAGATGGCGAGATGATGATGATCCTGGCAGCGATGAGGAATTCCCCGTAGTCTCCGTTGACATTGTCGTGTTTTTTTACTCCCCTAGATTCTTCCCAATAAAAAACTTAAATCGTTGAAATTCGTGTAGCGTTACGCCATAAAAAGGCAAGGATTCGATCTCAGAAAGCGAAATTGGAATTGCTAGGGTTTCGATCGTGCAAAGAGACAGAAGAAAGACGAGAGGAGAGAGAGAGAGAGAGAGAGAGAGAGAGAGAGAGAGAGAGAGAGAGAGAGAGATGAAGATGATGATGATTAAGAAAATTAACAGGAAATCTCATTGACGAATACGAATCGGTAAATATTGATATTTGAATCCTCAATCATTTAATAGTCTCATGTGGTCCCTTTAGTCAACAGTCAACAACCGGACAAAGAACCGGGGCTGTGAAATAAATATCGAGTATATATGGGTTATATTTTAAAACTTTACAAGAAATGTGTATTAAATTCATATTATAATCTTTTAGAGGACCTTGAAACCAAAATAATCACATAAATTGCAAATGCTATATCCACGCGTGGAACAAAAAACAAAATGATTTAATATATATCCACCGGACGACTAATCCTCCCTGCAATGTCCCTAGTCCCTACAATAATGGTGTCTTCGTCAATAGCAATTCAGGAACATTGTTCCTATATTCTTGAAAGAAAGTTTCATGATCAGGTGTCAGGTGAGAAACTAAACAGGTAAAATTGAATCTCTGAACCTAAAATCCTACCTGACCTTTGTAATGAACCGTAATTATCCGGTATGGTTAACCGGACTTGTAAAACATCAAAATCAATTTTGACTGGATCAAAATGTTTGTCAGGTATCAAAATGGAATAGTGCAAGGCACATTATACAAGAGTCTATTTTTAAATATCCCTTATTGACATTGCCCGTATGACTTTTTCTCTCTCTCAACAAACTACGAAGATAACAGAATACGTTACAAAAAAAAAAAAGAACAAATTAATATATTAATACCAATTGAATTCACGTCTGAATTTATTTTCTCTCTGGTCTGAGATTTTGATCAGAAAGAAAAAAAAGTTAAAAATCTTGAAGGAGCTGCCACCAGAGATCATAACTTTGTGGATACTCTGGAAAAAAAAACAAAATTTTCCGTTAAGAGAATCGACTCGACGGTTATATTTTTCCAAATTCAGAAAAAGAGAAATCTAGAAGAGAATTGAAGGTTAAAGACTTGTCCTTGAATCTCTAATAATCGATGCTATGTTTCATGTTTCCTCTATAATTCATTGTCTTTGATCTGTTGATGATACAAAAAAAAAAACAGAGAGAATGTCGAGTAGGAAGAACAGAGGGAAGAGCCAGTGGACGGCGTGGCTAACTCCGGTGATCGTCATTGCTTGTATCGCCGTCTTCATCGTCGTCATGTTCATCAACGACTGCCCCAAGACGGCTGCTGGCGCCAACGGAGATTGCGTGGCAAAGTTTCTCCGCAGGTTCTCCTTCCAGCCACTAAGAGAGAACCCTCTCTTGGGCCCATCTTCTTCAACGTAAGTTTCAAAAAAACCTTCAAATCCTGGAGATTTTGGTTATTTGTCCGTTTCACTCCAAAAGCCCCAAAAGTCTCAGTTTTTCCAAGTTTCAAGATTTATGATCAGTCTGATCCTATACTGCCTAATAAATCAGGTTCAGGCTTGTGAGTTATTTCAAAAGTATCATTTGTTCATCATTGTTTCCAAATCTGCTATTGATTTTGGTCTATTTGACGCTTTACAATTCAAGTTCAAACTTGTTGGTATCTCAAAAAAATTTCATTTTTTCATCCGAAATTATCATTGCCTAATAGCTACTCTGTAAATTGCTTTGAAAAATAAGTTCATGTCAGGTTGATTTCAGGACAAACTCTGTTCTTGAGATAAAGATTGAGCCTTTTCCTCTGTTGTCTAAACCACATGTGAATCCAAGACCTTGACTCTTATCTTTGGGGACGAGGCTGGATTTAAGATTGTGAACTTCATTAGCGATGACGTCCGTAATGTTTTGGAATTGTGGTTTCAGATTGGACAAAATGGGAGCATTGGAATGGAGGAAAGTCGTGAAAGGCAACGAAAAATGGAGGCTCGTGACATCAATGTGGCTCCATGCCGGTATCATTCACCTTGTTGTTAATATGTTTAATCTCATCGTCATCGGTATCCGCCTTGAGCAGCAGTTTGGATTCAGTAAGTCCTTTACATCCTCACACGAACCTCATATTCTCCTCTGTTTCTTCTATTCATGTATTCAAAAATTAAGTCTTTGTCAAAAATGTAGTAAGAGTCGGGCTCATCTACCTGATATCGGGATTCGGTGGAAGCATTCTCTCGGCACTCTTCCTTCAGAACAGTATCTCCGTTGGGGCCTCTGGTGCTCTCCTTGGACTCCTTGGAGCTATGTTATCCGAGCTGCTCATCAACTGGACTATCTACGCCAACAAGGTAACAACATTGTGTCCTCTTCTTTTATCAAGAAACAAGCATTAACATGGTTGCATTCTGATTTATCAAGGTGGCTGCTTTGGTCACGATCTTGTTCATCGTCGCAATCGATTTGGCGATAGGTTTGCTTCCTAGCGTTGACAACTTTTCTCACATTGGTGGGTTTATAACCGGGTTTCTCCTCGGGTTTGTGCTACTGATCCGGCCACAGTTCGGGTGGGAAGAGTCAAACAACGCTTATCAGTACGGTGGGCGTGCTAGACCAAAGTATAACCCGTGCCAGTATGTGTTGCTCTTTGTTGGTGCTGTTTCTGTGGTCGGGGTTTTAACGGTTGGGACGGTGATGCTGTTTAAAGGGGAGAATGGGAACAAACATTGCAAATGGTGCCATCGCCTAGACTGTTTCCCTACTTCCAAGTGGTCTTGTTGATTTTTCAATCCTCAATCATTGCTTTTTTTTTTTTTTTTTGAAAATGTGAATTTCAATTTTTTGTTTCTACTCTTCTTTTTGTGTTGCTCTCTTTCTAACATGTTAAAAACATCTTCATTTTTTTGGTTTTTTTGTGTTGCTCTCTCGCTCTCTCTCTCTCTAACATGTACTCTCTCCTCTGTTTTTTTTTAATTGTAACTAATAATTTAACTGGTTTCTCTTTTGGCGTATTGAGTGGATATGCGGATCATTTTCATCTGATGAAAAACACATATGCTAGTAATCATCTTCTAATAATATCGTGTTCAGAGAATTTAATTTGAATCAGAATACAGAAAACGATTTAGCCAAAAAAAAAAAAAGGAAATACAGAAAACGACGAGGCAAAGTTTGAAGATGGGCTTTTGTATTATACGGCTCAGAGCCCATTTTGAACAATTCTGAAGTGAACCGGTGACTTCATTAGCAGACGGTGGAATTAGCCGACACGTAAGCAGAAATTCTGCCGGGCGAGAGAGAGAAAAGAGGAGGTTGGTGGCATCAGCTTACGGCGATCGTCTGCCTTTGCCGTCGAATCTCCGGTTAGCTTCATTTATATTACCGATGTACGTCGTTTCCTCTTATCTTCTAAATTCTGAAAAACAAGTGTGTCGATGTCGAGTCTTGGTAGAAGTCAGTCATTCGCGAAATCATTACCTTCATCTTTGGAGTTTTTTTACTGGTTACATTAGGCTTGGTGAGATTATAATTTGATGATTCCTTAGAAATAAATGCACTTGGAACACCGGTTTTGAGTAAAATTCATGTATATGATTTGATCAAAATACTATACATTGACTGTTCTTTGACCAGACACACACACAAGCTCCTGCTTGCTTGACAACAAAATTGTTTAGCTGATTCTCAGCCTTAAAACCTAAGACAAATGGATCCAAAATCTTCCCCACCCTTTTAACTTAGGGTGTTTCAAGATTATTGAAATGTGGTCTTAAGGAAAATGTATAACGGGCTTTATCCTAACATTCTCTCTCACTAGTCTATTTCATCTTTTTTATGGAGCTTGACATGGTAACCGTTTGGAAACTGTAATCCTGGAGTTCGAAGTATATTCCCTCCTTTTATTTCCTCCCACCTGATAATTTTTCAAAGGGGACAGAATCATCAAAATCAGCCTTATTGTTAATAACACTATAATAGAATGGCTTAAGAGATGTGTAACATGATGATATGTTTTCTCGAACCTGTATTTTGTTACAAGGCTGTGTAGAAACACAGCCATCTGCAATTTGGTGAAGTCGGTTCCAACACAGAACCTCATTCCACCACCAAACGCCATGAAGTGCTTCGATGCGTTGTTAGCCTTTGATTCCTGTATGCATGAAACCCAAATTTTCATTTGAAATTTCATTTTTTTTCTTTCAGTTTTTACTTGGAGTAGAAGTTACTTAGAAGGTTTGACCTCACCTCCCATCTTGATGGGTTGAAGACTAAAGGATCCTCATACTTGTCTGGATTCAAATGTACAGCTGGAGGACAGACCATCACCGCCCAGCCGGCTGGAATTGTATAATCTGCATCATTGAATAAGTCTTAATATTGATAATATAAGGGAAAAAAAACAGTTAATCATTCTGAAATACATATATCCTTCTTGTTTATTTATCATACCTTTGAATTTTATATCTATCAACGCCTTTCTGAAGATCGCAGGAACTATATTTGCTAGTCTTGCTGTTTCATTTATGAACTGCTTACAAAAGACTTAGTCAGCTGAGTTATTATGCATTGAAAATTTAAGAAATTGTCATTACTTTTTTTTTATGAATATCTTAAGCAACCTGAAATGTGTAAGTCATTGACTTGTATTCTTCCCATGTAAGTCCGGAGTCTGCATCTTCCCGCTTTTTCAGAATTGTCTCATGTTCTTCCTGATGAAAGATGAACACAGTTTAGCTTTTTTTTTTTTATAATAATCAGAAAATTCACTTCTTGCAAGAAGATTTTTGGGTTTTTTTTTTTTTAAAAGCTCTTCACTGACCGTTAAACGCTTTAGAACTGCAGGGTCATCTGAAAGAAACTTGATGGCTAAAGTTAAAGCGAGAGAAGTTGTTTCGAAGCTAGCGAATAGCAAGACGAACATCAAGTCCAGTGCAATCTCTTCTGTCAGAATTGTCCCCTCTTTCTGAATCTCTTCAATGACGTAATCAAAGAAATCACTTGGGTTCTTCCGTGGTTTCTTGCGCCTCTCCTGAAGCATATTCCTCAGCATCTTCATTGCATTTTCCCTGCCCTGCAATATCATTTTCAGCATTAGTACCATATCAGAGGCAGGGAAAGCTTAGAGAATGGCTCGTGGTATCCATATGATGATGATTCACCTTGAGACATTTGTGATAAGCTGTGCCTGGAATGTCAAACGGGAAGGAGATCAGTCCTTGAATAAAAGCAACGAAGTTGGCCCTTAGATTCTCTGATGACTTGTCTGGATCATGGCTGATCAGCTTCTTCGCAGTAAGATCAAATATCATCTGATAAGATGTTTTATTACCAACATGTTAGAAACAAGAAATAAGGTATTATAGGATAATATCTGAAACAAAACAGAAAAGTCGGTTTCTGATACTCACGCTTGCGGTTGCATCTTTGAGTTCTACTGATTCCTGGTTTGACCAAAGCTCTAATCTCTTATTTGCAGTCAGCTCCACTTGAGGAAGCATCTTCTTGAGACCATCGTAGCCAAAGAGAGTCAAGACCATGCTTTTAAGGTACTTGTACATAAACCCATGTAGTGAACCCACATTCTTTTTCCCAAAGATATTGGTAAAAGTGTCTGGATACCAACTCTGGAAACAACGACCCTCTTGTTGAAACACAAAGTAACTCAAATCAGGGTCTGTTGATACAATAACTGGTCTCCCCACGAGATTTGTCTTGAAAATTGGGCCATACCTGCGGGTATTAACAACACTGTGAATAAAGCTCTGTAGAAGCATTAATCAGACTTTTTAAAATGAGAGAAGAAAACACTCACTTCTTAACCCTTTCTCTGACAAAAGGAGGGATGTCTGAGGTTGTGTTTGGCTTGAAGAACTGGATCGTCTCGCCGAGTAGCGGGAAACCCATCGAACCAGGTGGAAGCTTCCCTCTGCATTTGGGATTCCTCCAACTGTAAACCCAATGTGTGATGCTTATGAGAAGCAGAGAAGCCCAAATGAACAATGCCCACATCACAGTAAGACAATTTAAGAGTATATATGATTTGTTCGTATGGAACTACAAATGAAACTCTGTTTCTTTTTCCTCTCTCTGACTTCTTCTTGGAATTGTGTTCTTTAGACAGAAACTGAAAACGTGCAGAGGAAAGAGACAAAGAGAATAAAGAGAAGGAGAAGAAAGAGGAGTTGAGTGCTGGCGCATCTTCGTCAAACCATTATGATGATTGCTTAAATAGGCAAGGCAAGTCTCCACACATAACTCTTATTAGATAATAATAAATAATGTCCTCAAAAAGTAGTTGCAGAATGAATATGGTTTAATCATTAAAAAAAAAAACTGAACTCTGTTTATAGAAACCATACATAATTCATTATCCGTGTGAAAGGGCAGCTTTTTTTTTGTTTGAAGTATTAAAAAAATCAGGAATCATATGAAATGAAGGTTCCTCTTTCCTCCTAGTTTATTGTGTCTCATATGGCATTAAAACACCACTCTGAACATTAGGCAAGTTTACAGCTTCATTTTAGGAGATCAGTTGTGGGCTCTTCCTCTCCATTAGATTTGACATTAATAATAATAACAAATTGATGCTGTAACTTAAAATTTGAGACTCATATGGGAAAAAGAAGAGTTTCCAGCTTTAAATTATTGACTTCATTATTGTTTCTTCTTTTATCATATCATATCTACGCTAAAATTCCAGTATCTAATACAATCTTTGACACCAGGGTAGCAAAATAAACTAACATGATAAGTACTTTTCAGTTTGTTCTCATTCATGCTCAGGATCTCCTCTTTAGATCTGCTTGTCATGTGTTTCTAATCATTAACATTATTTGCTTCATCTCCTTTTTCAAAAAATTCTTACTCGTCAAACCCAAGATCAATCTTATTGCAAAATAATGTATGCATCAGCTTTTAGATATTGTTTGCCAACCACTGCATCAGATTATAATTAACCTGACAGTTGAATGTATTATCATTTTAATTTTTTGATTTAGGTGAATGTATAATCTCAGATAGCTCTTGCGACAATGGGACCCATCAGGGTTAACCAATCACAGGACAGCATGGGTTTTGGCCATTGAGCCACGGGCTCAGTATTTATGCAATAAACCATGCAATTCTACTTCCCACCTACAATGAAATATCCAAGTATAGGTAGGTTACTGTGAAATACCATATATTATTGTTCTTTTTTCTGTCATTTCATTAGATAATACAATTTGAGTGTTACATAATTGGTGACAAAAAGGTGCTTTCTTTCATCAGTAATCCTGGGTCAAAAAGACAACTTTATAAGTTTAGACCTAGAAACTACTTTACGCAATGTAATTAAGACAAAGCCTAATTAAGAGCTTAGAATCTCCTTTTATAGGGAAAGAAAGTAACAGGAAGATTAACATTATCGTCATTGATTTGCTTGAAATTGTCTTCTAGCAAAACGCAACATTATGTGTAGGATTAGGGTTAGATTGATATGTGTATGTTTCAGTTTGTTTGGAGAAAATCCAACTTAGCAAACCCCATTAGGGTTTTTTCGTTAAATTAATAAACAAATATGAAAATAATAATAGTCATTAAGAGTATTGGGATGCGAGTGTTAGGGGGATGTACCAAGATTGAGACAACTCAATAAGCAGTGTTTGCATCTTCTTGTTGTTTTGTGCTTAATAGTAAAAAGTAACAACAGTAACAAATGCATCAAGTCAACATTAGTTTTCAAAGTATCTTCATTTGGTTGTAGATAATCATATCTAAGATTGTATATATTTGCATTAAAATATTGATGTTATCTAGTAGCTCAAATTGGTTCAAATTGGCTTGGTTTACTATTTTTGTAATTCTTCAGATAAAAGTTTAAATATTCGAACTTGGTGGAAGGGAATTTTGATGAATGAGTTTATGAAATACTTGGAAGTTGCAACCAAAATTTTGGAATTAAAATCAAAATAAAGAATTAGAAAAACTACTAATTATTGGACAGAGTTTGTTCCCTGATGACTGATGAGCTGATTAGTGTGTGTATTTGCTTAAAGTGCAATCGGGTCCTACATGTTCTGTTCAAGTAGGTGGCATAACCTGGCTGACTGTTAACACAGAAAGTTGGCCATGTGATATTACATTTCGTATTGATCATCTTGCAGTATATTATTTTAATTTGATAATTCCTTAACTTATTTTTGCTATATATAAATGTTTTGTTTCTACCCCATTCTACAATTATGAAATTACTTTTAACGAAATAAAATATTCATTACTTATAGATGCCGTGACTAAAATAGTTCTTTTCGTAACAAGCATTTAATATTTTGTGTATGCAACATTTTGTGTACTGACAAGTAAATCGTTTTCGACGGTATAACAATTAGATACACTTTTTCTCACTTTGTACAAACTAAAAAGAGATTTACTTGCAAATTAGAAGAAATAACACTAAACGACAAACTTGAAGAATTGCCCTCTTTTGCCAATGAGCTATTGATTTACAGAGAAGTATAAATGAAAGGGAATGTGACGACAAAAAAAGGGAAAAGAAATATAGAAACGTATTAATTAATAGAAATAAGACTTTATATAATCAAAGATTTGTGTGACGCTACACAACACGAACACGAGGATTTGAGAGAATTGTGGAGAAAGTTCGTTAATGCTGTCTGTTCCGTACGCAGGCGGCAATTCGCTTATTTCTTTTTTTCTTCTTTTCTTTCCTTTTATTTAGACACAAATTACACAGAAAATAAAATAAAAGAAAGAGCAAGCAAATTGAGATCAAAATTTTGATGCTCTTTAAAGATCTTGGCAACTTCACACACTTATCAAAATTTTGACTTTGATAAAAATGAAATATGTAGAAACCGTTATGAACCAATAAAAGTTGAAAATTCACACATTTTGGCAACTTCACTTATTATGAATGTAAAAACAAAGGCATTTAATTTTTTTGTGGATAATGAAATTACTACAAAACTAAAAATTATTTGGCGTGGAACTACTTGTTCAGTCAACAAGACATAGTGTAATCTTAATTGATATTTGACGATTTCTAATAGGAAAAAGAAAACACCTTTCTTGGAAAAAAACTTTACATTTTACGACAGTTAGAGGTGGTCAGGTATATTAATCAACGAGGTAATTAAAATATGAAAAAGGCAAAAGATGAAGAGTATGTTTTCTAAAGATAAATTGACAAGATCATTAAGGTTAGAAAATAAATAAAGGACAGGTTTGGTCGTACGTGTCTGCTTGTCCCCACGGCCATAGCCCATAGGGTTTGACCTTTCACAGAAGTAAAACGCCAATCGTGGGGAGGAGTCACATATCGAACCATATGTGGTTTACTTCTAATTTTTAGTTTTCTTATCACGTAATGTGATATTTTCGTAATTTAAATCTTTCGTTATATTAATCATTTCAAGCCACGTTATTAAACAGTTAACACGAGTGGTCTAGTGGATTTGTCGGGTTTCCGATAAATTTAATCGAAATTATTTATTATCCATATACATATAAATAAAAAAATATATACTAACGAGTAACGATGCATATTAAATTATTAACTAAGTAATTGAGTGAATTAATCTTCAAATTATAAGCTTCATATGAGTAGTTATCACTCCTCATTATTAGAATTATATGCAAATGACCATCTCGATCTTGATATATCACAATTTATATTTATTTAGTGATACAACATGAATTTGGTTGTTACGTTATTCTTTCTTTTTTTAATAAAAAAAAAAACTAAACCGAAACTCACATAATTTTCAAAGTTTATGACTAGTATTTATATTATTTAAAGTATTTACAGTGATTTAACTATAATTGAAATTGTAAAAAGTGAATTTCATACTTTTAATTTAGACTGAATTATTTAATCAGTAGTTTCTTATTCTAGACTGAATCATTTAATCATTTAATCAGTAAACTACCATGAATGTGTGTGGTTGTTATTATTGCTATTTTCGTAAGCAATATGGTTGTTACTAACTAATACAAGTCAAAGAAGATTCTATCATCTTTAACACAGATAATCCATTATATTATATAAGAAAATTAAAACGCTTTGAAATGGAAATGTGTGTAATTTACATTACTGAAATAATTCTTGAACACTTTACGAAATCAATTAGTGGTCCTCAAGAAGACAAAACAAATATAAATATAATCGAGAAGAAAATTGTGGGAGAAGTAAAATAATTGGCAATGCGGTAAGCAATGACTCTCCTCGTAAACTAGAGACCTAGGGAAACATGAATATTATTTTTTAATATGCAAGTTTTATAAATATAACGTATTATGTATATAGTTGCATGGCATCGTTTCCTTTATTTTAACATAAGTGATTTTTCGTTTAATCATGAGATTTGCTTATAACTTGAAAGGCATATTCAAATCGATGCTCATAAGTCATAACTCCAAAGTGCTAATTTGTTCTGTTTACACTTCAAAACCACGTGATTTTGCACTTGCCATAATATCCACCCAGTCACCCAGACTTTAATTGATTACACATCACAAACAAAATAAATAATGTTCTCCACCTCTATAAAATATTGTCTTCTAGAGATATGTTTTATTTCCTGTACAAAAATTAGATTCAGAATATTAATATATACACAATTCTAGATAAAAAAATTTCTTTGAATAAATTCTTAAGCTGAAAGACTCAAACTCAAACAAACATCATGCGTCTACAGTAAGTTATTTCTATTATCTACTTAATCTTTATCAACTTTACAAACTAGTTATGGTGATAAACTGTTGATAAAAATAAAACAATAGATCCTTAAATAAAAAAACAAAGAGATCGTAATTAAGTGGTAGTCGACGTTAAATGATTTTCGTCTCATTGGTTTTGGATCAGACTCAAGGTTTTGTAACTTGTAAGCCTATTTAATTTGTTTATCTAGAAGGAAAAAACAATATGCTATTACGACATAGAGTCGGAAAAATTAAACAAACAAACGTTTGTTACAAGAAAACAAAATAAATAAATAAACAACCAAATTGTAGAATGTTATTTTTTCTTCTAAACTAGAGGGAAACAAATTATAGAAATGGTTACAACTACCCAAGTCTACAAAGTCTATTCTAAATACTCGATTAAAAATAAACGAGTAAGGCTTTCAGTCTCTTCAACTAATTTGCTTTTTCTTTTGGGGGACAAATAACTAATGAGAGAATTACTATTTTGAACGCGGTATGTAAGGTTTTGTTAGATGGTTGCAGCGACGATAATTTTTTTTTGTAAAAAAAATGTTATTGAACGGTTAACTAAAAGTCCAAAACTGATGAATATGTGTGTATTAATATGGAGGTCTGGAAAGACGCAACGCAACGAAATTATATCAACTAAAATCCCAATAAATATGACGGATGTACACATACTAACACTTCACTCTTCACACTTGATATTAAGTTACTTAAAACCATTAAAAAAAACCAACAACTTTAATTGTTACACAAAGTCTCGTCTAATGACAACGAAGATGTAATTTACAAACAGTTGGACATAAAAATATGGTTTTAGACTTGAACGCAAGCTTTCTCACATGGAATGACACAGAAAGAAAGTTTCAGATACGTTTGCTCAAAAAAATAGTTTCAGATTCGTAGATATATAAGCATGGGCCATTGTGTAGTTTAGCCCACAACTTAACTAGTAAAATATATTTTGTTTTCCGTGTCAGATTTAAATATGGCCTTATGGTCTCATTCGTAAATTGTTTTCAAACTTTTTTTTTAGTTATTATAAACCCTTATTATTTCAAATCATCTTGCCCATGGTTTCTGATATCTAAATGATTTACAAATTACACAATATTTTGGTTAAAATTAACTTTTTGTAAGGAAAAGCAATCAGAGTTGTATTCACATCAGGAAAAAGAAAAAAAGAAAAAAGAAAAAAAAAAGAGAAAAGCAAAACAAGTTGCACAGAAGTAGATTAAAAAGAAAAACAAATGTACAAAACTATGTCCTCGACGTACTTCATGTCGATCCGGTACAATGTCCTTATCACTTGGACATCTCGTTTTTCTTCTTTCTTTCTACGTTCTAATCAATCAATAGAGCATCTCCTGCTTTCTTAATTTTCTTATATACAATTATTTCTAATTTTCCAGTTGTTTAGATATTTATTAGATATTATCCTTCGTCCTTTTTGCATCGTCATCAATTAGTTGCCGACCAAACTAAATCAAACACATCTTAAGAGCTTTCTAGATACTCTCCAAATGCTATAAAGAATCTAATTAGGTGTATTTTGGTGGAGCATCACTATTTTTTATTTTTTTGGTGTGGATTTAGTTAGATTCTCTATTTGTATATATTCATACTATGGGCTCTTCCATATAGCTAATGTTTAATTATTACAGTAGAGATAAAAAATGGCATTTTAGTTATAGAATTTGCAATGGTGATTAGTATCTAATAGTATCTATGAATCCCTCCTTTGCCCACAAAATCAATTGTTAATTTCTAATTACACGAAACCTCTGACGTTACTCTATCATTCAATGCAAGTCGCAGGTTGCTTTCTACAACATCGTTTGAAACAAAGTTATCTTAATTTTATTGGATCTTGAACCCTATTTTTTATGACCTTTCGTCCCCCTTGATTGGAGGAAATAAATATCAAAGGCTTTTTTGTTTTTTGTTTTTGTTTTGTGTGACCAATATCCAAAGTCTTCTTTAACAAGGAAATAAAGATATTACAGCAATGATGTTAGATATTTTCATCTTCGTATATGCATGATCGGGGAACCAAATATGAAATACTTGATTAATAGTATTGGATAAAAACAATTAAACACGGTCAAAAATATCTGAGTTTATGTGTTGAATAAGCAAAAACAGTTAAAGGGTGTCAAATACCTCAGCATATATACTCGTCAGAAAAAAATCAAATTCAATCAATCATTTATAATGATTTTTTTTTTTTGGGTGAATTGTTGATTTATCACCATTTTTTCTGATTCTACACTGTACAATGTTGTTTCCAACTTATTACAAACAAAAACAACAGAAGCGGAGAGGCCAAAAGCCAAAACAAGAACAAGCTAAAAAGGATAAGAAATGCAACCAAAGCTTGTTTTTCCGGGTTAAATTGAAGCGTAATCAGCTTAACTAAAAAGCTTGACATAAAAATCAAGCAGAGGATATTAGAAGTCCAGAGAAGCAGAGTGTAGCCAGAAAGACAAAGCAGCAACAATACAACAAAAACTAATTACCAAATAGACTTATCCATATATCACAAATACATATCATTAACGATCTTTTATATCGGGGAAACGTTATTAAAATCACATGTTCATAGAAATATAACAAATTGTCGTTGACATTTTGGATTAGGTGTAACAGAACATAATAACGGAAATCTCAAATGGCTAAGGATATGGATATATTTATTTATTATTTATTAAATTATTTTGTAATGCCCTTTAATATGGTTCTTCTTACAACTCATGAATGGGATTGCACAGATAAAAAAGAATAACAAAATTAGGAAGAAAACGTACAAAAAAACAAAATGCAACGTCGGAGACAACAGATTTTAATTCAAATTAATTTTGTGGTTCGAACTAATTTTTTTTTATGACATTAACAGAATATCTCGGAATCTAAAGATATATTTATTACACGATCCACATGCCTTTTGCGTCATCGTCCAATATCCTTAAAGTCTAAAAACACATACACACACACCACCAAACCTCTTTATTTTATTGCTCTGTTCTTGAGTAAACCTCTGATTTTCGCGTGGGAAGAAGAAACCCCACGAAGAAAGTTTAGAATTTTCGAAACTTTTTTCTATTTTTTTTTGTATTATCTTTTCATGAAGATTCAAGAAGATCCATTTTCTTAAAATCACTTGAGATTTATTTGGATCTTGTGGTGGAAGAGGGTTTCTAAGGTCTTTGCTCCTTCGTCCTCTGATGGGTGCGAGTCACTCTGGTTATCTGTCTTCATCGTCTTGTTTTGGGGATCGTAATCTGTCAAATCCTGGTTTAGGGGATTTGCCGGAGGCTTGTGTGGCTCTGATTATTGAGAAATTAGACCCCGTCGAGATCTGTGGATTCTCGAAGCTCAACAGAGCCTTTCGCGGCGCTTCATGGGCTGATTTCGTGTGGGAATCGAAGCTTCCTCCGAATTACAGGGTTTTTCTCGAGAAAATCCGTGGTGGGTTCCCGGAAAATCTGCAGAAAAGAGACATCTACGCTTGTCTCTCCAGGATTACTTCATTCGATGAAGGCAACAAGGTTCGTCTCTTCACACCCTTTCTGTATTTCCTCATTTCGGGGTTTGTTTTCTTTCTTTCTAAAATTAGAAACTTGTTTCCAGAAAGTTGTGTACTTAACTTACGAATTGTGTATTGATTATGCAGATGGTATGGATAGATAAACGAAGCGGTGGTGTTTGTCTAAGCATTTCAGCTAAAGGATTATCCGTCACAGGCATTGATGATCGTAGATATTGGAGTCATATTCCTACAGATGAATCTCGGTGAGATTTCCTCACAATTTGTTGGTTTCGTTTTCTTTCTTTCCTTTTTCATCGAGTTCCATCCAAATAGACCAATCGTTTCTTATTCACAGTTGTTTTTTTTCTTTAGATCATCCAGTGATCACTTGCTTAATTTGATTGCCTAACATTCGCTCAGTTTTTCAAAAAGTATGCTTCTTTTCCCCTAATTTGTGTGTTGGTAAGTTGATTGCTTTGTTTGCCTAACATAAGCTCTTCAAAAGTATACCTGAGTGTTGAGAGTGATCATGTGGTTTTATATACAAAGTTTGGAAATTTGAGTTTTATCACCATGTTTCTTTGATTAAACTCCTTTGTACAATTAGAGATAAGTCGATTTCTCATCAAAGTTTGTAATATACACAATACATGGGAATTGATTCATTATGATACCGTGTTATGATCTAACATTCATCTTTTTCAGTAAAAGTTAACATTTTTTTGGGGTCAATCGAGTCTCATTTCACTTTCTATCAGTGGAATTTTTCCAAGACAACAAAATCGATTCATTTTGATTGGTAAATGAGTAGTGAAATATATTATCTTGTGTTCCTATGATCTGTTCATTGGGCGAGTATAAACTAAACCATTTTTCATTGATTTTTTTGCAGGTTTTCTTCTATAGCTTATCTCCAACAAACATGGTGGTTTGAAGTTGATGGTGAAATTGATTTCCCGTTCCCGGTTGGAACATACAGCATCTTTTTCAGGCTTCAATTAGGCCAGTCCGGCAAGTGGTTTGGTCGACGGGTCTGTAACACCCAACAAGTCCATGGTTGGGACGTTAAACCGGTTCGGTTTCAAATCTGGACCGAAGATGGTCAGTATTCCTCGTCTCAATGCATGTTAACCGAGCGGGGAAACTGGAATCACTACCACGCTGGAGACTTTGTAGTCCGGGAATCGAAAAGCTCATCGACAAAGATAAAGTTTTCGATGACTCAGATCGATTGTACTCATACCAAAGGCGGGTTATCACTAGACTCTGTAATTGTATACCCGAGCTCGTGTAAAGACCGGTTGAAGCGGTTTTAATGTTTCAACCAGAGCCGGTTTAGTTAGGTGTTTTTATGCAGTTCTTTAGCCTTTTTATAGATGTAGTTAGAAAAGCTTTTATTAGAGTCAGTCTTTTGTTATGAAATTATTGTTTTTGTTATGTTAACTGAGTTTTGAAGTTTGCAAACTGTTATAATATTGAGTGGTTATGAAACTAAATCATCTGTTAGATATGCTACATTGAAAACAATGATTTGTTACAACATTTTGACCGATGTTGATCCACAGGATAACTTTTGTTGAAGACTTCGAATTGGACCTAATTGATTTAGTTAGTAAATAATCGGTAACTATCAAACTTGATGTTAGAGGAGTTACTAGAAAGAATTGTAGTCCAAAGACTCCAAACAAAGATTATACAGAAGGGCCATATCCATTCCGGTGTGACCTTGTGAACTCGAACCGGTTTTAGAAGAAAGGAATTTTGAACCGGGTTTTCTTTTCTTCTTCCAAAGTTCGATTATTTGCGGGTATTTATCTGAGCTCCTGCCATGGCTCTTTGTAGGGTTTACAGTTTACAGTCAGTGAGTGGGAGTTGGAAAAAGGAACGATTTTGAGCTGAAGATGATGATGTTGATGATACGGAGACGGAGGAGCTCTAAAGCTTTCAAATTTGTTCATCCCCGTTTACCTGAGACAGGTTCCCGGAGCTCTTCTTCATTCTTTTATCTCTGCGAGAGAGACTTCTCTGGTGTCAGCAGCGATAGCGATAGGAAAGTCTCTTATAGAGAGAGGTTGAAGAATGGGATTGTCGATATCAAAGCGGATGAAGCTGTTGATCTGTTCCACTCCATGATTCGGTATCGTCCTCTTCCCAATGTCATAGATTTCAATAATTTGTTTAGTGGAATTGCCAAAACGAAACAGTATGACCTTGTGTTAGCTCTCTCCAAGCAGATGGAATTGAATGGGATTACACATGACATCTACACTTTCAATATTATGATCAATTGCTTCTGTCGAAGTGGTAAAATCTCTGCTGCTTTTTCTGTTCTTGCGAAAGTTATAAAACTTGGGTATAAGCCTGACACAACCACATTTAACACACTCCTCAATGGATTATGCCTCGTGGGTAGAGTCTCTGAAGCTGTGGAATTAGTTGATCGAATGGTAGAGACGGAACATATGCCCAATCTCATTACGCTTAGCACTCTTGTCAATGGACTTTGTCTCAAAGGTAGTGTGTCTGAAGCGGTTGAGTTAATCGATCGAATGGTGGAAAATGGGTGCCAACCTGATGCATTTACCTACGGACCGATTTTAAACAGAATCTGCAAGTCCGGGAAGACTGCTTTGGCCATGGATTTGCTGAAAAAGATGGAAGGAAGAAAGATCAACCTCGGTGTAGTCCATTACAATATCGTCATTGATAGTCTTTGCAAAGATGGGAGCTTCGACAATGCACTCAACCTTTTCAATGAAATGGAAACGAAAGGGATCAAGGCAGATGTTATCACCTACAACTCTCTCATAGGAGGCCTTTGTAAAGCCGATAGATGGGATGATGGTGCACAGTTGTTGAGGGATATGATCACTAGGAAAATCACCCCCGACGTCGTCACTTTCAATGCGCTGATTGATAGTTTTGTGAAAGAAGGAAAGCTTGTCGAAGCTAATGAGTTGTACAAGGAGATGATCACTAGAGGCATAGATCCTGATACCATCACATATAACTCTTTGATATATGGGTTTTGCATGGAGAACCGCCTAGATGAAGCCAACCAGATGCTGGATCTGATGGTTGGTAAGGGATGCGATCCTACTGTCGTGACTTATGGTATCCTTATAAATGGATTCTGTAAGGCCAACCGAGTTGACGATGGTTTGGAACTCTTTCGCAAAATGTCTCTGAGAGGAGTGGTTGCGGACACAGTCACTTATAATACTCTCATCAAGGGGTTTTCTCAATCGGGAAAAATTAATGTTGCCAAAGAACTCTTCCAAGAGATGGTTTCTCGTGGTGTGCCACCCAGTATTCTGACTTATGGTATTTTGTTGGATGGTTTGTGTAACAATGGAGAAGTGGAAAAGGCATTGGAAATACTTGGAAAAATGCAGAAGAGTAAAATGGATCTTGGTATTGCTATCTACAATATCATCCTTCACGGGATGTGCAATGCAAGTAAGGTCGATGATGCATGGGATTTATTCTGTAACCTCCCTATCAAAGGATTGAAGCCTGATGTCAGAACATATACTATAATGATTGGAGGACTATGTAAGAAAGGCTCAGTGTCCGAAGCGGATCTGTTGTTTAAAAAAATGAAAGAGGATGAATATGCGCCAGATGGTTGTACGTACAACATACTAATCCGAGCACATCTCCGAGGTAGCAGCTTAACCACTGCTGTTGAACTCATCGAAGATATGAAGAGGTGTAGGTTTGCTGCAGATGCTTCCACCATAATCATGGTTATGGATATGCTGTCGAGTGGTAGATTAGACAAAAAATTTCTTGATATGCTTTCTTGAACGTGTGATGTTATCTGCAAGAGATAAAGCCAAGTTATTCTCTCTCTCTTTTTTTTTTTGTGGTCTCTGATTGACTGTTGATGTAAATTCCGGCGTTCAGTTGTGCATATGCCTATTAATTAACGAGTGCTGAAACTTGATAAGCAATAATACTTTGGCTTATGATAGTTCTTCATGTGTTACTATGAGTTTTTTTCTTTTTTCGTTTGCAGGCATCAACAAGAACTAGGTTAGTTTTGCAGTCTGTAATAGAAGACGTGTCTTTATGGTTGGACTTTGGGATTTAATCAGCCGTGAACGTCTAAAAGAAGCTAGCTATGAACAGTAGTTAGTCTCTTCTCTTGTGGTTGAATCTTGTTCTCTCTATATATGAGAATGTATAGAAACTATGCTTCCCTCTGTGTGATATTTTGATTTTGGTGTGTCAAGGTCAATGTGGTTTTTCAGGTTTTATCAGATACATTCACATATTTTTGAAATTTTTATTTCAATCAAAGAGAATTTCTTAATTATGTTTTATTTTCTCTTCTCCGTGTGGTCGACTCAGGTCTTCTATCAAAAATTCAAATTCAATTCTTTGTATTTTCCATTCTCTTTATTTTGCATCTTACAGTAAATTCTCCAGTTAAAGCAGAAGATTTTGTTTATTGATCGTTGGTGATAACAGAGTTTACCAGATTTATGTCCGTAGAGATTGAATTACCACAGCAGAATTATTCTCAATTTCGATTATGCTCTGTGCATATTCTATAAGAAAGATCCTACGTAAATATAATGGACTTTTAAGATCACAGACAGATTTCTTGGCTGAACTGCCTGAACATATCTATGAATATTAATTAGGAAATAGAAGCCACAAAGAAAAAGGAAATAGCGTCTGAAGCCGAAAGATTCTGTTTACTATTTTCCTTTTTATTTTATAACCCTATCAATAATATTCTATACAAGAACATTAATTCACAGTGGATTAGGATATAGAACCCACAGAGAAAAAGGAATTAGCGTCTCTTACAAGTTATAAATACAAACACTTGTATTAAAAAAATACTAGGTTTAGCGTTCGTTTATTATTGTGTTAATTTCTGAGAGTTAAGATCTTGATTCGAGCTATGACGTCTCCGGCAAGATCAACCACTAGGACGTTTTATGATCACACGAATGATCCGTGGTTCAAGAACCAATTCGTCGAATCCTCTGTTGTCAATGAAGCAGTACCTAGTTACTTAAGCAGAGGCAAGGTGAGTTTGGAGATATCGATCGTGCTGCGTTCCCTCATGACTCAAACTACGTTAAGTATAATAAGCCATCATCATCATCGCAGCAGAAATCTGCAGCGTGTAGTAAACAGAGGAACAAAAGGATGTTGGAGACGCCTTTAGATCCACTTGATCCTTCAAATTCGTTGAAACACAAACGAGGTCTAAATGCTTTTGGTTCACGGCCTGTTCCTGTCGTGTATATGCCTCCTAGGCCTGATGTTACTGTCAAAAACCAACAATCCCTCCTTGTATCTTCAATTGGGAAACCCGGAAAGGTTATATATATGATTGCTCTATCAATAATAACTTTAGCAAGGTATCAGAAGTGCTTCATGCAGCTGAGCAGAGAGCTAGAGAGGCTATTTCGATGCGGTTAGAGGCTCAAAAGGAGATGGAGAAGGAAAGAAAAGAGCAGGAGTTGAGGGAGGCTCTTGCGCAAAAGTCTGCTCAGTGTGACATGACTGAGGCTGCAAGAGTGGATTATGAGTGTGACGGTGATGCAGACACGGAACCGACCGGTCAAACTGAGACGTGATAAGCCGACCGACGCATGAAACCAAACCGAGTCTCTAAGTCTTGCTCTCATGTACTTTTTATGTTTATTTTGCAAATAAGTCACCACCGCTCCTCTGTTTTCCTTAAGGAGCATCAAACGTTTCTCTTATTCTCCATTATGCTTTTTTGTTTCCAAGTTTGTAGGAGTTTAATCTCCATCTTCATTATAAATTGAAAAAAAAAACAACAAGAAAAAGGCGGATAAATTTGCCTACAGAAATATCTCTTGTGTTTTTATTGCTTTGGGACTTTTATCAGTGGTATTAGAGAGCACGTTTTGTCATTGATCCGGACCAAAAATTTGATTATATCAAAACCACATACATAATCCTTCCTCTTTTGTTTTATGTTCCGGATCATTTTGTGCTACAAAAGCACCATCATTCATCTTTTAATGTCGGTTTGATCCAAACCACATCTTGTGATATTGAAGCCGTAATTTTTCCTGTACCAAAAGTAAAAAGAAACATGCACAAACATAAAAACTGAGGGGATCCAGAAGGAGAAGATTCGAAAAGAGCGTCGTAAAGAAAGAGAGAGTGTACTGCCATGTGTAAGAAGAGCAAGAAGATCACAAGGGACAAAGTCCAATTATATCAACGAGAAGGTTGCTCTTGGAATGGCATCTACTCGAGGTAGAGAGATTGTGAAGTTATGTTCGAATTAACGGCTGTTTAAACAAAGCTGGAGCAGGGGACAATGTAATAAGACTAATGATCATATATAAGTATCTATGATTAAAATGTAATCCACGTGAGAAATCATTTATAAACCTAATAACTCACTCTCTTTGCATAATTTTTTGTTTGTTTAGTAACAAAAATATTGTTCACCTTCTTGGCTCATGAATACTTTGATGTCAATTGCCTTACACCTTTATTCTGCCTTACAAAACAAAACAAAAAAAAAAAGAGAAGAAAAAGGATGTGAATTGAAAAGCAAGGTTAAGTAAGCACTTATAAACTTATAGTATATACTGTTGTCTGTTTAGGAACAATATTAGATCATTGAATTTTTGACCAAGTCTAATGCATATCTAATAGTAAAAAACTCATGTCGAATGTCACCTTTATACCCAAAACCCTATCTGCCTCTTCATAACTTGGCAGTTGGCACCATGAAAGATTCTTTTATTTTTTAGAATGAGACACTCTCACTACTCACTCACTCACAACTTGTTTTTCACTCCACCATGACAATACAACTCATGTCACTTTTTTCCTCGTTTCAAGAGTTGGAGATTAAAAATTTGTCCACATTATTTTGACGGTAACAGGTGGAATGGGTTAAGTATTTTGACGTGTATAATATAAAGTGTCGTCTATTATTCTATATGACATCCGTTTTTTTTTGTTGGGGTCATGAGAGCCTTGAATAGACGTATATACTTTTATGCAATTTTACTTGTCTTTTATTTAAAAAAAAAAACTCATAATCTTCGAGAAGGTTTAAGATGATGTCAAAATTTTACCCTCCAGAAAGAAAAAAAGATCGAGAAGGTCTAAGATCATAAACCGGTTTTTGTTTCGCGACCGACATTGTGCCGGTCTAGTGATATATATATATATATATATATATATACGTATAAATCACACAATCTCGTTATATCTCTTAAACAACGAAGATCTGCACCATGATTCAGGCTTAGCTTTTTTCCCCAAAATATCGCTTCTTCGAGTTTGCTAGGGTTTCTCTCGCTTCGATCTTCGCCGCTGTTTACAATCTCGGGTATCAATTCTGTACCAGCCTCTGATTTATCGGTAATTTCGCCTCGATTCGCTCCATTGGGTCCCATCAGTCTTTCTGATCGGCTTCGTCTCGGTAGAAGGACGATTTGGTGATTCCCGAGGTTCGTTTTCTGCCCTAATTTTTGAGCTTGATCCTCTTTTTATGCTTCGATCAATGGATTTTGTATAGGTTTTTGCTGTTTCGATCTACCATTCTGCTTCTTTATTCCGGGAAAGTTATGGCTTTCGCGGGAAAAAAAAAATATCTTGTTGGAGCTGCGTCTTTTCCTCCTTCACTTTTCTCTAGATTGTACTTGCAAAGTTATGTACTTATGTACATATCTGTGCATTGGGTGGGGTAAATTTTTGATTTTACTCTTTTGTATGTACTGAAAAATTGGCTTTTCGATTACATTTGTTTGTGGACTCTCCTTTTTGTTGTCTCTATGGCGTTGTCTTTCCGCAGTTGCTTTGATGACTAATTGGTTTGTTCTAATTTTGTAGGAGAAAGAATCATCCTTTTCTCTTATGTAAGTGATTCTGATGCTCGTTTTCTGTGGTGAGATTCGTTGCGGGCTGATTTGATGAGGAAAAAGCGGAAAGGAAGTGAGACTGAGTGTTCGGAGAACTTACCGGAGGATATATCATGTACAACTGCATCACGATCATCCAACTTCAGGTCACACTTTTCGCTAGAGGGTTATGCTAGACTGAAGAAGCGTTGCAAGGAGAATGATGATGTTGAGTCCTCCGTGGGTTCCTTTAAGAGACGACTTGCTGGCGTTGCAACTGCACCTCCTTGCGGTGCATCGTCTTTGGTTTCATCAGGAAGAGGTTTGAAGAGGAAGATAGGGTGCATAGATGTTTCCACACAGACTGGTAGGAAGAATAAGATAGGCGATGACTATGTCTTTGGTCCGAATATTGGGAAAGGGAAGTTTGGGTCAGTCAGGATCTGTAGGTCGAAGAATAATGGGGTCGACTTTGCTTGTAAGACTCTGAAGAAGGGGGAGGAGACTGTTCACAGGGAAGTTGAGATAATGCAACATTTATCTGGCCATCCTCGGGTTGTCACATTGCATGCTGTATATGAAGAGTCAGATTGTTTCCATCTTGTGATGGAGCTGTGTTCAGGGGGGCGTTTGATTGATCAGATGGTCAAAGAAGGCAGGCATTCTGAGCAGCGAGCAGCTAACATATTCAAGGACCTCATGCTAGTCATCAATTATTGCCACGAGATGGGAGTTGTGCACAGAGATATAAAACCTGAGAATATTCTCCTAACGGCTGCTGGGAAGATACAGCTGGCTGATTTTGGCCTCGCCATGAGAATTGCAAAAGGTGATTATATTTAGGCGTTAATAATTCCTTAGAATTTTTGTATGCAGTTACATGCTTCTTAAACCCTAAATTCCTAGATATTAAAGATACATGTTTGTTCATTGGTTTTGCAGGTCAAACATTGTCTGGATTGGCAGGAAGTCCTGCTTATGTTGCACCTGAAGTTCTTTCTGAAAATTATTCAGAGAAAGTTGATGTTTGGAGTGCAGGAGTCCTCTTATACGCTCTCTTGTCGGGTAAACTCCCGTTTAAGGGAGACTCTTTGGATGCCATTTTCGAAGCAATCAAAAACGTAAAGCTTGATTTCAATTCGGGTGTGTGGGAGTCCGTGTCCAAACCTGCCCGTGATCTCTTAGCGAGAATGCTAACAAGGGACGAATCTGCCAGAATTACAGCGGATGAAGTGCTAAGTAAGCCTTTTTCATCTCTTCATTGATAGCTATTGACTTTAACTGTCTGTCTTGGTTTAGTGCTTACCCCATTCTTGACTTAATATTCCACTGTGTTTCAGGGCATCCATGGATACTCTTTTACACAGACCGGACACTCAAGACAATGTGTATCAAGTCGAAGCACAGGAGTCAAGCAGGAACTCCTGCATGCCTTCAGATTCGCAGTCTGATAGAGAAAACTGACCTAAACAGTGCTAACAGAGAAGAGAAGACAACATCTGATGCACCGACTGATTCATTCTCCAATACAGAGGAGGAAGAAGATGAGAGCGGTGTGGTTGATGTGCTTGTTGTTGCAATCTCTAACGTGAGGATCTCAGAGCCAAAGAGAAGCAGAGTCTGTAGTCCCACAAACAACCCCGTTGAACAGCAACACTCCTCTAACTTGACCACGACTAATACACTTTGTCGAGCCTTCTGACAAACAGCTTCACACACACACACACACGGGCTACGTCCAAGTCTCCAAGTCTTCGTCCATGATATGGACCTTAGTGACACTCTTTATTATGTCATAATAGCTCTCTAATAGTTCGATTTGATCTGATTTTGGTGTTTTTCTTCAACATTTCTGACAATGTTGTACAGATCGTGTAAATAGAATATGCTAAGATCTTTGATCCGATTTTGTATCGGAGTTATCTGGTCATGGAGAAAAAAGCCACTACCTGCTTAATGCAATTGCCAAATCGTTACAACAATCACAATACTACGTAGGAAAGTAAATAAATAGTACACGGAAGTTTTTGAAACAAAAACAATACAGAATAAGAAAAGAAAAAAGAGAGTACTAGTGCTAACTATTGATGATCATCATATTTATAACATTCACTAAATTATTTATCCGATTCAGTTAATAATAAAGATTCACTAAATAATTTACACTAGTCTTAAAACTAAAGTTTTATTATTGGCTAAAGTGATCAGAACACTTATTTAATTAACTAAATAAATAAAAAACGTTGACAAAAAAAAAACAACTAAAAACTATAAAAAAAAAAAACAAGAACACCTTAGTCGTCGACCATCGTGTAGGAGTATCACAGGAAATAAAAATCATCTCACATGGTTGGAGGTGACAGGTAAAGTTGAACACTGCCGGTCCGATCGGTTATCCGAATCCTCAGTCTCATACCGGTAAACTCGATTTGTTCTATTGCTTACGGTGGAGGGAACGAACTAAATCAGTTATGCAGGATTCGTTACAATTGTATATGATATTGTCACACTCCCAAATTATCATTTAGCTCTTCCTTTTTTTGGGTCTCGACAGTTTCTAACACAATATTTTAAATCAGGAAAAAATCTCGATTTGGATTGAATGTGGTGATGATACAAACCAATACTTTATATCTTTAATATTTAGGAATTAATTTTAGATTATAATGAGAATTGTTATAATCGCCTTCAGTTCTTGGCGGGGCATCTGTCCGAGCATGAATCCACGCAGTCCGCAACTTTCTCTACATCTGCTCATGCACAAACAACAACAACAAAAAATACATAAATTATAAAAAAAATCAATTAAAATCAATGATATCAGATATTACGTGTTGACAAAACATATGATACTTAACTTACTAGTTACTACATCTATATAGAATATAGATATGATTTTGATTAATAAGATAGTTATTCATATAATCAAGAAGTAAACTGCGTTTTTGTCCCATTAAAAAAAAACATCTACATGGTTATCGATTAGCAAAAAAAAAAAAAAAAGAAAAAAAAAAAACACTTACTCGGATTTTGGAGAGAAGAAAGGGGAAGACAGTGATGAGTAGCACACCCGAGTTTGCAGAAATAATCAATATGATCGAATTCATTTGACAAAACCATTTGAGAAGGAGGAGAAGGATTTGGTGATGGTGGAGCGCCAAGACAAGTCATGATACAAGTCAATGGACACATAAAAGCATTTGGAAACTTCTTCTCAATGGCACAACTCAATATACAGCCTGGGTAACAGTTTCTAAAAGGAGAAGCTTGAGCTTCTGTCTGAACCATGATGTTTCCCATCACTATCATCATTGTCACCATCATCACAACTCTTTTGCTCTCCATTATTTCTTTAAGAGAATATTATAAAAGGTGATGTATGTTTTTTTGTTAATTGTGAATGTTGTTAATTTGTGTCGTTATTGTTTGGTTATATAGGGATTATGGAATTTTCTGTAGTAGTTGTTGAAAAAAATAAAGATGGAAAGAATTTTCTGTATTAGTTAACATTTCTACAGTCAACAACAGTATAAGGTGTAATTATGGAGCGGCTAATACGATAATGGACAATTCTTTAATTTAACCTATATCTCTGATTTGCTGCTTTTTTTAATTCTCATTTATGAGATGAAATTTGAAAGGTTGCATTAACGTAAATATATACATGCTGTTTTTAGATATATATATACACTTAGATACATGAATCTGATTTTTCTTGTCTTGGCTGGCGTCTCATGAATCTGTTTGAATTTTGTTGAATATATGTATTAATGTGAAAAAGAATAATATGTCTTTTGACACTACCGAAAAATATATATTTTGAAAATTGCATGTAAAAAAGATCATCCGTTGATGACTTGACGTATTAAATATCGTATCCATTCATACGTTTATTTGTATTTTTTTCATGGAATTTCACTGTTTTTTTTTTTTTTGAGGGGACCATAATCATATCTTGAAGAGTTGCAAACTTGGACAAACAAACGGTTTATGGAAGTAGCAAATATTACATCATTCCATAATGCATTAACGTCAATCAAATAAATTTAAGAAATAGAGATCAAACTCTGGAAACAACATACATGGTATCCGATATTGGAGTGAGCAGAGAAAGCAACCTGATCATATGATTTGGTTTCGGGATCATGTATCACCAGTCTTCCACTTAACTCGCGAAAACAGCAAATTTTTTTACCCTAACAGATTAGTGTGGAGTAGATTTGGAGTACTTATGGTTTTTTTTTTATAGGGTCAGGATATGGTAGGGTAAAAATTACCCACCAAAACATCCTTAAGTGTGTTTTCCCAAGAAGTAGGGATCTTGACCGATGATGACGATGAACCCAACACAAGTGTTGTTAGAGATTCTATGCCCGCGTTAATAAAATCGTCAGGAGAGATGGACACCATGAGGACATCTGGATCTCCTAATTGCTGACGCTGCTTGAGCTGTCTTTTTTGGAAGAATGGATCTCCGATCGTTGAGTTCCATTGCTTCGATACAGCCTTGAATCTCATCAGAGTGTTCAAAGGAAGTCTCTCCAGGATACACTCTACAACATCGTGGGGCAGTGATTCTTTCCTCAACAACCTTAACCTCAAGCAGCCTCGTTTTTTCGACATTCTTGCCATTGTTGGATTCGGAGAGGCTTAATTTATAGAGAATACAAGTAATCTCTCACAAACAAACAGGGAAAAGGAAAAACCCTTCAACGAAAAATCAACACTGAAGGAAAATCAAATCTACGAAAAGGAAAAAAGGGTTTTCTCCTCTCTCTCTCTCTCTCTCTCTCTCTCTCTCTCTCTCTCTCTCTCTCTCTCTCTCTCTCTCTCTCTCTCTCTCTCTGTCTCTCTGTATATCTACACAAGATCTCTCAACTGTTTCACTGTTTCTAGTTATCCATATAACTAGAACAATGTGTAAAAATATCTTGTATCACTTTTGTATAGAAACTCAGGTCAAACATATCATGTTTATAATTGCATGCATTGATATATCTAAATCAAATTAAAACTTGTAACTTGTAATAAAAAAATATATGTATTGAGATTTATAATCATCAAACTTTCTTGAATTTTATATAGTACGGCAGTGCGGCTGTTACATGCTTAATAGTTAATATAAGTTTTCAAAAACGATAGATATGTCTTGTACCTGCGAACTAACTTTTGATTTTTACACTTTAAATACATGCTTACACTCAAATTAATTTTGATTTTTAGAATCAATTGTTTTCTGAAACTAATTTGGTTCGGATCGAGGTTACACGATAAAAGTACTAATTCGGACCACTATTCATGTAGTAAATGGTCATAGCTAACGATCAATTTTTACAACTGAATATTAATCAAGGGTTCACAGTTTTATTGACTAATTTGCTTGTAACAAAAATATATATAGTAGATTAAACTCAATAAATAAATATCCAATTGATCTGCCAAAAAGGTGAACACCCACTGAATTTAAATATCGCATCAACATATAACTATTTAAGATATGAAATTTCTTCGTTAAAATGCAGTTTTTATAAAACAAAAATAATATCACTATTTCTTTTCCGTGGAGCACTTGTCCGAGCATGAAGCCATGAATCCATGCAGCTTGCAACTTTCTCCACATCTGTCCGTAATACAAACAACAACAAAAATATAAATACAAAAAGCTTGTTATAATAAAATAAATAACAATACACAGTTTTTAAGTGCGAGATTATCACACCATTCTTCCAATTAGCACATACACATGACTAAAATGTTCACTTTACGAAAAATATGTATGCGAAAAACGAAAACTTACTCGGATTTTGGAGAGAAGTATGAGAAACACAATGATGAGTAGCACAACCAAGTTTGCACAAGTAATCAGTATTGTCGATTTCTTTGGTTAGATCGTTATCAGAAGAAGGAGAAGGAGATGGTAGAGTAGGAACAAGACATGTCATGAGACATGTAAATGGGCACCATCGAGATTTTGGATATGCCGTATGAGATTTACATACTCCAAGACAATCTGAGTAACAACCTTTAAAATGGCTAGACTTAGCTTCTGCCTGAACCATAAGGTTTCCCATTACCATAACTATCATCATTGTCACTAACATCACCATTCTCGTCTCCTCCATTTATTTATTTTTTAAAATATTATTAAGTTGACAAATTATTTATTATTGCGAATATTGTCTGTGTTAATGTTCGTTTATAAAGGGATTGCGAAATTTCTAAATTAGTTAACATTTTCATATAGTCAACATTCAACAAGTAATCAAGGTGTAATATTAGCGTGGTGATCTGATGATGAATGGATATTAGCAGTTTCCATTTATTTCCAATTTTTGTTTGAAAAAATATTTATTTCCGATTTTGAGTTTATATACATCTTTTTTTGGTAAATGTACAGACGTATCAAGATATCACAAAAATTCCAAACAATTTGAACTTTGAAGTGAGCAGATCTCACAATTAGGAGATGCATGAAACTGACATACTCAGATGATAACACATGATTCAATGTTTTACGGGGTTAGTCTTACGAAAATATGTATGCAAGTGAAACTTACTCAGATTTTGGAAGCTGTCTTCAGCCATATGGCATTGACTGGTTTTAACCCGCGCAAAGACTCCCAGGAACCGTAAGTTCGTAATTAACTCAAATGCTCTTCAACAAAACCAATTACAAAGAAGCAGTCTGAAAATGCAGAATCTTCAAACAAGAACTCATCAGATACAATTGGAAAATGATTCAGGAAAGCTGTGGAAAGAAAGAACAAAAGCAGCATAAGTTTCCAAATCAAATAAAAATTCTCGAAGAAGTGATTCACTTTAACAAAAAAAAAAGGAAAAACAGTACCGCTGCTCTTCCCTAGTAAAAACAAAAAACAGACAAAAAATTCAAGGTTTCTAAAACCAATAAAACAACTAATCAGAACCGAATCCCGAACTCACCGGAGAAATTAACTGTATAATCAAAGGGTGGTGTCAATAATTACCATTTTCTTTTCTCTCTCTGAAAGGTACATTGTTTGAAAATTACAAGTGAAGAGAGGTAAAATAGAGATTACAAAGAGATAAAGATGGTTTAAACTTTAAAGAGGTTACAGTTTTTGTTTTTGTACATTGCTTGCTTGTAACACAAAATACATCAAATCAAGAAATTAATTATCATTTGGATTGATGTTTCACGATATACAACCTACTGACTTATATATTTTATTTAGATTTAATTTCATAGAACAATATCATTCGCCATCGCACTTCTTGGAACACTGATTCTTGCAGTTCTCTTTGCATGAATCGTGACATGCTGAAACTTTCTCTACATGATCTGCACATACAAAGAAAAAACCACAAGAAAGTTAATTATGCATTATCCACACGATATAATCAATTGAAAAAGACTTCATCAAACATTCTTACTTTTAGGACATTTAATTTTACTTCAAATGATTAGACCCTCATGATTAACTTGTAGGGGTTATAAATGAAAACAATTTATGTAAGAGCTGAAAAAACTTAATTATTACCCTTAGCTTCCACAGGTGATATTTCAAGACAACGTCTGGCAGCACATCCGCGTTTGCAGTCTTCATCAATGAATGTAAGACAGTTATTGATACACCTCAAAGGACATCCCCACGGCTGTTTTGCATCACCAGGTCTAATAACATTTCTTTCCCCTTCTTTAACACACTTCCCAATACAGCTTGCGTAAGATTCTTTGAAAATTTGCCGCAGATCCAGCCTTTGTCTCAATCAGAAGGTTCCCCATCACCAACATCATCATTACTACCATCGCCATTCTTTTGCTCTCCATATTTTTCTGCAGGACACAAACACTATGAGAATCTGGCCACCATTTATAGTAAAAAAAATGGTTAAAAACAGCTATTTTCCGACTAATTTTTGACCAATTATGGGTTATAGAAATCGATGGTCGAAAATAAATCAAACTTTGTGACTAATATTATTGGTCAAAAACTTCTGACCAAATAAACTGGTAGAGGATTTATATTCTGACCAACAAATTTGGTGGAAAAGTTCTGACCAATAAATATGGTCATAAAATTTTGTCAATAATAAATTACAATTTTAAAAATTATTATTTTCGTTAAAATTTAGAAATGATTAAAAATTTCGGAAAATGAAATTTTATTAATATAATAATATAAAAATAAAATATTGCGTATTTTTGTTTTGAAGAGAATATTATAAAAATTCATTGAAATTGTTTGATAGTTATGAATTGTGTAACTTTGGGTTAAAGTTGACATTTTCATAATCAGTAACAAATTAGTAGTGATTTTGATGTCATAATGACATACTGTAGTTAGTAAATAATTTTAGTTCCATTCAGTTCGAATCTATAGATTTTTATATTACTTTTTCTGTAGGAATTGTTGACCAAAAGGATAGAAAGAATTTTCTCTATTAGTTAACATATCTACAGTTAACAGCAGTATCAGGTAATTTCATCTATTTCTGATTTGCTGCTTATATTATCTTCAGTTTATGAAATAAAATTTGCATGAACACCAGTGCAGTGCCTAGGATTTTTGAGGCATAGGCGGGATATGAAAATTAGTTAAATTATTTAATGATAAATATTATATAGAAACTAAAAGATTTATTATATAGAAAACTAAGCTAAAATAGACAACATAACTGTACACTTTTTTTTATAAATTAAACAAAAATTTTAGGAAAATGGTAACACAGTATTAAAATTTATTCTTTTGCCTAAAATAGTTTAGGTTAATGCATATTTTTTTGTCATAAACATATGTAATATAACAGTATCTAGAATCTCTAGATATAAGAAAAAAAAAATCTGTAGATTCTAAATGAATGGAATTAGATTTATCTACTAACGTCGTTATCACATCAAAATCACAACAAATTTGTTACTGATTATGAAAATGTCAAATTTAACAAAAAAGATATACAGTTCTTATATAAAGAAGCCATAGTAAGACAAACCAACATTCATAAAGTAACAAACACTTTCAATCAACTTTTATATCATTCTCTTCACACACACACAAAAAAAAAAAAAAGATCTTTGTATCCTCTAGAGAAAATATGGAGAGCAAAAGAATGGCGATGCTAGCGATGATGATGTTAGTGATGGGGAACCTTCTGATTGAGTCAGAGGCTATATCTTTCGGTCCTTTCCAAGAATGTTACACAGGCTGTGTTGGGGTTTGTGTTACATCTGCGGAGTCAGCTAAAAAGTTGTTATGTCCTTTCACGTGTATCAAGGACTGTCTACATCCTAAAGTTTCTTCTGAAGTAAATCTAAATGAAATTGACGACACTGATTATTTCTGCAAACTTGGATGTGCTACCGATCGTTGTATGTCACCCTCAATCGAAGATAAGGGTAATATACTAATATTTAAGTTTTGCAGCTCTTATATAAGTTATCTTCATTTATAACTCCACAGCCTGATCATGTGGTTGTGGGTCTAAGGATATTAAGTAAAATGTCCTAATAGTGAGAAATGTTTGATGAAGTTTTTATGTCACTGAATCAATTATATCGTGTGGATTAATCTATTTTATTTTCTTGTGTTTTTTTCATTGTATGTGCAGATCATGCACAGAAAGTTTCAGAATGTGTGGATTCATGCTCAGATATGTGCTCTTAGAAGGCGCTAAAACCTACATTAACTGATTTTTTTCTATGAAAATTAATCCAAATAAAAATATATAAATCAGTAGTTCACTAGTTTGTATCGTTAAACATTCAGTCCTATTGAGAATTTATTCTGGATTTGATATCTTTTGTGTTACAAGCTAGTCAATTACCAAAAAAGAAAAAACTGTAAGCTCTCTAAACCTTATCTGTATCTCTTTGAAACCTCTCTCTCAACTTGTAATTTTGAAACAATGCATGTACCTTTGACAGAGAGTGAAAAAATAAAAATAAAAAATGATTTACGCTACAAAAAACCCAACAAATGTACCACATCAATCCGAAACAAAAAAGAGTCTAAATGATAAAAGATATGTATACTAATTTATTTATTTATTCGGTTAACCATCGTATTTCACGTTTCTATCTAATTGAGTTGGCGTTGCAATATATAATATTCGATAGCATGCATTTTACTAAAGACTTAGAGTTATAAGGAATTACTAGCCGCTTATCGTCCCTAAATTATTTGCAATAATGTGTTTTATATCCAGGCTTTTAACTTACAGTCTTTTTAAGTCCGAGACCAACCTTTGTTAAAAATCTTTCAAGAAATTAAATCATCTTTCTTGAATGAAATAAATTAGGAATGCAAGATTTAACCCTTTTTATTTTAAAGACTGAACCAACACCCGTTAAATTTGAACTCCGTTATGTTTTACCCGTTCTATTTTCTTCCTCCAAAATCTGAGTAAGTTTACTTGCATACGTATTTTCGTAAGTCTAATCCGTTAAACATTTAATTATGTGTATCATCTAATAAGTTACCCCGTAAATATACACATGCGCTGTTTTAAGTTATAAAATTACTTGGATAAATCTGATTTTTTTTTTGTTGGCGTCTCATTATCTGCTTCACTTTTGTTAAACTAATTCGGATCAGTTATGAGGTTTATACCACTATTCATGAGGTAAAGAAATGGTCATAGATATATAAGGATCAATTGATTGACTAATTTACAGCGGGATATTTTAGACTACTTGTTACGGATTCGATTGTTTTGACTTGCTTGAAACACAAAATGGTTTATATCTTTTTTTCATCTGGGTTACATACAAATGGTTTATATCTTATTTTTTCTAAATGTTAAATGGTTTACATCTTTTTTATTCAGACATTAATTTACTTGTAACAAAAACCAATTAATATAGGTTTTAGTTCTTGTGAGAGCACATATCTGAGCATGAATCCACACATACTGAAACTTTCTCTGCATGATCTGCACATACAAAAAAAAAAACATAAGAAAGTTAATTAGAATCCACATCAAAAAAATAATCCAATGATGTAAAAAAATCATCAAGCATTCTTACTTTTAGGACATTACTTAATATCCTTATACCCACATGATTAAACTCTATAATTACATCTGAAAAATAATTCATTACTAGAACTGAAGAACTTACCCTTATCTTCGATTGAGGAGGATGAAATACAACGATCAGTAGCACATCCAAGTTTGCAGAAATAATCAGTCTGGTCAATTTCCTTTAGATTTACCTCAGAAGAAAGCTTAGGATGTATACAGTCCTTGATACACTTGAAAGGACATAACCATTTTTTAAACCCGTGCGCAGATATACCACACACCACAGAACAACCTGTGTAACAAACATTAAAACTTATAGCCTCTGTCTCAACCAGAAGGCTCCCCGTGACCAACATCATCATCACCACTAACATCGCCATTCTTTTGTTCTCCATTTTCTTTTGAGGATACAAAGATTTTTTTCCCCGGAGAGAATATTAGAATAATTTGATGAAAAGTGTTTGTTAATTATGAAAGTTGATTTGCTTATATAGGGATTGTGTAACTTTGTGTTATAGTTAATATATTCATAATCAATAACATATTCATATAGTTAACATATTCATACTCAATACCATATTTTCATAATTTTGATGTGATAGACACAGTAAGTAATTAAATTTAATTCCACTCATTTATAATTTAGAGATTTTTGTTTCTCTTTACATCTAGAATCTAGATATTGTTATATTATATGTTCATAACCCAAAATAATGCAGTAGCCTAACACGTAGGTGTAGGCTTTCACTTCTTCATACTAAGTACAATTAAAGCCAGATCCATTCATGTATGTATAACAAATAGAAATAAATCCATTGTCTAGTATCCTAGTTTCAAATCTAGAAATTTTGAGTCCTTGATTTCACTATCGCAGCCTGGATATTCTATTTTCCAGATTGCATCCCAATTTCCAGAAATTTTCTTCATTCTTAGTTAATAACAACATTAAACGATTACAACTATTCAAAAGCACTAAAAAGTTCCAAAACGAAGAGTAGAGTAGATTCGAACCCTCTGAACCTTCAAGAGTCTATCGTATCATTAAGAACCATCAACAACGAAGCAGCATTTGAACCGGATTTGGCTTTAAATAACGCAAAAAAGAACAAAAAATAGTAAAGCCTCATTTGGCTTATTCTCGGCATAAATTTTAGTACTAATACATCACAGCGACTGCCATAAAGCCCATCATGGTGTAAACGATCGGCCTGAAAGCAGAATTGTCTCTCTCTATTACTCTCAGGCATCGGCTCGACGATAGGGCATGTACCTGTGATCCTTTGTTGCATTCTTCTTCCTACGCTTGTCAAGAAACGATGAAAGCTTCCCAGATTCCTGGATTGCACAAGAAGAAGAAGAAGAAGAAGAAGAAGAAGAAAAAAGCGACTCAGTGATTCTGTTTTTATTAAAAGTCTTAAACTTTGGAGTCCAAACTGAATTTACATACCTTGAGACTGTTGTACTTCTCAATGAGTGTTTGCTTTCGGATTTCCGCTGCATTAAGAAGAGAAAACGATTCAGCAAATTATCGAAACTGCTATGTTCAACGCAAACTCGGGACTTTTGAGTAAGAACATACATTTTTTGAGATAGTAAGGCTTTTTCCCCTCCTTTGCGGCTTCGCGTTCTTTCTTTTTGTGTTCTGTTAGTATTGCTTTTCCTTTGCTATAAGTTGATGATGGCTCATATTTCAACATTTTCTCCTGAGATATATTATATAACAGAGGCAAAGGCAAAGGTAAAGAAACAGGTTATCAAAGAGTTTTAGCAGAAGCCAGTGAAACAGCAACTAGACACAACAGGAGCGCAAAAGAAAAGACCACTTACAACATAATTTAACCGGTCCTTCAATTCGTTGACCTCTTCTGGATTCTTTGTTTTCTTTAGCTGCTTTTTCAGTTCCTGTTTTTAAGAACCCCGGAAAAAAATAAAAGTAAAACAGCTATGCGAGAACTTCGAAACTGGCAGAAACTTGCAAGACTTACTAACAGCATTTTAGCATCAATCAATACCTCTCTTTCTGCAGGAAGTTTTCCCTCGAAGAAGAAACTGTATCGCTTCCTAAACCTGCAAAAGTTAAAAACTTGCTCTCACTCAAACAATAACAATGAGGAAACTATAACTAGATTCATGTTCACAGGAGAGAGATATATGGATACCCCTCAGGGTCAACTTTTCCAATCAATGAGTCGAATCGAGGATCGCGAACCACCTGAATGCAAACAAAGAAACTCGTAAACAAAAACTCAACAATAATTATACACCCCCAAAAAGATCAAAACACTTGGGGAGAATCCACAAGAAGAGAAACAGAGAATTGAACTATTCTCAATGCTCAAACTTTTATTACCTTCTTTGGAACTTGGACTACCTCTCTATATCGACTCACGGGTCTTTTCGAGCTTAACTCCATTGGTCTTTTTCCATCACAAACAAAAAAAACTAAGATTAACAAACAACCAAACAACTGAAAGAAAACAATATAACAAGAGAGGAAAATGAGGACCTGTTTTTGTTTGCACGACTCGTTTTCTTCACTTGAAATGGTTTCAAGGGAGCTGCACGAGATCCATCAGCCCGCAATTTATGTATTTCCTCCAATGTTAACTCATTTTTTGTTTCGTCTTCCTAATTTCCCAATTCAAAAACAGATTTCTTTATTTTCAAATCAAAGAGATTAAGGAATCAATCAACAAACAAGCAAGAATGTCCTGAGTTTTATGATTGTTCTAAAGCTTCTAACCTCATCAGAAGAAGACACAGAAGAACACGAGAGCGCTTTTTCATCTTCTTCACTGTCCTCGAAAACTATTTTACTCGAACTCGGTTCAAACTTACCCGCTCCTTTCATTGTCAACACGTGAAACCTAAAAGATACATTAGCATTAGCACAGAAACATAATCAGCTCCTAGTGCCCTCAATCATGGAATGTAATCGAAAATTTCAGTATTGGCATAATCGAAACCAATTCCTAACCGAGTGAGGAACAATACCAAAACTTAAAAAAACTTACTTGGTAAAGAGAACGATGAATTGTCGGAGAACGGCGCGAGAAGCCGAGAAGTATTGAAATAACGATACAACTGAGAACGGGATTGTAAGATTTGGGGGAAAATAGGAAATTAGGGCTTTTATTTGATTCAATTCCGCATTAAACCGAACCGACTTCGATTGGTTTTTAGAAATTGTACCGATCGGTTAATTACAGGTGAAAAAATTGATGCTTGTAAACAAACAAGCGAAGAATCACACGACACGAATCCATCATCGTAGTCTGTGAAGAAGCTTCCCTTCCCCTCCCGGAGCGACTCGGTCGTGACTCACTAACTCAGTCCGAGTTAAAACCGGGTTTTTCGATTCGTCGTCTCAACAGCATGGAGTTGATGGACATGAATTCGATGGCTGCTTCGATCGGCGTTTCAGTCGCCGTCCTCCGTTTCCTCCTCTGCTTCGTCGCTACCATCCCCGTCTCTTTCGCTTGGCGAATCGTCCCGAGTCGACTCGGTAAACACGTCTATTCCGCAGCTTCTGGTGCTTTCCTCTCTTACCTATCCTTTGGCTTCTCCTCCAACCTCCACTTCCTCGTTCCGATGACGATCGGCTATGCTTCCATGGCGATTTATCGACCCAAGTGCGGAATCATCACTTTCTTCCTGGGTTTCGCTTATCTCATTGGCTGGTACGTAAAAGAACGAACTTTCCCCTTTTTCGAAAACCAGTGCTGATTTTGAACAATTCCTTTTGCATGACCCTGATCTAATAATTATGGCGCGCTTTCGAAATTTTTGTAGCCATGTGTTTTACATGAGTGGAGATGCGTGGAAAGAAGGAGGAATCGACTCTACAGGTAACTCTTTAATCTCTTGCTACATTCTCGTAATGGGTTGAATTGAGTTTATGAATCTCGAAACAAAACAAAAAAAAGATCTTGTGAGCTAGTGATGGAATTCGGTTAAAGTAGTGATTTTGATTTGCCTTTTGATGTATTAGGAGCGTTGATGGTGCTAACACTGAAAGTTATCTCGTGTGCGATAAATTACAATGATGGGATGTTGAAGGAGGAAGGTCTACGTGAAGCTCAGATGAAAAACCGGTTGATTGGTATGCCGTCTCTTATCGAATACTTTGGTTACTGCCTCTGTTGTGGTAGCCACTTTGCTGGTCCTGTTTATGAAATGAAAGATTATCTCCAATGGACCGAAGGAAAAGGAGTAAGCTTCTTCTTCTTCTCGAGTACTCTCTTTGTTCTTATCTTTATAGGCTAGTTTGTAAATTTATAAACTTTTTGTGCTTTTCTAGATTTGGGAAACTTCCGAGAAAAGAAAGCGGCCATCGCCTTATGGAGCTACAATCCGAGCTATATTGCAAGCTGCGATTTGCATGGCTCTGTATCTCTATCTAGTGCCGCAATACCCATTGACTCGGTTTACTGAACCGGTGTACCAAGAATGGGGGTTTTGGAGGAAGTTTGGTTACCAATACATGGCCGGATTAACGGCTCGTTGGAAGTATTACTTTATCTGGTCAATTTCAGAGGCTTCCATTATCATCTCTGGTTTGGGTTTCAGTGGTTGGACCGATGATGCTTCACCAAAGCCGAAATGGGACCGTGCCAAGAACGTGGACATTCTTGGTGTCGAACTTGCTAAGAGCGCGGTTCAAATCCCGCTTGTATGGAACATACAAGTCAGCACCTGGCTCCGTCACTGTAAGTATATATCAAAAGAGTCTTTGTGATACTTTTATCATCGTGAGAGACGATCCACTTGCTCACATTGTTTTAAGCTACAGACGTGTATGAGAGACTTGTGAAGAACGGGAAGAAAGCGGGTTTCTTCCAGTTACTAGCTACACAAACCGTCAGTGCGGTTTGGCATGTGAGTTTTTTCTTCATCTATTCTAATCTTACTATTTTCAAGTGCTTCCAATGATGGAGGAACCTAGATTTGTTTTGATCTTCTTCCCCATAGGAGACTAACTAACCGCATCTAATTTGATTTGCAGGGACTGTATCCTGGTTACATGATGTTCTTTGTTCAGTCAGCTTTGATGATCGCTGGCTCACGGGGTAAATATAGTTTACCAAGTTTCACTCTTTTGCTGATGGCATCTCTCTTCTTCTTGATCAAAATCTGTTTTTTCTTTGCAGTTATTTACCGGTGGCAACAAGCGATCACTCCGAAGCTAGCAGTGCTGAGAAAAATCATGGTGCTCATCAACTTCCTTTACACCGTTTTGGTTCTCAACTACTCAGCCGTTGGTTTCATGGTAACAACTAACTTTTTTTTCTTCTCTCCCGTCACACTTGTCAATCACTCGTAACCGCCTATTTTAACTGTTCGCAATTCGTAATCTCTTAGGTGTTAAGCTTGCACGAAACACTGACTGCCTATGGGAGCGTATATTACATTGGAACAATCATACCTGTTGTATTGATTCTCCTCAGTTACGTTGTTCCTGCGAAACCCTCTCGATCAAAACCGCCTAAGCAAGAATGATTAGTTCTTTACACGCAATTGTGAAAAAAGTAGTACCATTGTTTATGTTTGACCTTTTTTTTTTTTTAAGTTGTATTACTTATTCATCATGTACCTCACTAACAAATACAATAGTTTGCAAATGATACTTTATAAAAAATATACATATATATATATAGTTCGCAAGATATCTTTTTTCTCCATTGCCGGGAGATTTTTCCCTAAAGACAGAAAAGAAAAATTATCTCCATTAGCCTGTAATTTTGGTGAGCTCATCACACTCACGTTGGTTTTCTACAGCGTAATTTTACCGTTATAAGCTATTCCTTGGGTTTCTTGGTAAGATTTCAACTTTAGCTCATGATGATTAACCGGCGATTATTGACATTTCTCTGGCCAGTCTGAGGCATACTTGAATCGGAAACCAGATTTTTTCTAACCGGAATCAGTCAAAGCCACTGCCCTTGAAGAAAGAAGGTACCTTGTTTATATGTCTTCTGTTGCTGTAAAGTAAAAACCCGCCGACCGGTGAGAAAGTCAAAAGTATTCGTCTTTGTCGGAAACAGAGGTTTTGAATCTCTTCTCAATTAATCTTTCGTCCAAAAAAAAACGATGGGGTTTTTGCGGATTTCATTATTCTCACACGTGAGAGGACTGATTCGAAGAGCACCCTCCTCGCGGCGATTCTACAATCTCACACTCTGAGCAAGTAGAGAAACAAGGTAAGTTTGATTGTAAGGAATCGGACTTAAATGAAATTGGGGATGACCCTTATCTTGCTTTGTCGTTTCTAAAACGAATAGAAGGAAATGGGGCATCACCTAGTGTCCAAGCTTATGCTACTGTTATCAGAATCGTATGTAGTTATGGTTTGGATCAGAAACTGGATCGGTTATTTGTGGAACTCATTAGGAAAGGAGACGAGGGACGAGGTTTCAGTGTCAGTGATTTGTTAGAGATCATTAGAGGAGAAGCCGAAGAGGAGGAAGGAGAAGGTTCATCGCAGCAGCTGTTGAGAAGACTCTCTGGTTCCTAGGTTAAAGCCTATGCTACACTGAATATGTTCGACGAAGCTATCGATACTTATTATTATTCCATGCCATGTACTCGGGATGTCAAGGCATTGAATTTTCTAATGAAACGTATGATTGCTTCTGGCGAAAATGATATGGCAGCTCTCTCTATCTTCTGTCAGTTTCGGCTGGATGTGTATAAAGACACTTACTTACTTTTGGTCAAGGCATATCGCAGAGTGGTCCGTGGTTTATGTAACGAGATGAAAATGGACGCAGCTGAAAGACTTGTTCTTGAAATGGAGAAACACGGCAGGATTGCTCATGATGTCTGTGTTTACTCGGAGATAATACAAGGACATCGCAAGGACATGAATTTGCATCGAGCTTTGCGGTTTTTCTTGGATGAAGTGGCGCCGAGAAGAAGGAAAATTAACCGTGTGATTGCAAGCTCGATCCTTCAGTGCCTTTGTCTGATGGGAATGTTCTCGGAAGCTTATCATCTGTTTATGGAGTTTAGAGAGAAGAAGGTTTCTCTTGATAGGTTTTGCTACAATGTCGCGTTTGATGCTTTGGTAAAGCTTGGCAAAGTAGAAGATGCGATCAAGTTGTTCCGAGAGATGACTGGTGAACAAGGTATAGCTCCTTTCGTCGTCAACTACACGACTTTGATAGGTGGTTGCTGTCTACAAGGCAAAATTCACGATGCTCATGATTTGATGATTGAAATGGAAGAAACAGGTAAAACACCTGATACTGTTATCTACAACGTACTTGCGGGTGGATTAGCTAGAAATAAGCGTGCACAAGAAGCATTGGGAACGCTAAAAATAATGGAAGGTCGAGGTGTAAAGCCCACTTCCGTTACACACAACATGGTCATCGAAGGCCTGATTGTTGGAGGTAAAACAGACGTTGCAGAGGCTTTCTATGAGAGTTTGGGACATGATAAATCTCGGGAAAATGAGGCAAGTATGGTAAAAGGTTATTGCGAAGCTGATCTTGTTGATCAGGCCTTTGAACGGTTCAAAAGAGTGGACTTTCCTCTTCGCAAGAATGTGTATTTCACATTATTCACTAGTCTTTGCGCCGACGATAAAGAAGATCACATCGACAAAGCTGAAGATTTACTTGATGGAATGTCCCAACTAATTGGAGTTGAACCTGGCAAGTGCATGTTTGGGAAATTGATTGGCGCTTGGTGTCGAGTTGGCAATGTGAGAAAAGCCAGGAAGAAACTCAAAGTTTTAGTATCTTGTGAAAAGATAATCCCTGATTTGTACACTTACACAGCCATGATCAACGCGTATTGCCGGAAAGACGAGCTCAAGGAAGCTTATGCTCTTTTTCAAGAGATGAAGCAGAGAAGAATCTTTCCTGATGTGGTAACATACACAGTTTTGCTCCATCACAATCCAGAGTTGGATGTGAAGAGGGAAATGAAAGCCCTTGGCATTAAACGAGACCTTCACTACTACACGGTTTTAATTGATCGGCAGTGCAAGACTGGGGAACTTGAAGACGCGGAAAGGATCTTTTGTGAAATGATTGAAAGTGGAGTGGAGCCTGATGCTGCGCCTTACACAGCACTAATAGCTCGTTGTTGTAGGGATGGTTCTATTCGTAACGCGGACATAGTTCTTGAAGAGATGTTGGAAAAGGGGATTGAGCCAAGTGAAAATATCATCAATTTAGTAGAGTTTGCTAGATCAGAGGCCAGGAGGCGTCGACGTCCAAAATGATCCAATAAGAGCTTATGTGGAGCAATTCAAAATCAACCTTTTTCAGGAATCATTGTTTGATGTCTGAAATGGAAGAAAGAGGTAAATCAATCCGTTATGACATTTGAAGAAAATATTTGAATTTTCAAACGGTACAGTACAGTGCCCAAAACACAAGAGGATCAGGCTGTTTGTTTAAAGATAATCAAAACGGATGGGAATCATGGGATAAAGTATCGATTTACAAGTTGCTGTTTCATTTTTTCAGGAAAGAGAAACTTTCTTGAGAACACTGTGGTTTACATGTAGTGGAGATGCGTGGAAAGAAGGAGGAACCGACGCTTTTGGTAACTATTGATTGCATCATCTTAATCCACTGTTGAACTTGTTAGTGAACTGCTAGTAATCCTTGTGTATTCTCGTAAAGGGTTGATTTTAGTTTATAAATCTTAAAACAAAACAAGAAAAAGATCCTTCCTTTGCTTTGTATGCTCTTGTTCTTGTGAGTTTATTATGATGAAAAAATTTGGTTGTAAGTAGTGATTGTGATTTCTTTCTGTGATGTATTAGGAGAAAAGAAAGTAGTCATCGCCTTATGGAGCTACAATCCGAGCTATATTGCAAGCTGCGATTTGCATCGCTCTGTATATCTATCTAGTGCCGCAATACCCAGTGACTCGGTTAACTGAACCGGTGTACCAAGAATGGGGGTTTTGGTCCTTTTGGAGGAAGTTTGGTTACCAATACATGGCGGGATTTACCGCTCTTTGGAAGTATTACTTCTTCTGGTCAATTTCAGAGGCTTCTATTACCATCTCTGGTTTGGGTTTCAGTGGTTGGACCGATCATGCTTCACCAAAGTCAAGAACGTGGACATTCTCTGGTTTGGGTTTGTGTTTGATGTTATTTTCTTCTTAGTTGTAGGAGTATTACTTGTTCATCATTTACCCCACTAACAAATCAAATAGTTCGCAAAAATATTTGTTCTCGGTTGACGGCAGCTTTCTCCCTAAAGACAAAAAGAAAAAAGAAAGAAAAAAAAAGAAGCAATATAAGACAGTTAGAAAAAAAATACACATTTAAATATGTTTGGTGTTTTATCTCTATGTTTGCGCTTAAATTTACAAATGTTTAAAAGTAAAATCAAACACCGTCGTCAATAAATCAATTTCAAAGATGTCCACTAGTATCACCAGAAGTTACCGAGAGAATTAAATAGGAACATAAGTTACATACATGTTTGTTGTATGTAACAGACTGAAGTTTTTTTCTTTAAATGACTGAATGATAGGTAAAAGAAAATATACATCTACAGAAATACACTAGTTAAAGCAAATAGACTTCTTTGATTTTACGGAAATTAAATTTCTAACGTTTTCGACCCAAAAAAAAAAAACTCGAACGTAAAAGCTTTGGCTATTATATTTGGCCTCTCAAGAGCAAATTCTACGTAATGTTCAAAAACAAAAAAAGAGCAAATTCTACGTATCCTTTCAGAATTTAATTAAATTAATATCTTTTATTTAAATTAGATAATGAAAGAGAGTTGATATAGATCCAAACTCAATGTTACTAATGTAGTTATCCATACTTTGTCGGCAAAATATGTTTCTAATTTGTTTTTGAACAAGTAGTCAATAATGATTATTAAACTACTAAAAGTTTGGGTAAATATATATCTATAAATTAATAATGGAATTGCCAAAATATTGTAATTAATTATATTCTTCACAACAATATTATATAATTTTTTAAAGCTTTTTAAATATATAAATATAAATATGCCAATTTTTAATAAAAAAATGTTATATCTTTTGACATCATTTATCTTTATAGAAAATTATAGAAATTGTGTTCTATTAATTTCAAATATATTTTATCTAAGCTATTGTTTTGGGAGAATATTGATAAATAAAACTGTACATTATAACAAATAAATGATGCGGGAAAAAAATATTTAATTAGATAGTGTACCGTGTCAAATTATAGAAAATTTGTAATTTAATTGGCAATGCTATTCAAAAAAATTATTGCATTATAAATCTTAAATATCATATACAGTTTGTAATCATGTTAGTGAAAAATTGTGAATATATATCTTTTAAAGCTACTTCTATGAGATTAGATAAGAACTGCAAATTAATATCAATAGATAATGAAATAATTTTCTAAAAAAATGATTAAAAGCCCATGATTAATCAAACTTTGTAGAATGCCTATATATTTAATAGTGTTACAGGTATGAATTGATTAAACAACAAAAAATATCACGGGAGACTTTAGTCCAATGTTCTCCACATGGATTAGCTGTCCAGTTATTCTCAGTTTCGATTCAGGCTCTACTCATGTGTATGTTTTTTAAAGATAGCGAAAGCCATAACGAGAAAAAAAAAATCCAAAAGTTTTAATAATAGGAAAAATACAAAGATGGCATCTTAACGGAAACAAAATCACAACTTATCACTCCACCAAGTTTCTAATAATAGGAATAAGTGGTTTCTAATAATAGGAATAAGTGGTTTCTAATAATAGGGGTAGTATGTGGTCAGAAACAAAGTGGACTAAAAATTAATGAGACTGTAGATGCGCTGCAATTATAATAATTATCAAATATCGATTATCTTAATGTTTTGAATATCAAAAGGGCCAAAACAAATTGTTATAATATAAAATTGTAAAAAAGTTTTAACTATTTAACTAAGACCGTTTCAAACTATTTGTAGGTCGTAGAAATATATTTAATACTTTTATCACAAAATAGATCTCAATAATAAAAAGAAACGTTATTTTGGTGGTTACTGTATGGTTCACAAAGATGACCAAAAACAAAAATCAACCATACTGTATTTGAAACTTATCCAGATAGTCTTCAGCTCCTCAATCTGAACCGAACAAAATTTAGGTGAACTAGACTGAATCTCGTCTCTTGCAATCGTTTTAATCTAATTAACCTACATAAAGTTAATCGCTGGAGAAAAAATCGTGTCTCTATTCTTAACTCTAATTAATTATTAAACAAATTTAGAATACTCGAAACCTCTTACAATAAACTTGCAAAAATCTTTAAATAGTTTTTAGCCAAACTCCATAAGCAGGAGGAGGTTGGGAAAGGTTATTTTGGATAGAAGATGAATTAAAGAAGATTATTTTAGGTTCGGGATCAGGATTTTTTAGTTGGCTTTCGTTTACAATTAAGGTTATAATTTGGTCTAAAGTTTAAAGGTAATTGTTATAGTCTAACGGAGTGCTAATGTAGATAACATTTGGATAATTCGTAAAGTTCTTTAAAAAGTATTTGTAAAATGTAGGAAAAAACTTATTTTCAGGGTTCAGCTTTTTCATAACATCTATTTTCAGAGATATACTAGAGTAAAAAATATCAGAACAAAAAAAAAAGAATAGCTAGAACTATAAAAATGAATTGTTAAGAGTAAAATAAAAGTCAAGTGTTATGGACACTATATTCACATACATTCTATTTGATATTAGGAAAAAAAAAGAGTTTAAACATTAATAACAAAGGAATTTATTTTAGGATACTCTGATAATATTAATAGATCATAGGTTTTAGTTTTTATAAACTTTCATCAAATGACAGTTGAGATAATTTATGTAAATTTCACATCTAATTGAGATTTTTTTGCACTAATAGTATAAAACACGTTCCATTATTAATCAACGCCAGTTCTCAAATTTCTATTATAAAAAAGTATTCATGTGTAAAGAGAGTGTCTATTGTATAATCGTAAAAACAGCCATTAATGGGTATTAATTAAGATTAAAAGAATGATTAACCATTGTGAGTGTGAGTAAACATGCCAAAAGGGGAAGGGTATCATTAGAAACAACACGTAGGGAGACAAATCTGCAGTGGACCACTATCACATCAAATCAAGTATAAAGATTCGTTCGAAACCAATCTTTATACTGTACTATATAAATCACAGCTGGAGACGTAAAAAAAATCCAAAAAAAAACCAAAAAAATCAACTGGTTGTAAAATAAAATAAACAACAAGCATCAACTTATGAATTTCAAAAGATTTGTAATATCAATTTCAAAAGTTAAGCAATTACCTCGTGTTTAACTATACCTTTCAACCGATATTCGCATCCATAATCATGTGAGGGTTGAAGGTTCACATAAATGGTTGCTACATTTCTTTTTTCCTAACAGCTTTGGTAAGGATTGCCAAAATATATATATATATATATATATATATATATATATTGCCAAAATATCTTAATTAAAACCTTTTTCAATAAACTTTATGGAATTTCTTTGTATTTTGGCCATATAGTACGTCTAGGTCTATGTTGATAATATCATGTTTAGGGCGTAAATTAAATCAGCTGTCATAATGAAGTAATGATTTTAAATCAATATGAATGCCGAAAATAAAAAAAAATCAATGTGAACAAATAAAAATTATAATACACTTTTCGTTTCCATAAACAAATTTCAAGCCCTTAAAGAACAAAAACGATAACTAGGGGGAATTAACTTTGTGCTGTAACTATATATACTACATATATACAAAACTATCATGCATGCAGTTTGATGAAGTGCAGTGGATTACGTCTTGAAATATCATCTTCTAAACACCATTAATTACCAACACGATCGTCGAACCTAACTATGTGAAAATCTGAATCCAGGTCGTAGCAGTTTTTACTATATATAGTAGAACCACAACTTAGTTAAAGCTTCGTTAGACGATTTTAGGTTTTAGTTATCTCGTATATCGTAGGTTGAAGAACTTTCTAGATATTTGTGACTATAAGTTATTTGTAGATCTTTTTGCTTTTTTTTTCTTTCTTAGTAGCTGTTTCGTATGGTATTTGAAATACTTTAACAAACAAAAAATGGTATTTGAAATACTAATCACATATATTTTATGTAGGGGTCAAACACTTTTTTAAAACAGAAAAGACAGTTTGGGATTTTTACAAAAAAAAAGGATTAAGGGTAGAAAACCGAGGAGATGGTGACGCGTGGCAAAGAGTTGCCTTAAACTGAAAAAGAAAAAAAAAACAGTGCAAATGTTTTAGTCGGAAGAGACCAGCCGAGTTAATTTTAGTAATTAATTCCTAAATCTCTTGAAAAAACTATAAAGACGAAATTGGTTTTATGAAATAATTATTTATGAAACAAAAGGCAAATTTCTTCGGACTGACCCATAGCTTTACCATTTCTGAAGACCAGAAACCCATTAATTTTTTCATTATACTATATTCTATGATTTTAAAATATAGTATTGAAAAGTTGTAAAGCAAATGCTCTATAGAACTTAGTGACGGATATCATTATAGAAAAGCCACATGGTCACCTCTCTCTTGTCCGTTTCAGGTAAAATTATTGGTAATTGTGTGTGTGTGTGTTAACCCTTTTGATTGTGAATTAGCAATTTTATGCAATTAGTAGTACTAATTCGTGTTGTCGTTTGTCAATCAGATTCAATATTTTATCGATAGTTTGTATAGAAGCTTATAATTAAATATGAATATGATATAATAATATCCCCTCAAATATAGTAGATTGAATATAATTTTATGATTTTATCACTGTTTTGTGTTTCACAGTTAAGTGTTGTTTTAAATTTTGAAATGCCTAGAGAAATTAATAGAACATAATAACAAGAGTCGATTTTTTTTTATAGAAATATATTGAATTTTATCAACAAGTTTCTTAATTTTCTGTCAAAGTATGTTAAAAATTACTAATTTTAAAGCGAACGACGTATATATTAATTACAGATTAAGAGTTATTTATATGTAACTAAAGATCAAAAAATTAATTGAAAATCTTTATTAAAAATAGTTTTTTTCTTTACGAAAGAAGACGACAAAAAAGGACCAGAAAAGAAAACGACAAATAAGGACCAAGTAAGAAAACACTACTCATGTCCATACATATATGGCCTAACCTTTATAACAAAAAACATATCCAAAAAAGGAAACTCGGAACATCATTTTTTTTTAAAGCAACACTAGACGTATATAATATATATATCGTTGTGTAAATTAACAAGCATCAATCAATCAATTGATACATATGATGATATGAAAACATATCACTACAAGACGAATTAAGTGGAATAAAGATAGCTAGATCGATTTCTGAATATATATATATATGTCTTCTTTTTTTTATATACATAGTCCGGATAAATATCTTTAGCAACGGTATAGGTAGATATGTTTTGTATGTTGAAAACAATGCTTTTATAAATAGCGAGTCAAATTAACATCTCATAAAGATTGAAGAAGAAAAGATAAATTCAACAAAGATCATATTACTCACACGTTTGGGTCTATAATTGATAAACATGAATGTAAAATTAAAATGCAGCGTAAAATTTGGGGAGAATCACATATGTTAGTTAAGAGTTATTAAAGACCGTTTTTATATTTTACCTGAAAAGATATATGCAAACTTGCGACTTGGGAGAGTTTTGATAGTTTGGTTAATCGGATAGTTCGATTCGAGAGAAATATATCAGAAGTTGCCGAAATAGATTATAGCTAGGCTCAGTTGATCAGTTTCGAGCTTAAATTTTTTTACCGAAAATAAATAAAGTTTTGGTATTTTTGTTTAAACTTGGTTAAAATAATGTAAATTTGCTTATACTTAATTAAATTCGGATAATTCCGTTAGTTCTATGGTTTAATATTTAAAAACTATTTTTGAAAATTTTGATATCGTTTAGTACATCCCATTATGAAAATTAAAAGAAATAAAACGAAAAAAATCTATCAATTCGGAAGTATTATACTAAACGGAAAACCAAAATATTTTATGATGTTGCCAATCAGTTTTCTTGCCTTAACCGAATGAAAACCAAAAACCGAAAAGTTCAGTTTCATTCGGTTCAGTTTATGGTCGCATGCCTAGATATTTTGTCAATAAAGACTAGGACTTTTTGTGGTTTGAATGTACAACGAGGGGCTATTATTCATAATAATACAAAGGCGGTGAACGAGGGAAAAAAAAAGACTAATACACAAAGGCCAATAATATAAATCAATAAATGAAGTCAAGAGAAATTAATTTATTTATTATCACTCTAAAAATCCAAGAAAAACAAAACCCTAATTCCAAAATTCAAGAACGCCATTGATTAAACATATCATTTGTGATACATCACATAAGTTACATAATTAAAACACACACATAAAAAAAAAACAAACAAGAACAAGATCGAGATGATTGCATATAGGTAAACAACAGTAAACCGATCAAAAGCCCCACAAGTCCTCATCGTTAGAATTCTCCGGAGAGTCATCCAACGGCCGAGAACTCATCCACGGCGGAGGCGCAACCATCATCCCTTCCGCCATATTAGCAAGTAAATTAGGCATATTCAACACTTCTTCTTCGTCCATAAACTCTGTTCCACACCACGAGGAAGACGCCATGTCACCAGCTACGTGGAAGTCACGCGATCTTGACTTCGAAAAACTACTAGAACTAGTCGTCTTTTTGGCCTTTTCCTCCTCCTCCTCTTCTTCACATCCTTTCATCGCAGCAGCCGCGGCCGCCGCAGCTCGAATATCCGCTGCAGATGTTGATCCCGGAACCGGGTATGACGTGGCGGATCCGGGGAAGTTCAAGATGGCTTCTCTGCCTTTAAGAGCCATAGCAGCCACATCGTAGGCGGCTGCTGCCATCTCTGCCGTTGGGTAAGTGCCGAGCCATATTCTAGTGGTTTTCTTGGGCTCACGGATCTCAGAGACCCATTTCCCGCTCCGGCACCGGATTCCTCGGTATACCGGATCCTTTTTCCGGCCGGCAGTAGTAGCCATTGAGTTATCAGTGCTAGTACGTAGTCAGTATAGTGAGTAGCAAGAGAGAGAAGGGTTTTTCACACGTGGCCAAACCAGAGTGATTTTATTTTCACACGTGTGAGGTGGCAGATTAATTAAAGAAGATGAAGAAGTTTTGGGTTAAGAGGGCCATTTGGTATGATTTGTATGGTACCATCAGCCATATATATATAGCTGATAAATAAACACTGTATGTGTGTGTTATAGACTTATAGTTATGTATATATATAAAACTGGATTATAAATTGAAATAAGTAGGGCTTAGTGAGAGAGATTAATGTTTAAGAATATTAAAGGGTTATTTCGCTAATCTTTTGTCAACTTGTTATTCTCTGGCACTTTCTCACTAGGGGTTGTCGAAAGTGTGTCTTGTTTGGGTTATTCCTGTAACAATAATTGAGAAATTTTTTTAACTATAGTTTATTCTGTGTAGCTTATCGTTTTTAGATACTAGTTGATATAAAAATTTAAGCTAGTGTAATTATCAATATGAAGCAAAAACATATAAACCCTGTATAAATTCAAGAGAAGGCATCGTAAATGTATATATTGATGAATTGGTTAGAAATGAAGGTTCACTTTGTTTTGGTGCATGTTGATCGTCATAGAATTTTAATTATAAAAAAATTGTCGAAGATACGAAAAAAAGTTGATGAGATAGACGTATCCAATATAAGAGAATAATCGGAATATACTAAACCATAGTCTAGAAAAAAAAACTAAAATCTATTTTTTTAACTAAGTCTTTAGCCTTAATTAGATCATAAATCCTAACTTCTTCTTCTTCTTTTTTTTTTGTGTCTCCGAGAGCCACTGAGGGTGCAACGAAGCCACATAAGACTGACTATGATCCTCTGAGGTGGCAGTTTGCGTGGTGAGACGAGCTCTTCTATCTGATGTATTTCCCTCCAAATTCTTAACTTCCACTCTTTGATACCTAAAGGACATATATATGGCCATGTTTGGGGTCTATTAATTATAGCTCCAAGTAGCTCAGCATCTTCCAATACAAGAATCATCTGATTAAGCTTATGGGATTGCATATTCTCTATTGCCCCAGACCATATATACTCAATTTAAATCTTTGCCTCTCCTAATTCTTTCACCTTGCTAAACGATCTCCTACTATGGATCAGAACAAGACCTTCAATTGCATATTTCTTCAGATTATCAAAAGATTCAATCTATTTTTTCCCTCCAATAATCTCATTTCCCCCTCATTAATTAACGTCGTTGTTTCCTTTATACATTATAACAAATTGTGTTTTTAATGCAAAAAAAAAAACAACATTTAGATTGCATACTGGGAAAAACCGCAATTGAAACAGAAGATTCTAAATTAATCGGAAATGGATTCAACTCTAAGATCAATAAGTGAATAAATTATTAAAAACACAAGACTATTTCGAGAAAAATAAATACAAGACTATTTCGAGAAAAATAAATACAAGACTATCTGAGATATTTTTAAAAATAAAAAGAAGACAAGGATATCGAAAAGGAATAAGAGGGAAAAAAAAGTCATTTTGTCAAGTGGGGACCAACATTTAAAGACAACCGGTTTTAATCTGAACCGGTGCATTAAACCGGTTATAAAAGCATATTAAGCAGAACGTCGTATCTCAAAACCGGAGATTTTTTAGGTCTCCGTTGCCTCGTTCATCCCCTTATGTTTTTATTACACATATTTCCCCTCTTTCATTTGGTAGCGAATCCGGCAGAAATTTACGATTTTTCAGGGGATAAATGTAGAAACTTACGCACTAGTGAATTTGGAAGGTTTCTAGTTGTCACTTTTGTTGCAGATAGAAGACTACACATTGTTCAAGAATTCTGAAGGTACTCAAAAAATCGTTGATGGTTTTTTTGTTGAAAATTTGGAATCAAAAGTTATAAAAGCTTAAATCTTTTAGCTGTGTGTGAAATTGGTGTAATGTGCAGACATTAGTGCCTGTGAAAGCTTGAAAGGCGAACAAAAAGCAGCTCGAAATCGAAGACGCGACTCCAGCTTTTATTCAAAGCTTTCAAGTTCTTCACTTTGGGTCATGAGGGGATTGGTTCATACACGTCTTCTCGAGACACGTACTCTGAGAAATGCTCTTCCCTTGTCTGAACGAGCCTTTTATAGTCTCAGTAAAGAGAAAGTCTCTTATAGAGAGAGGCTGAGAAGTGGGACTGTCGATATCAAGAAAGATGAAGCTGTTGATCTCTTCCAGTCCATGGTTCGGTCTCGTCCTCTTCCCAATGTCATAGATTTCAATAATTTGTTTAGTGGAATTGCCAAAACGAAACAGTATGACCTTGTGTTAGCTCTCTCCAAGCAGATGGAATTGAATGGGATTACACATGACATCTACACTTTCAATATTATGATCAATTGCTTCTGTCGAAGTGGTAAAATCTCTGCTGCTTTTTCTGTTCTTGCGAAAGTTATAAAACTTGGGTATAAGCCTGACACAACCACATTTAACACACTCCTCAATGGATTATGCCTCGTGGGTAGAGTCTCTGAAGCTGTGGAATTAGTTGATCGAATGGTAGAGACGGAACATATGCCCAATCTCATTACGCTTAGCACTCTTGTCAATGGACTTTGTCTCAAAGGTAGTGTGTCTGAAGCGGTTGAGTTAATCGATCGAATGGTGGAAAATGGGTGCCAACCTGATGCATTTACCTACGGACCGATTTTAAACAGAATCTGCAAGTCCGGGAAGACTGCTTTGGCCATGGATTTGCTGAAAAAGATGGAAGGAAGAAAGATCAACCTCGGTGTAGTCCATTACAATATCGTCATTGATAGTCTTTGCAAAGATGGGAGCTTCGACAATGCACTCAACCTTTTCAATGAAATGGAAACGAAAGGGATCAAGGCAGATGTTATCACCTACACCTCTCTCATAGGAGGACTTTGTAAAGCCGATAGATGGGATGATGGTGCACAGTTGTTGAGGGATATGATCACTAGGAAAATAACCCCCGACGTTTTCACTTTCAATGCGCTGATTGATAGTTTTGTGAAAGAAGGAAAACTTGTAGAAGCTAATGAATTGTATAAGGAGATGGATCAACGAGGTATATCTCCTGATACCATTACTTATACTTCTTTGATAAATGGGTTTTGCATGAAGAACCGCCTAGATGAGGCCAACCAGATGCTGGATCTGATGGTTAGCAAGGGATGCGATCCTAATGTCGTGACTTATAATTCCCTTATAAATGCATACTGTAAGGCCAACCGAGTTGACGATGGTTTGGAACTCTTTCGCAAAATGTCTCTGAGAGGAGTGGTTGCGGACACAGTCACTTATAATACTCTCATCAAGGGGTTTTCTCAATCGGGAAAAATTAATGTTGCCAAAGAACTCTTCCAAGAGATGGTTTCTCGTGGTGTGCCACCCAGTATTCTGACTTATGGTATTTTGTTGGATGGTTTGTGTAACAATGGAGAAGTGGAAAAGGCATTGGAAATACTTGGAAAAATGCAGAAGAGTAAAATGGATCTTGGTATTGCTATCTACAATATCATCCTTCACGGGATGTGCAATGCAAGTAAGGTCGATGATGCATGGGATTTATTCTGTAACCTCCCTATCAAAGGATTGAAGCCTGATGTCAGAACATATACTATAATGATTGGAGGACTATGTAAGAAAGGCTCAGTGTCCGAAGCGGATCTGTTGTTTAAAAAAATGAAAGAGGATGAATATGCGCCAGATGGTTGTACGTACAACATACTAATCCGAGCACATCTTGAAGATGGTGATGCAACCATATCAGCTAATCTTATTGAAGAAATGAAGGGTTGTGGGTTCTGTGCTGATGCTTCCACCACAAAGATGGTTATCGATAAGTTATCGGATGGTAGATTGGACAAAAGCTTCTTGGCTCTGCTTTCTTGAATGCATGGTCTAGTCTACGAGAAAGTCTTGGTTAGTGTTATTGAGGTTAGCATTTGGGCTGCTTAGTTGAAACCAACTTTGTTTGTTCACATCTATACTCTGAGCATGTCGTCTTCTCCTTTATATATATCCCTTCCTTCCTTCCTGTTTTCGTTTCTGATTGAACTTGAGATGTATTGACGAGTTCTGAAACTTGGAAGAGCAATAGTACTTTTGGCTTATTGTTTATTTATTTCTTTGCGATATTCATTCAATCTTGATGTATTAAAATTATCACTTCTACAAGACTACAAGATACAATATGGAAGATAGAAGACATATTCAAAACTGAATTAACATGTCATCTTCTAAATGGTTTTCGTTAGACTATTTCGTTTTGTGTTAATGAATTGACAATTTACAATGGTGGACGACCAAAATAGAAGGAAAATAAAATAAATATTTTTAAAATTCTGTTTTCCTTCATGTAATCAATTCATTTATAGATGTTTAAAATCATTGTGATCCCAAAAAAAAATATTTTCAACTACGTTTAGTTTATTTAATTTTTATCGATCTGTTTTAAACGATCAATTAGTCTGCTTGATTACATTGCTGAAACAACATCTATCACTTGCTCTCTTAGTAACACGGTAACACCGTTTGAATTCAACAAGTATAGTTGGTTTGGTTGAACAAGTACCGAGAATTAACATCGATGAATCGTATAATCGAGTGATATTTGGGAGGAGACCATATGCTTTGGTTTCTGGCAAAGAAATGTCCATAACCTCTTAAATAAAAATAAAACCCGTTTGACATCTATTGAAGTTTATAGCCCAACAAAAGATGCTTAATTAGTATGTTATGGAAACTGGTAATACACGGGCTATACGAAATAATTAGTTAGCTATAATTGCACATTAAAAGTGTTCACCTAAAATATAAGACAAAACTTTTGGAGAGAAAGAGAGAGAGAGAAAATAAATAAAGGATGAATGAAGGACACGCGCATGTGACACTCACGAGACAGCATAACGCCCTAATTCTTTATCGTAAAGACTTTATGGCCGACATGTCTTCTTGTCCGTAAGGCTTACACTCTTATGTCTATTGTTTATAGAACCTTCATTTCATCACTTGTGGACCAAAAGGCCCATGTTAAATTAAGTGCATCAGGTCGAAATTTAAACAAACTGAAGAGAGTCACACCGATTTTTTACTAAATCCTTAAGAGGATGCAAATCTCCTATATATCTTTGTGTATTACCATTACCCAACAGTCAACGTCATCGTCACTATCGCGTCTATTAGTTTTTACAAGTTAATATAATGATTTGATGACATTTTAGTATTAAAAGTAAATTGACTCAAATCAGTAAGACAATTTAGTTTTTACACTCTTGTTTGTAAATGATTAAACATAAATATGTGATTTCGTGCAAACACTACCAATCAACACTTAAATATATTAAAAAGAAATAAAATTATATACGATTTTCTGATCTATGCATGTAAACTTTTGTTTTAAAAAAATAACTAACAATTAGTAATCCAAAGGCGAATTTCGAATAGTTAAAAAAATTATAGTATAGATGTATGCCAGAGATCTATAGTTTTCTACTATAAATTTTTCATCTATCATTATAGATTTCTATTTAGATAACAAAGTGATATGGATTTTTACTTAGGATTTCTACCATGAGAATTAAATAAATAATTTAAAAGAATCGCATTTATAGAATCATGTATATACTTCTTTCAATTTTTTTACGATCAAACTCAGGTAAGTAGAGTACAATTTACTTACTGATTCACATATCCTGAAGTGTTACTTACTGTACTGATTAACATATCCTGAAGTGTTTTTAGTGGTAAAAAACAAAGGGTAGAAATAAAATTAATTGGCACATGTTATGCGCAATTACTTAACATAATACAGTTCCCACGGAAATCCCACGTGTTACTCACAGCTAATTTACTTAATATGGAAAAGAGTCACGTGTTGTATATCCACAAAACAAATATAGAAGTAATTTAGATATTTGTGGTCCAACGTAGGAGCTGAGCTGGACCCAATTTTAAGATATTAGTAATATCTTATCTATTAAGTTTATAATAAGCGTCAAGCGAGATGGTTCTGTTTGACCAAAGATTCCAAGAATGTTCTTTGTATTCTATTCTTACCACTAAAATCTCTAATCAAAGTGTAGCCGTAGCTATTTTTGGCACTAGTTTATGGATTATATCGTCCTTGTGGAGAATTTCACCACAACTCCCAAAAATATCAAATAATGCAGCTTTTTGTATGAAATGTGAAACAACAAAACTAAACCACCCCGATTTACCTTATAGTGGTTTTCTCATAAAAGTCAGTTAATCCTATTATTCAACTTAAATGATGTGTTATCTGTCAGTAACTCAGTATAATATACAGGGCTCAAGTTTGTAGTTTAGAACAATGAAAAGACTGGTAAGAAAATAATACGCAAATATTTGATCGTTCATATCTTTCATTTGTTGTCATTTTTTTGGGGTCTATATTGGCTTAACCCAGCTCACTCTAAATCTTCAGAGTCTTTGATTTCAACAAAATCCCATCACCTCATGTTTCCCATTTTGGTCTGTAAAAAAAAAATTCCAGTAATAGTTAAGGAAAATTTAGTGCTCAAATACCATTTTTTTAAACGGTAGTATATATGGAACTAAAACTTGGTATTGTAGGGTATTTCTATATTCTTTTTATGAATAAAATTGACAGTGAAAAGTGACACACAAAAAACAATTCGCACGTTTGCATAGTTTTCACTTTACAACTGATAGAGCTAAAAAAATCAATTAGGCATTTTTTATATATATATTAATGATACTTGGATTATAATTTAATGGGTTCAAGCTCACACTAACAGCTATAGAGGGACCTACCTTTTTTAAATGCATATGTGGCAACAAGCCTCGAATCAAATAACGGTGTGTTACGCGCGTATATTTCGCATCTTGTGGATCCCACAGAACCGTAGCCTATATATTTCCCCTCTTCCTCACTTCTTTGCTTCATAAACTCCCAACAAAAACCAAAACAGAGCATAAGTCAGAAAAAAAGACTTTTTTTTATTCGAACAATCCTTAATCCTTTTGTACCTAAACCCTTACAAAAAAGCGAATTTACATCTCTGTAAGATACCCAGTTAGCTCATTCGATTGAAAACCCAGTCTTTTTACAGTTAGTTCACTTTACGAGATTTCACTTTCCGGCGAATAACTGTTCTTTAGTAATAATGGATCATAACAATGAGATTATTCTGGCGGAGATGAGGCCGAAGAAGCGAGCGGGACGGAGAGTCTTCAAGGAGACACGTCACCCAGTTTACAGAGGAATACGGCGGAGGAACGGCGACAAATGGGTCTGCGAAGTCCGGGAGCCGACGCACCAGCGCCGCATTTGGCTCGGGACTTATCCTACGGCGGAGATGGCGGCGCGTGCTCACGACGTGGCTGCGTTATCTCTGCGCGGGAGATCAGCGTGTTTGAATTTCGCTGACTCTGCTTGGCGTCTTCCGGCGCCGGAGTCAACCGATCCGGATGTCATAAGACGAGTCGCGGCGGAAGCGGCGGAGATGTTCAGGCCGGCTGAGTTTGGGAGCGGAATCACGGTTTTGCCATCTTACGGCGATGAGGTTGATTTGGGGTCTGGTTCCGGTTCGGGATCGGAGGAGAGGAATTTGTTTGGATATGTTGAGGAAGAAGAAGAAGTTTCGACGACGATGATGAGACTCGCGACGGAGCCGTTAATGTCGCCGCCGCGATCGTATATGGACATGACTGATAATGTTTACGTTCAAGAAGAGACGAGCTATGAAGATATGTCACTCTGGAGTTACAGTTACTAAACGGGACCAACATTTGATATATAAATGTGTGTAATGTTGTATATTGTGCGAGTCACTTGAGTTGTAAGATTTCCCTCTTTGAGGTTTTTTAGATCCTCTTACTGAGTTAGAAGGTTCCTTGATGGAATAATTGTGTATTCTTCTTATTAGTTTTTTATAAAAGAATTGGGCTTTACGAATTTATATACAAAGCAGAGGCCCAAATCATAAATTAAGTCGGTTGTTAAAGAAATGCTTATGAAATTGTATCCCTGAAAGTGTAATCAATTTGTAGTAAATAATCTTAATCAATCTTTTCTAGATTGATTAGCATTTAGTCTACTCGAAGCTTGACTATTTATTAGAGATTAGCCATTGAATCATAATTTGTTGACTTGAGAGGGTTATATATTATATAATTAATTATGATTACAATTTATAGATTTAGTGCTACTATCTTGTAGCGAAATTCATGGTACTTTTTTTTCATAAAATAACATTTTGGTGTGTAGTTTGATCTAAGGTATTCAATTTCAAGTAGTGTTATTTGCTTTTGGAGAACAGAGAAGAATAAACTCTTTAAGTCTGACGTCGACAAATAAATAAACTCTTTAAGTCTGACGTGGCAAGAAGTTTCAGCCCGGAGATTGAGCGTGGAACACGTGGCCGGGTGATGTGCTTTGCCGACTCATCATTCGCTCACAAGCTGTCTCAAGTGACACAAGTCCCAATATAGGGACCCCACTAAACGAGGTTTTCGAGCAAGTGATTTTATGATCATCATAATTATAGTCTATGATGGAATCGGGTATAATTTTTATTTTTTTTTCTCATACTATCGGGTATAAAATAAATTAAAATTATAGAAGATGATATAGCGTGATTATTTATGCAATATAAACATAATAATTATTTTTGATAAACATATCAAATGTTACGATAAATACAAACGTAAACGAGAAAAAGGGACAATTAGACCCTTAATCTCTGTTCCCAATGGTGAGATTTAATGCAATAAATTAAGGGAAAATACTGTTGACAACGAAAAATTACTTTTATACTCTTCTTAAAAAGTCACAAAGTTCGTGAGCGTTAAGTTAGAGAGCGCAGCAGAAAGAAAAGAAAGAAAAAAAATCCATAAGGAGAATTATTTCGTTCTTTCTTCAATTGATTTATACCTTTCTTCCTCTACTTGTCAATATCACTGACTCGTCCACTTTTACAGATCCCAAATTTTCATAGAGAAAGAAAGAAATCAATTTTTTTTTCTGTTTGTAACTTTCCTGTGTTTATTTTTTTTTTAATCTCTAGATCATGAAGAACAGCGAAGAGCAAATGAGGTCACTATTTGGAATTAGTCTTTCTGATAAACCAAGATGGCAACAATTTCTCATTTGTTCTTCTGGTTTCTTCTTTGGTTATCTCGTTAATGGCGTCTGTGAGGTTTGATTTCGAATTTCCTTCTTCTTTTTTTTTTCTGGTAATACAAATCTGTAGGATCAAAGACATTTTCGATATTGACTGAAATTTTTCCTGAGTTGATTTTGTCTGTAAAAATCCTTTTCTGCATGCGGTGTTCCTCTGCCTTTTTTCCCCCGAGAAAATGCATGAAAATTTCAGAGAAATTCCAAGGTTCAGAGAAGAATTCGGTGTTTTCTAAAAATATTTCATTAGAACAAATAAATTTTACCCGGAAACAAAGGCGAAACTTTGGCATGCTAAAAAGATTGTTAAATTCCAGATATTCATACAATTAACACAATATAATTAATTTCTACAGATTTTGCCAAAAAAATTTCCTCTTGAGATTCTGTATATTTGCTTAATCCCTAAACATTAACTTTGTAACCCGAGTCATATTTAGCTGCGAACTTTCTAGAAATATGAACATTATTTAAAATTTCGATTTCTTTATATACTCTGTTTTAATTTTCCTCGAATTCGCAGGAATATGTGTACAACCGGCTCAAATTCAGGTATTTATTAAAGCCCAATTTTATAGAAAATAAATTAATATAAAGTCAAATGATATACTTATAATATGTGTGTGTTTTGCAGTTACGGATGGTATTTCACGTTTGTGCAAGGACTCGTTTACATTGTAATGATTTACCTAAATGGCTTCACCACAAAGCAAATGGTGAATCCATGGAAGACTTACGTGAAACTATCTGGTGTTCTAATGGGATCTCATGGTCTCACGAAAGGATCCTTGGCTTATCTCAATTACCCTGCTCAAATCATGTTCAAATCCACCAAGGTAATATACATTATAAAGATTTAACTTAACCAACTTATGGCATATATGGTCCAATAGCATGTCATTAGTTGAGCCGGCGTCGAAGTTTGGAATAATCTCTTTGATCAATTAATATTGTTAGTGTATGCTCGGGTTTATATATAACAGTGATTAGACTGTCATTGCATAATTGCATTAGTTTATCTCGGCTTAGGACTAAGTTCGGCTTTCTTTATGGTCCTAGACTCCTAACACCCTATAAGGCTATAAGTAAAAACAATTCATGGTTGGATCATTGCACTTCTCGCAATATTTTGTAACTTTTCATATTCTCTAGGTTTTACCGGTTATGGTAATGGGAGCATTTATACCCGGGTTGAGAAGAAAATACCCGGTCCACGAGTACATATCGGCTCTGCTACTTGTAATTGGTCTAATCTTATTCACGTTAGCCGATGCACATACCTCTCCAGACTTCAGCATAATTGGGGTTATGATGATCTCTGGCGCTCTCATCATGGACGCCTTTCTCGGTAACTTGCAAGAAGCAATCTTCACGTTGAATCCCGATACAACACAAGTAAACAAAATTCACGGCTTCTCAAATTTTTATTAATACCCCTCTTATCTCGAATAAATTTTAACGTTTATTTTTGTTTCTTTCTCTTCAATTGTAGATGGAGATGCTTTTCTGCTCGACAGTAGTTGGTTTACCGTTCTTGCTTGCACCAATGATTCTTACCGGAGAGCTTTTCAGAGCTTGGACTTCATGTGCTCAAGTAAGCATTATCTAATATAAGCTTGTATAAAATATATTATTAAATCAAAATTTATGTGTCAATAGACTTTAATATATATTCGAAAATTTTCACAGGTAACTTTGTATAATAACATGATTTATGAACCACTTTCAATACTTTAAATCTTATCTATCACTTAAACGTAAATGACAAGAGACTATATATATACAAAAAAAAATTTATATAATGACCATTGACTAATGTAATATTTTAATTGATTAACTAAGTTTATACTTAATTGACTTTTTGGTAGCATCCATATGTGTATGGAGTATTGGTGTTCGAAGCCATGGCTACATTTGTCGGCCAAGTCTCGGTTCTATCCCTCATTGCGCTCTTTGGCGCAGCCACAACAGCTATGGTAAACCAACCACTCTCATCCTCTTTTCCTTATCGGTTAAGGCTGTTGGTCTAGTGGTTTTGGACTCTGGTATGGTCCTTGGGTGCTAAACCGGTTTTCTCTTAGTTAGATTCGTTCGGTTTTGGGTGAACGTATAAACCATAGTAGTGTATTATAAAAACTAGAATACGATCTTGTATCGTATAAATTCAATGCAACGTATTACCTATAAATTTTATATTCTTAAATTCATACATGATGCTATTCTTGTTTGTGGGAGCAGATAACGACGGCGAGAAAAGCGGTTACGCTGTTACTATCTTACTTGATATTCACAAAGCCTTTAACGGAACAGCACGGCACGGGATTGATACTCATCTCTATGGGCATTGTTCTCAAGATGGTTCCAGATCCGAATCCAAGCCCGAAACAGAATCTTTCGGGTTCGGGTCAAATACCCGGGAAGTTGGATCAGCGGGTTAAGTTTGACAAGGAAGGCGATGAAGAGAGTCGTCCTTTGGTCTAATAATATAAATGACGAGAGAAGTGTTTAATTGTCAATTCTTGGTTCGTGTCTCGATTTATATAGTTTATATTTTTCATTATATTTGTGTTGTTAGCAAGTAGATTATCTTATTACTTTGTAGCTTAGATCGAAACATTATTCGGCAATTTGAAACATTATCAATATATACAAATGCAAAGAAAATGTTTGGTTTTGTCATTATTTAATTTCTTTGAGTTCATTTATTTTGATCGCACATTCTTCTCTTGTAGAATTTACATATATACCTCTACTAATAATATTCTATCAGCTAACTTTTTCTGGTTTCACTGCTTTACCCTCTGTTATACATAACAAATAAAAAAATTATATAAATATAAAGCAAGGTATTAAGAATGCCATCGGAATATCTTCAGAGGGTGGCATGGGTATATATCTGGGTCTCCCAAAACAAATCTGCAGATCTAAGAAGAAAGTATTCTCCTATGTCCATGACCGCCTGAGTAGCCGTGTCAATAATTGGTCTGCAAGACTTCTCTCTAAAGGTGGAAAAGAAATTCAAATAAAAGCGGTCGCACAAGCGATACCAACTTATGTCATGTCGTGCTTTCTATTACTTCAAGGAGTGACGGACAAACTGAGAAGTGCTATAGCTAATTTTTGGTGGAGTTCAAAGCAAAATAGCGGTGGGATACACTGGATTGCCTGGGAGAAAATTTGCACTCCCCAGGATATGGGAGGCCTTGGATTTAGAGACCTACAAGACTTTAACTTAGCTCTTCTAGCTAAGCAGCTATGGCGCCTTATTCAGTACCCTTCATCCCTATTGGTCGGGTTTTACGAGGCAGATATTATAGACAATCTGATCCCCTAGAGGACCGAAATGTCTACTCACCATCCTACGGATGGCGGAGTATAATGGCCGCAAAACCGTTCCTAAAGATGGGATGAAGGAAGACGATTGGCTCGGGATTAAACACAAGAGTTTGGAGCGAACCGTGGATCCCAGACCTTAGAGCTCGGCCGCCAAGAGCCGTCCCGCAGATCGGTCCCCAAAACCCTAGAACTTTGGTGTCCTCTTTTATCCGTCAAGATACGAAGCAATGAGACATCCCCTTACTTAGACAATACTTCCAACCGGAGGATGTCTCCCTCATCCTCGGGCTGAGACCTAGTCGCACCCGAACATTGGATGGATATGCTTGGAATCATTCCAAATCGGGACTTTACTCAGTTAAGTCGGGATATGATCTGATCCGAAGGACGAAGCTGGAACAAGAAGCTGGAGTGATGAGGGAACCAAGTATTACGGCCCTCCAACGACATGTTTGGAAAGTCCAGAATCCTGGAAAGATGAAACACTTTATGTGGCAATCTTTATCAGGGTGCGTTGCTACCTGCCAGAACCTCACCTACCGACATATGGGCCCAGACAAACGGTGCCTTTGCTGTGGGGATCCTGAGGAATCTATTAACCATCTTCTGTTGTCCCCCGGCCTTACAAGTCTGGGCGTTATCGGACTTTCCGTCCCTTCCGGGTGTCTTCCCGAGTACTTCTATTTATCAAAATATGAGCTTCCTCTTTTGGGAAACAAAAGAGCAAGGCATGACAGATCCTCAAAAGGATGTATATCCTTGGATCCTATGGTTTATTTGGAAAGCAAGGAACGAGAAAATTTTCAAGGGGAAAGAAATTTCACCGGAAGACACCGTGATCCACGCAAAGGTGGAGGCAGAAAGTTGGAGAGTAGCAAATCAACCTGAAGACAACGATGATGTACAAGCTGAAATCTTGGCCCCCCCCTCTGGCCACGATATCGCTAACCGAGGCACCATCGATCCCGGTATGCCGGATTGACGCTTCTTGGGTCAATCACGGACAGGTTAGCGGCCTTGGTTGGAGTTTTAAGGATGACAGAGGAAATGAGATTTTTGGACTACATGGATGTCGTAGAAGCCTCTCGGCTCTTCACGCCGTGATGGATTGCCTTTTATGGGCGATGTCATGCCTGAGAGATAGACAGATGGATTCGGTGCATTTTCAGACCGACTGTTCGGACCTCGTAAACATGTGTGAATTTCCGGCTGATTGGCCGTCTTTTATGTCAGAATTGGATTCCCTCCGTCTACTTCGCGAGAGCTTCTCAGAGTTCACATTATCCCATATTCCGAGAACTCAAAATGTCCGGGCAAATAGTCTTGCAAAAGGAGCTCGAGCAAGAGGAGTTATTTTTTCCCAAATCGATCATAACGAGCCCGTCGAAGATGGTCTACAAACCATTTCTTTTATAGGCCAAATGTGATTGTAATAGTTGGGTAGGAGAAAAAAAAAAAAAAAAGGTTTTGATATGGTAAATTAAACATTATTTACATGTTATTCGTTCAGCGTCTGTAGTCCAACGGTTAGGATAATTGCCTTCCAAGCAATAGACCCGGGTTCGACTCCCGGCAGACGCATATTTCCCCAATAAAAACACATTTTTGAATCTGATATCATCTACCAATAATTTTTTTAAAGAAAACCAAAATCACACTCTATTTCCGAGACATCTCCGGTTGTCTTTACAGTTGAAGTCAGTTTCCATGGAAAGTTTATACTACTAAACAAAGACAATACAGGACCAAAATCAGATGTGTAGATACAATAATTATACTGGTAAAAGACTTCTTCTCCGTCTCCTTCGGTTTGTTTCTAGCAGACGAGCGACAATCTGAGGGATGGAGCGGTGGGAATATGCGTGCAAGATGCCCATCTGATTATCGACTCTGTGACTGCAACGTCCACAACTAACTGGTCTAGCTCGCCTAGTCCTATGGTCCGGTTCCTTTTGCTGTGCAGACCTGATATTCTTGACCAGTTTCCTCTTTCCTTTCTCGTCTCTGACTTTCCTGCTGCTTCTGTTTGATGCTCGTCCCCTGCTTCCTCGCGCTTCTCAAGTTGTGAAGAAGCATCCAGTGAAGGCAGTAACCTCTTTGGGCTTGCGTCTGTAAACAATAAGAGAAGATTATGGTGAAGGTGATACCAATGAAATGGAACTATGGAAATCAATAGACCAAGAAAGTATATAACTTCATATAGACATCATCAAGTCCCAACATTCTAAGCCTTAGGAAGAGCCAAAGAGGTACCTCGACGTTTTCCATCTGTTTCAGTAATGTCAGTGTTGTGTGTGATCGTTGGGCATGGACTAAAAAAGGTAAAGCTTGGCATGGATGGAACTCCAGTTGATGAGAAGCCAGCTGAGGTTGATTCCGGTTGTTTCCCATCAAAAGAAAACCCACCAAAACCGGAATTCGGCAGTGTGTTATCCGCAGGTAGAAAAGACGAGAACGATGATTTACAATCCTTATCTGTTGATTGCTCTAACTGCGACATGCCAAAGCTATAGTCTTGTTCCCGAGAAATGCATTGTGTGGAGAAAGAACATCCACCATTCTCCAATCCTTCACAGCCAAACCCATCCTGATCATACTGTTCTTGACTTGATTCAGGTAACTGCTCCATCCAAGAGTGAGCTGCAAACGAAAAAAAAATCATCACTTTCAGCTGTGAATTCACAAGACATTAAAGTTATTCAAAACAAGTCAAGATTTCCAAAGACTCGAAGATGACATACCTAGAACATCATCAGCTGATAACCTTTGGGAAGGATCAACACATAGCATCCCGCGGATCAAATCCTTGGCGTATGATGTTATATGGTCCCATGGCTCTGCAGAAAATCTCAAATCTGCGGCCCTGACCGCATCAAAAATCTTTGACTTAGTCTTTCCCCAAAAGGGAGGCACTCCACTGAGAAGAATGTACAAAATAACCCCTGCACTCCATACATCAGCAGCTTGGTTATATCCCCCTGACAACACTTCCGGGGCTATATAAAACGGACTACCAACTGTCCCGTTCAACTTTTCACCTGCTCATACGAAAACCCATTTCTTAGTATACACAATGTCCATAGAATTGTCTGGACTTGATTAACTTACAAAAGAAGAAAAAGACATTGTTATCTATCTTACCAGGCTTTATATAGGTTGCCAAACCAAAATCAGCTAATTTGATAGGAGATGAAGAAGACATCGTGGCCATGAGAATGTTCTCGGGTTTCAAGTCTCTGTGGACAATACCATTATCGTGACAAAACTTGACCACTTGCATCAAATGCTTAAAGAGCACCCTAGCACGGAACTCCGAGTACCTTCCATACTTCTCGAGCTTGTGAAAAAGCTCACCGCCTGCGCACAGTTCCATCACAAGATGCACGGAATCCTCCTCCTCGTAAACCGCTTTGAGATTCACAACATTGGGGTGCCCAGCCAGTTTTGTCATTATAGCAATCTCGAGCTTGATACTTTTCATGTCGTCTTGTGTCACTAGTCTGTCTTTAGAGATAGACTTGCAAGCAAGCCTCTCTCCTGTTAACTTATCAGAACATACTCTTATCACACCAAACTGTCCCCAACCTAACTGTTCCCCAAGCACATATCGATCTTTCAAGTTGGAAACTTTTACCGGGTTTAGAATGGTTTCTGTAAGGCTTGCAACTTTATAGCAATTACACAACTCAAATAAAGGCGGGCTCATATTCTCCTTATCAGCTATGTCCATACCCATATCCAAACCTTCACCGATCAAGAAATCTATTATTCTGCTAGCAATATTTCTCAGTTTACAATCTTACTGCTATATTCTTGTTCTCTTCCAACACTGAAAAACCTCAGTTACGCATAACCCGGCAGGTGAATCTTCTCTTCGTTGCAATAAAACTCCCTACGCAAACTGCATTCACCTTCGAATCCTCCGATCTGTAAATGTTTAAGACCTAAACCTCAGATTCAAGCACTGATCAACAAAGTAAGAGCAACTAAAATTGGAAATGGTTCAGCTTTGGAGTAAGAACATTCCATTTGAGTTTCCACAAACGAATCCCAATTTTTCTACCCAATTTAGCTTGAGATAAAAACTAAAACAGAACCGATAACTAACTCACATCACAAAACTCGATCGAAACCCAAAGGAAGTTTTTTTAGCTCAAAATCCTACGAAATACACAAAACCCTCGATTTGAGTCATGAAATTGCATCCCGATCTCGAATTAATTATCTAAAATGAGTTCAATTTAGCTACAAACAACAAAAACGAATCTAAATAAGAACGAGACCAGCAAGTTTGGCAACTCCTTCAACTTGAAAGATAAAACCCAATCCATCCAACCAAAAAAGATGAGCTTTTTGCCAAAGAGATATAATTATGGAAAGGTTCCAACTTTTTTTGAAATTTAAGCTTTATTGCAAAGAGGAATACCGTCGAAGAGCGAACAGCAGCTATAGGAAGCAGCGAAGAGACCAGACCCAGTCCTCTCCTCTAGTCTCTCTCTCTTCTTCTCTTTCAAAAAAATGAATGCCGTGTCAACTGGTTACCGGGAGAACCAGTTTCACGTTTTCTTACTTCGCAAGAAGTTTTAAATTACAAATTCAGACCACTCATTTTTGTTTAATTCTAAGTATCACCTCATACTTCTTAAATCTAACCATTCGGGACGCGAGGAGCCATTTATCAACGTATCAGTACCACATTCCTAATAAAATGTAAGTAATATGTGAATATTTTTTACTTTAGTTATAATCAAGCTATCATAGAATGGCAGAAATATAGTGAATCAAGTTTTGAAAAATATTTGCAAAAGATCTTTTTATTTTCACACTATTCGCCTTATCTTCTCTCTCTTTTTAATATTTTGACATATTTAGAATTGATTGGATAATTATGTGTGTTTGTCGAAACATATAGACGCTGAATTTAGAATTGATGTTTTTGTATCTTCACACTATTCGCTCTACTGTAAATGAAGATATTTAAGGATTTTGAGAAGATTAGAAGATGTTTAAACAATTTAAAATCAGTGAGTAAACTATAGTCTTCTCTTTAAATTATTCGAACCTTTTGGATTTGTCTGCTAGAGGAAAGGGGAAACCTATCTAACGGCGAGAAAGATGGGGACCTACACAAGCCAGCTTTTTATAGTTCGTGACGAGAATTAACAAATATCCATTTAATGTATGCCACGTGTCAATCTACATGCCGTACGAATCTAACGGGACCTAGCTGTGTTCCAACTTTTTCCCCTCTTTGCTGTCTGGGATATAAGTAATTGAATTTACTTTTTTTTTATTTTAATCTAATCCAATATTTATTATTATATTGATCATTAGAGTTAGTTGATTTTGTCTCGCTTTTGTGAACCAAACAGAACTCCTCCACCTGTGTATTTCATGTTTCTTAGCTGTACAAGCATAGTATACTCCACTATTTATTCCCAATTATTGACATTTTCTGTTTATTGATATAGAATACTTGTCTAAACACTTTTTAATTCCGATTCTAGGCTACGAAACCATTTTTGCAATTCATCAGTGCTAAGAGTGGACATACGAATATTCTATGTTTATATAGGATTAATGAGATTTCTTATTTCATCAGCGTTGTATATTGTATACTCTTGAGTCTTGGCCAAAAAAGGATAAAGAGATTGTGTGATAGGGTTTTTAGCCCGTTTATTTGTTAGCTGGATCGACACGGTGGAAATAGTTTGGCCCATGTTTTCATATATTTGACACATATTTTTAAATGCAGTTTCGAACGAAGCCTGTATCGAACACACACACAAAAAAAAAAGAATTCTATTACTAAATTTACTCTGTGTAGTATTTTTTTTTTTAACTTTTTGTGTTCATGGCTCGATATCACGTGCTACATAACGTATACATGGGCATTACTCTCTACAGCATTTTTGTTTATCATTTCAAAAATTCATCGATGATATATCATATATGTGAATATATAGACATATAGAAAGAAGATAAATCTACTGTTTTCTAGAGCCTGAATCAGTACTAGAGTCAGAAATTTCCATTTAGTTTCTCATTTTTTTGTGGAAAATTAGTGGCAACATACAAACCACTTACCACTCTGTTTTTGTTTTCTCTGTTCCTTTCTTTTTAGACCATTCATTTAGTTTGTTGTAGTCAACAATAAATGATAAGCGGGTTAAAAATCAGAATAAAAACGCAACAAACTATTAACATAAATCAAGGCCTGGGCGTTCGGATATCCATTCGGGTTCGGTTCGGATAATTCGGTTTTTCGGATTTTCGGTTTGTAAATTTAAAACCCATTCGGATATTTTTGAAATTTCGGTTCGGGTTCGGTTATATTCGATCGGATTCGGTTTGGGTTCGGATATCCAAAAAATAATAAAATTAAATAAAAATAATTAAATTAAAATAAAATTAGTTAAATTAATTTGGCAAAATTTTAAAAATATAACTAAAAACTTAGTATGTTTAAATTATTTTGGATTTTTCATCATTTTCAGAATAAAAATAATTCATATTTTGGATTTATAATTGTTATTTTAGGTTATTAAATCTAATTGTAGTTAGTATTTTGGGTATAAAATTGTATTTCGGATATTTCGGATATCCATTCGGATTTTCGGTTTGGTTTAGTTCAGTTTCGATTTTTCGGATTTAGAAATTTAAAAACCGTTCGGATATTTTATCAGCTTCGATTCAGGTTCGGTTTCTCTTTTTCGGATCGGGTTCGGATAAATTATTCGGGTTCAGATAATGTGCCTAGGTCTGGACCTATAGGACCATTCTCTCTCTTTTTTTTTTTTCAATAAATTAATGGCATCATGTATTTTCATTTTATTCAAGTCAATAAAGTAACAAAAGTCTTCGGCCATTTGTTGCCTTTGATCCTTTCTTTTTAAAATAATAGATGTTGTTGTTTAATCAAATTTGCTTTTATTAAAAATAGCACAGCTAATTATTTTTGCTGAAACCCGATGATCAGTAATGCTAATTTCCGTTTAATCAAAACCATGCTCATTATTTCCACCTAACAACTTGGGCTTATTACGATCACACGGGAAAGAAAAAAAGTTGGTGAATTTTAATTGTAAGTCTGTAACCAACTGTCTATTAATGGACGTTGGTCATAAATATTTATTTATAATTTGATATTATAAATCTATATTTTCAAATATTTCATGTCCAAGAGAGACAGGTTAAGTGTGGCAATTTCTTTAATGCATGCCCTATAAGTTTTATCGGTCCATTTAGTTTCTTATATCATGATACTCCATCTAATTTGCATTTTCTTTAAACTAATACTATTTATTCATATTTTTGTTTTTTTATCTGTTTCTTAGTTTGACACGTGTCCATGAAAGTAGACATATAATCTTGGTGTTGCATTTCCTCAGAATTAGATGGTCTCTATACTGCCTCTAGCTAAGTGGCTATATATATAACGGAAAAGGTCGAAACATTCATTTCAACCATTAGTTATCACAAACCTTAATTTATAAAAGAAAACCTTAGCTAATCATACATCTACATATAGACATAGATACAAGTGAGAGTTTTACACTACTTATTTGGTTGCAACTTCAATTTTATAATGATGATGGATAGATCTTGGTCATGGAAATTCTTTGCTTCTCTCATTCTAATCATCCATTCTCCGATTTGCTCTTGTGACAAAGGTAATTAACATACATATATATTCTTAAAATTATATACATATAATACATGTTAGTGCGAGGTTACAGTTTTACACTTCGCAGCTCCAAACTACTCTTTCATGCGTGACGCGACTGGGAGTCCAACGACGTCGTACTACGATTACATCATCATCGGTGGTGGGACCGCCGGCTGCCCTCTAGCCGCAACGCTGTCTCAAAACGCTAGCGTTTTGCTACTGGAACGCGGTGGTGCACCATACAACAACCCAAACATCACGATGCTCTCGGCTTTCGGAGCCGCTCTCTCTGACTTGTCTGAAGCCTCACCGTCTCAGCGTTTTGTATCGGAGGACGGCGTCATTAACGCACGTGCTCGAGTTCTCGGCGGTGGAAGCGCTCTCAACGCCGGCTTCTACACACGTGCCGGAACCAAATACGTTAGGTCAGTTAGTGCATATGTATAAACTAATACGCATGCACTTCTACATATACATTTTACGAGTATGTAAATACTGTTTGTTTATAATTTTAAATATATTTTTTTCATATCATTAATTTATCAAAAAAATTATTTATATAGTACAGAAGTACAAGATAGCAATTGTTGTTGTTGCGTTTGGTGCGTCGATGTTACAAATAATTAATGAATGCAAATTGAAATGTTGGTTAGGAACATGGGTTGGGACGGAGCGCTAGCGAATGAGTCGTACAGTTGGGTAGAAGCCAAAGTGGCGTTTCAGCCGCCGATGGGGCCGTGGCAAACCGCCGTGAGAGATGGGTTATTGGAGGTTGGTATCGTCCCCAACAATGGCTTCACTTATGATCACATCAATGGCACCAAATTTGGCGGTACTATTTTTGATCGGGATGGCCATAGACACACCGCCGCCGATTTGCTAGAGTACGCCGATCCCAAGGGTATTACCGTCCTTTTGCATGCCACCGTCCACCGGATCTTGTTTCGGACTCGAGGTACGTACTTGATGTAGTAATGTGCAAATCAATCCTAGAAGACGTCTATAATATTAAATACATACAACTGTAGGTGGATTTCTTATATTAATATAACATATATATTGTGGTTATAATTCATATGTAATTTTTCTTCTATTAATGTACGCACACGTTTAAGGTACCACCAAGCCTATAGCCAACGGAGTTGTGTACCGAGACCGGACCGGTCAGGCCCACCGAGCTTACTTAAAGGAAGGCTCACTTAATGAGATCATAGTATCAGCCGGAACCCTAGGGAGCCCACAACTTCTGATGCTAAGCGGCGTTGGCCCATCAGCTCAATTACAGGCCCAAAACATCACGGTTGTGATGGACCAACCTCATGTAGGTCAGGGCATGTATGACAACCCAATGAACGCCGTGTTCATCCCTTCTCCGGTCCCCGTCGAGGTCTCACTCATTGAGGTTGTCGGAATTACCGGCGAAGGAACATACGTGGAGGCTGCTGGTGGCGAGAATTTTGGCGGCGGTGGTGGTAGTGGCTCCTCCACTAGAGACTACTACGCAATGTTCTCTCCAAAAGCAACATTATTAGAGTCAAACTCAATGCCCAAGCTATCATCAGCCCAACCTTTTCAAGGAGGATTCATTTTAGAAAAAGTAATGGGCCCAATATCCACTGGTCATTTGGAGCTCCGGACCCGTAACCCGAATGACAACCCAGTTGTGACTTTCAACTATTTCCAAAACCCTGACGACCTTAAACGATGTGTTCGAGGGATCCAAACCATAGAGAGAGTTGTGCAATCTAAGGCCTTTGCGAGGTTTAAGTATGCAGATATGTCTTTCGAGTATATGCTTAACCTTACGGCGAGTACTCCGGTCAATCTAAGGCCGCGTCGCAGCGGTCCTGGAGCCTCGTTGCCACCATCCGCTGAGGAATTTTGCCAACATACGGTTACAACAATTTGGCATTACCATGGAGGATGTGTTGTGGGTAGAGTGGTCGATGAGGATTATCAGGTTATTGGTATCGACCAGCTTAGAGTCATTGATATGTCGACCGTTGGTTATTGTCCCGGGACAAACCCTCAAGCCACGGTTATGATGCTTGGCAGGTGAAATAAATCATAAATATGATTATTTATGCATGCATCTATTTTTGACTCACGGCTATTGATGATTTTTCGGTGACTTGAATTTTCGCTTGCAGGTATATGGGTGTGAAGATCTTGAGAGAGAGACTCTCCAAGAAGTAGAGTTCTGAATCGGATCATGGTCTAGTGAAACGTTGTTTAAAATGAAATTAATCAAGATTCTATTGTTCAATGCTTTAAACAGCTGATTATATATTGTACTTCGTATTTTTCTTTTTTGCTCCTTAGTATTGGGCCAACTTGACATGCATAGACATGTTTTCCGATAGCCACGTTTTGTCCATTTTCTATGTTTAAGAAAATTACACTATACAATTACTGAATCAAGGTTTAAGAGACAATTTCTCTCCGGTACCACATTAGTTAAAGGCTTAAAGCAGTAGAAAACTAAAAAAAAATGCTGAATTTTATCTAGAGAATCTTGAATTCTTGATTCGAAAATTTTGCCGTGAGTATACAAACTTATGAAATAATCATTACCTTGATGTTGAAGATAAAAGATCATATATAGAAATATATACATGTATATATTATATTAACATGTACACTCTTAATTTCTAAAGTCTAAAATATCATATCAGTCCTTTCGAAATAGGAAATAAAAATTCTTTAAAAGGGGCAAGCGATTTATTGGTAAAAAAAATTCACACAAAAAAAAACACATGAGATGACGAAAATGAAGTCTCTGATCAAGAAGTAATGTTGACTTCATGACTTGTTAATCATGAAGAATTATATCACAATTAGCTAGGTACATACATACATTATACATACACGTAGATGTATAACATAAAGCCGGGCCAATATATATTTATCCCACAGGCCACAACATAGGGCCACTGAAACTTCTAAAACCCCAAAAATAAAACATAACAAAAAAGAGATGGAATCATATGAAACAAAAACCATTTTGGGTTTGCTGCAAGGGCAAAATCGTAATTTCAACGGAAATTAACAGTGGTCTTGTAAGTCATACCGGCGTTCCAGTTAGACGGAGCAACGTTCCAGGCATAGAGGGTTTGACCGGTGGTGTAAGAAGTGACCCGGAAAGAGAGAGATTGACCGTAGAGAGAGGAAAAAGCTTGGTAAGAGGCTCCCCAGTTATGGCTCATGCTTATCCAATTCGTCCGGCTACCTTTCACGGCCATGCTCTTGATGTCTCCGGCACCGCCGACATTCATGACGAAGATGAGAAGCCAATAAGCATTGCCTTGGAATTGAAACCTCATACCTCCAATCCTTTTGCATGGGACTCTACATATATCAATCGCATTAAATATAATATTTTAGAATTCCATAGTTTTGAACTATTTATAAAGTCGTTATGTTATGCATGTGAATATTGTATCTCTATGTGTCGTATCGGTATATATAGTAAGGGGACTATAGAGACGTGCCTCTTCTCAAATAATATCTATCAACATAAACATTCATCGATTGTGGAATTAGAACATATATATACATATATTTATATATACTTTTAATTAGCCCCGGTAAAAATAATTTTAATTTTTAGCTGAAATGTTTGTATGATAGCTAAATTTGTGAAAATATTCGACATGAGACATATATACCTGCGGTATGCAACAGGGATGATACCGGCCTTCCAATTAGCGAGTTTCATGAAAGCCGGTTTAGCCATATCGAAATGGGTTCTAGGAGGATTGCACCAACCACCATTGTTGGAGTCTTGGTACCAATTTGGAGGGCAAAGGTTGGTGGCTGTAACCACCGTTGTAGGGTTTCCGTAGTAACAATGTGGCGACTTATAACACATTATTTGGAAACATTGGCCACAACCGTAACCATCTTTGAACATCGTCGCGCTTAGCGCCGCCGTGGCTACGCCGTAGCCGCTGTTAAATAGATTTCCGTACCCACATGCACCACCTGCATATATATACGTGTAAAGTGATTATGTCATTAACTGATTAATGTATGTATGGTCATGTATGTAACTGATATTGTTATTATATCAGGCCTTGGTGATTATATATTGTATATACATGAGAAAGTGAAATAATATTAATCTTACGTACCCATGGTTTCACTAGCTGTCTCGTCGCCGTAGAATGTGGCATGAGCGAATCTCCACGGGCTCGGCCTGTAATATCCGGCGACGAACTCACCGGAGACTGAGAAAACGACGAAAACTATTGCAAAAAATTTGTTGAAGCTCCAAGAACTTGAGGTCGGACCCATCTTTAGTTCCTTTTCCTTTTTCGAAGGGTTATCTTGGGGTTTGTTGTTTTGGGTTGATGAAGTAATCGAATTGTAGACAATCTTATATAGAGGGGATTTTTAACGATATAGTGGTGGTGGGCCTGGTGACTACGTGAGGGTCATGATCCCTTTTTCCCTTTTTTTTTTTTAGACTTTTTGTCCGTACCGATTGGGATTTGTTTTATTTCATTGAATTCATTGCAATAGAAATATTACAATTAAAACTTTGAGAAAACAAGTCAAATTATTGTTTAAGTGAGTTTTAGAATATAGACTATATAATACAAGTGGACGTGCGAGCAGGTTCTATATATATAAGTCGTTCTTGTACCGACTTTATCCAGTCTCCTACGTGCGTCTATGTTTATTATATTACATTTGCACACTTAGAATGAATGTATTTTCAATGATTTGTTTTTTATTTTAGATTGTCAATGATTTGTTAATTCCCACTTTATTTTCTGTATATTCCGACACAAAAATGGGTTGTGAGCCTAAAACAGAGATACCGACCAAACATTTTTAAATAGTTCTGATTGTGTATTTTTTTGGACGGGAAGAGTTCTCATTATCTAAACAATTATGATGTTTCGATTAATATCTTACGAATCCTCGACTAAATTTATTCATCTACGCGTCGTGGTAAAATCAATTAAATAAAGTGGTGGGTGCATACTTCTTCTTTTTGGGAAATTGCTTTTTTACAACTATAAATAATTCCACTGCATCATATGCATTAAGTTTTTTTGGTAGAAACTAAAATTTTCAGTGAAGCATTCGGAGAGAAACAGAGAAGTAAAAAATATGTGTTTATCACAATCGAAATAAGTATGGTTACCTTAGTTTTAAATAAAAACATCAGTGTAGTTATATAGCATGGTTAGTGGCAAGTGACAAAGAGTTACTTACCAATAATACAACAATCCACATTATTCAATGCATAAATGCAATCAACTTTATTAAAAAAAAAAATCAAACTTTATTATTAGCCCACTTGGCTCAAACCGGAGGTTCACACTCAATCGAGCTGAACGGGGAAGATCAAAGGCTGGTCTGAGAAAAACGCTTTCAAGTTAGACAGAGCAACCTCAGTGACATTGTTCAAAGACTCTGCCGTCATTCCAGCAGAATGTGGAGACAAGACAACGTTTTCAAGACCAAACAGTTCTTCAGGCACTTCCGGTTCGTTATCAAACACATCCAAACCCACTCCCCAGAGCACTCCTTCGACCAGACACTTCACCATCTCCTTCTCATCGATAAGACCGCCTCGCCCGATGTTTATGATAACCCCATTTTTCCCAAGCGTCTCCATCACCTTTCTGTCCACAATGTGGTGTGTTTCATCAGTCAGAGAGCATGAGAGGATAAGGACATCGTTGGCGGCTGCTAAAGAGAGGACCTCGGGGTGGTAAATGTATGGTACGTCTGGTTTAGGGCTTCTCGAGTTGTAAGAGATGACGCAGCCAAAGGGTTCGAGTCTTTTGGCTATAAGGGATCCGATGCTCCCCAATCCAAGTATCCCAACTTTCTTTTTGTCTAACTGCAGTTGAAGATCACAATCACAAACATATTGTCAGAACTGGACTATACGAACTTCAAAAAAGAGCAATAATGTTGAAAAAAAAATTAGTATTACTAATTGATAATCTATCGAATGTTTTCTTTGGTATGAAAATAATATCGAAGTTTCACATATACTCCATCCATTTACGAAATGTTTTGGGTAAGTGGGCGGGGTAAGGGTCCGGTTTAATGTGAATCCCTTACATTTTCTTGTCTTTTGTTATACTTTTTTTTTTTGATAATATGGTTCTCAATTTAAATTGCAGAATTTGAAATAAGCAAATGTTACATAACCAGTCCAAGCCACAGTGTCTTTTTAAATTAAGCCCAAAAGCTAAAACAAGCCAATAGGAACTACAATTTAATTAAATCGATTAAAAACACTTCACTTGACTGTACCAACTGTCTTTTGGTATTTCAACGGAAATTAGCAAATTTGTCGATTTGAGAAGTCCCTAGGGTTTTAAGAATCAACATATATCATCATTAATTTATCATAAACGTTAATTTTAGCCGTGAATTATTATGTAGTATATATAGCAGCATTTTGAAGAGAAAAAAAACCTTTTTATTTTTGGAAATCACAACGAAAATATGTTGAAAAAGTTCACAAAATAAGTTGTATGTCGAAAAAAAGAAGAAGAGGTTGTATTTTGAGAATTCACTTTTGTTTTGTTTATAACATGTAACATGCGTCTTTAATTCCTTGAGAATATGTTCGAAAAAAACTTTCCAGAATATTAATTTGTCCATAATATCTTCATTATTTTCTTATTGGCAACAAAAATGCATGCTTTCTAAAACTAAAACAAGATCATCACATGCAACATATGTTTTGGTCCATTTTTTTTTTTTACTAAATAGCCTTTTTTGCAAGTATATCTCTGTTTTAAATTCAGAAACAAACCTTAGACCCAAATGGATAGTCCCAGAGTCTCGTCCACTGACCAGACCGGATGTATCGATCGAGGGCGGGAATGCGGCGGAGGACGCTTATAAGCAAACCAACCGCAAGATCCGCCACGTCCTCCCCATACGCGTCGCCGGCGTTCGTCACCGTGACTCCGCGACGTTTGCACTCGTCGAGGTCGACGTGGTCGAAGCCGACGCTAGCGCAAACCACTATCTCGAGAGAAGGAAGTTTTGATATGAACTCTGCGGTTATCGGAAGCCTACCGACGCTGACGACGGCTCTTACGGAGGCGGCGTGACTCGTGAGAAAGTCCGAGATCGGGTCCGGCGAGGTATGAGTGTAGAGAACGGTGAATCTTTGACTCAAAGGCTCGTCCATAAAATCCATAGCCGGAGGCCTGTGAACGAGGACGACAGGAGAAACTAAAGACTCTTCCTCCATTTCAGAAACCTTACTAATAATTTTGTTTCTAATCCATAGCTAGGTCTCATTTATATAAAGCTCAATTGTTGAATTGGTTTGATAGATTTTTGACAAGTTGTTATGAAAGTTTATAGACTTTTAGTATAGATACGTGTGAGGACTTGAGGAGGTTCTTTAACTTAGGTCTTTTTATATATTTTTGACATTAACCTGGTCTTACACTCACTTTATACGTGCGTGTACGTATGTCTTGCCATTTCTGTATATATACAGAGATTAGTTTGTTTCTACTCTTTTTGATTTCTTGTAAATTATTTACAAAATAAATGGAAAAAGATATCGTAAGAAATTAATTAATAGTATTGTCAAGGTTTTTTTTTTTTTGTGGCCTACTGGTTGGCAAACGATTAAAACGTGTTAGAGGATCACAACATTATAACAAGTAAAGACATAATGTAACTACCATCTTTAAAGATCTTGAGTTGGTCCATTTCATTATTGTTAATTGGAGATTTGAGATGTGAGTTCATTTCATAAGCTATGGCACGATAACAAAGTCTTATAAAAGAATCTAAACTCCAAAATGTCGAACTTGTGGCCAACTGGGATACAAAGCTACATAATGTTTCGGGCTGCCACTATCAAATGTCCCAAAAATTTTAAAGAAAAAAGCATATGATTATCCAAAGAAATATGATGTTTCGACTGATAACTAATCATAGAATAGATTAATCGTATATGCGTTGTGTGAGAACTACTAAAATAATGTGGTGTGTCTGTGTCTCTTTTTTTTTTTTAAGTCTGGACTCACATCGACATCGCCATTACTTAATCACTCAAGAAAGTTGAGTCGAACCCGTGAAGCCACAAGACGGACAAAGTTGCGTAAAAATGTGTTGGGTGTGATGTGTGCTTTTTTGTTCTTGTTTAATCAAACTCGTGTGATGTGTGCTTAATTATTGAAATAATTTGGTGTCTGCCTAATTCTTCTTCGTTGAGAAAATTCCTGTATATATATAGATAAATAAAAAATTGTACTAAAATAATAATTCAAAAAGAGAAACTCCACATTTTTGGAATACAAGTCGTCTTCGTGACGCTGCGTATGACGATAATGACTTTTAGGGTTGGTGATGTAAGCGATACCAGGTCCACATCAACGGTTTTTAGAATAGAATTAGAAGAACCAATGTTAATTTAAAATTGGCCTCGTTGATGTGAATATAGAAGTTAATATAGGGCAGTAAAAGTTAGATGATGATCGACAATATATATTCGATGATTATATAAATAGAGAAGCCCAGCTACACTTTCTGTTAAACCGAAGCGGAAGACTCGGTTTATTTTATTGATCATTTGATCATTTGATTATGATCTTATCTTACACTTGATGTATTCTACTTTTAAAAACAAAAATGACTTTGGTCATTGTTGTAACCGCTTACATGAATAAAAGAACTCGTTTAAAAAAAAAAAAAAATTAATTATGGTATATTTAGACTTTGAACATTCCTCCACAGACCATTCTTCTAATTAGTAATTACACATTAGCATCTTAACTGTAATATTCTCTCTTTCTGTCTGCTCCTATAATATATAGGGGGGATTCAATGATAAATAATACACTTTCTTCTTCTTAATCGTTCAATAATTTAATAGTAGACTGATTATTAGCCCCATTGATCAATCGATCTGTCAATCCAATCGAACCGGGGAAATCAAAGGCTGGTTCGAGAAAAACGCCTTCAAGTTAGCAAGAGCAACCTGCGTAACATTGTTCAAAGACCCTGGCGTGGCCACAGCAGCATGTGGAGACAGCACAACATTGTCCAAACCAAACAACTCCTCAGGAACTTTTGGTTCGTTCTCAAACACATCCAAACCAGCACCACCAATCACTCCTTCGACCAGACACTTGACCATCTCCTTCTCATCAATGAGTCCTCCTCGTCCCACATTGATAATAACCCCGTTCTTCCCAAGCGACTCCATCACCTCTCTGTTCACAATGTGGCGAGTTTGGTCCGTCAGAGCGCAGCAGAGGACGAGCACATCGTTGTTTGCTGCTAAGGAGAGAATGTCGGGGGAGTATTGGTATGGAATGCTCTGTTTCTGACTTCTTGAGTTGTAAGAGATGATGCAGCCAAAGGCTTCGAGTCTTTTGGCGATAAGTGATCCGATGCTCCCCAATCCAACTATTCCAACTCGCTTTCCACTTACCTGCAGCAAGACAGATTACCATAAACCACAACGACTTTACTAACATATTCACTATCCACGGGAAAGTTTTCATCTTTTTTTTTTGCTAAATAAAGTTTTCATCTTTCTCCTGATCAAACTCAAATGTGAGATTGATTGATGAATCATATGCAGAAATCCACAAACACTCAACCAGATCTGCACTCAACCTTGTTAATCTGATTATTGGCTTGCAACAATCCACAAGAAACATAATCGTCTTATCAAAATGAAAATTACACAGAGGATGGCTTAATTTATTGCTATGTTGTCCTAAACCTTTCTCTCATCATTATCTTCCACTAAGAGAGAGAGAGAGAGTTCTTGTATTTTTTTTTATTTTTTTTATTCCGAGTTCTTGTATCTAATCAAGCTTTACACATATTATAATATTCTATGTGCCCCACAAATTAAAGCTATCTATCTTAAATCCGCAGAACTACGAGGAAGACCCACCATTCATATATAATTTTTTTTTTTTTTTTATAATTCCAAAATAATAAAAGAATCAAAGCTTTTCTGCTTTTCCCCTTTGTATTGTAAGTCTCGAATCCCTAGATTACGAAAAGGATCTTACTACAGTATTCGAAATTGAGAGTTGATTTTTGGAACAAACCTTGGTCCCGAGCTGGAAATTCCCGGATTTCGCCCAATTACCGGACCTGACGAATCGATCGCCGGCCGGAATTCGACGTAGAACGCTAATCAGCAAACCGACGGCGCAATCAGCCACGTCCTCCGAGAAGGCGTCACCAGCGTTCGTAACGGCGACGCCGCGACGCATGCACTCGGCGAGATCGACGTGATCGGTGCCGACGCTGGTGCAGACGAGTAGCTGTAGAGAAGGTAGGTGGGAGAGGAGCTCTGCGTCAATCTCAAGCCTCCCGACGTTGACGAAAGCTCTGACGGAGGAGGCGTGACGGGAGAGGAAGATCGGAAGTGGATCCGATGAGTCGTGAAGGTTGAGGACTCGGAAGTTACGACTCAGAAGCTCGTCGAAGTAGTCTAGAGACGGCCGACGGTGAACGAGGACGAGCGGAGGATCCGAAGAATCCGCCATTGACTTGTGATTCGGAGAGGACTGTCGAATTCAGTAGCTGAGGCGTTTTACTTATGGAATCTCTTTTACTTGTACCACCAAACTATTATTCCTTTGGTTATGGCATGCTTAATCACTTTTTCAGTATTATGATTACGTATTGTAAAACTTGTATTATTATATTTAGTACATATAATAGGACATTCTAACAAATTGTTTAAAATATAAAAATGACTTTCTAACCACTACAATTTTTGCTTATAGAGTCATTTTTTGGTGTCACTCAACAATGCACTTTTTTTATTGAACTAGAAGACAAAAATACTAAGAAAAATAAATTAAGATTCATATGAACTTTAACTATGATGTTCCCATTTTTATCATCTTTTCTTGAAGCTCCGAGAAGTTAACCTCAAGGCCTTTCTCGACCTGCACAATTTTAAGAAAATCCGTAGAAATTAATACTTAAATCCCTTTCTAACATGATTCAGTGAATTAGAAATATAACCTCGGAAACAATGGTGTGCATGAATCTTTGGTGCAGTCTAGTTGAGATGGAGCTAACAACATTAAGGCATTGTTCTTGAGCCACAAGTTGAAGAATACTTGAGAGACAAGATTCGTGTTTAATACAGCAACTTGCTACGATCTCGATACCGACAAGACAAGTCTTGACCTTTACATCGATCTGTGTGTCTCCAACACAAGAACAATACGATGATAGTGATGTTGGTGATGGCCATGATGATGCTAATGGTCTTATAGAAGAACATTCTCCTGTTGAAGATGGATGATTAATAGATCTTTTGATTCGATCTCTTTTCTTGCTCATTTCTTTGATCTTCTTCTGCAAGTCTTTGATGTAATTCACAGCTTCTTCAACGTGATCTGATGAAGAACGTTTACCCTATTTTATGATTACCGAGATTAGTTTACAGCCTTATCCGATAAAGATTATAGGGTTATATAATAGTCATATATAGAGGTTTTAACTTTTCAAACCAAATTCAAATCTAGACATGTATTACGGATATTAGAGAGATAGCATTATTTTGAATAAATAAATACCTTGATGTATTGAAGCGGCAATATATATCTTAGATTCTTAAAAAGAGACGTGACTTCTTGCCTTCTTTGTCTCTCAATCTCTCTATGTCTCGCTCTCTTGTTCTTCGGCTCAACATCTCCTTGTGTGATTTCATCTGTCATGGTCCTCTCACAGATTCTTTGTCTTCCATCGTTTTCAGTACCGGCACAACGATTGATCAGATTAGACGGATTATGTTCTTGGAATGATATAAACATTGAAGGAGTTATCAAACTCGAGAAATCCAATTCATTTTCACAGGCTAATGTGAGCAATGAAGAAGATGCAAAATCCATTGGATGATTGCCGTTTTCCTTGTTGGTGGTTTGTGATTTTAATATACAAAAATGATTTGTGTATGATTTCGATAGCAATGCTGTGAGTCATTTTATACTATCCAAGATTTTCCTAAACCCTATGATTATTTTTTCCTTCTTATTTAATAAGACAGATGTGACGGCAGGATATCCTACTTTTTTAGTTAATAAAGATCATTTGTATGTGCAATATATCATATAATATCCCATAACAAATCAGGACGAGTGTATGGGAATAGTCAAGAAAATGGAAATCAAATCTTCCAATCGATTTGATTCATAGTATTCCCACTTCACTAACTTGTACTATAGAATTTTATGTTGTCGTTTTCAAGATATCAATGATGCCGAATGCCGATATACTGTATATTATTTATTTTCTTAGGCCGCCCAAGAACATTTTAATCATAGACCTATATTTATATCTCGCGGTGCTGTTTTCCTCAAAGAAAAAGTTGGTATTTTATGGTTTTATGTCAATATCATGCGAAAGGTTAAATAACATAAGTTTTATTTTTTCTAGTCATGATGGCATCAAGGCATGGCATCTAAACAAAAGATTCGTAACATCGATCACACCTTTTTTAGACGGGGATTTTAATCGATCATACTTTTTCGGGGACAAAGACATATTAAATTTTCTAATGAGCTTTCGCAAAACTGATTAGTGTTGGTATCAAAGTAAAACTATAAATAACGGAAAATATTTGGTAGTATATCGACATTAATCTGGTTTAGAGATGGAATAGGTCATACATATTGCTCGAAAATAATTGTCTTCTTCAAGATAATTAATGCTGATAACTCTTTTAGCCCAAATATGTTATATCTAAAAACAAACTAATCACGATGTTTTCATGGCATGTATAGAGAATCCAGACACGGGGCTGAGAGAGTTTAGAGGGTAAATATTAAGAGATTCCTTAATTACAAAAGGATACAATATTCCAAGTTAAGTTATTCACATGGGGGGCAAGATTAGAGTGTAATTGCGAATAATGAAGTGGATACTTGAAAAATATTAAATTATATTTTTGCAATAACTGCTGGATTTTAATGAATTAAAGGGTTAGATATTGGGGGTCAGGATTAGGTCTGACAGTTACATCTTTTAGAGATGCGGTCCATTTGATCTTCTTCCATTATACATAATTGTGTATTCAACATGCTGTTGGCAATTACCAAATCTGTATATCCACTATCTACATGAACGACAATTGCTCAAGCATTTTTTTATCGTTCCCTCTATTTTTTTTTTCTTTTTTTGCTCTAAACAATGTAACTCAAAAGCCGAAAACCCAACCTCATGATTTCCTCTGAAAAGTATTTATTTTTTGTCAACAGTTGAAGTTTACTATATATATTTGCGCATATTCTTGTCTTCTCAGTTTACTGTTTAATAAAATAAGTAGATTGAAAAGGAGATCCGCACAAAAAAAAATAAAATAATACTGAAATTGAGAGTATTGTGAAGTAGACTAGCTACTCAAATGCAGTTGACAGTATTCCAACATAAAAAAGATTACTATTAAATGGGCCGTAAGGCCCGAAACAATCTAGGTATATGCAACGAAATTTACTGCCATTAAATCAATTATTATTATCGTTAAGTTTTAATCAATTTTCTTTCCTTTTTTTTTCATTTTTTTTTGGTAGAAAGGACCCAAATTAGAAATCAAGAGGAAGGAATAGTGGGAGATGGCGATGGCGAGGAAGATAATAAGCAAGGAGGAAATTGTAGAGAAGCTTAAAGACGACGGAGATTTCGACCGTCTCCGTCTCAAAATCATACGACGCCTCAAAGAAAACGTAACCCCTCTTTCACTTTCTCCGACGTATTCGCATTGCTCCTTTTAAATTAGGGATCATGGTCTCTCGATTTACCAATACCTCCTTATCGTGGATTTAGGGTCGTAATGATCAGTCGATTTTGATTGTTTGACAAACTCAAGACTCGAGTTTTGAAAGGAATGTGATTTGATTTGCCTCACAGTTTTGACTTGAGTAAAGCGAATACAATTTTTGTTTACTCTTCTGAGCAAATATAAAGCCATGTTTTGGAGAATAAATGATGGAAGTAAAGTAAAGGAGTGATGATTTGGAGGGTTAACTTACCTCTATGTTTTCAGATTTTAGCTGAATCAGATCCACGTATTGGTGTTAGATCATAGCTTTAGCTGATTCTCCCTGCAGTTTATCAATATTACGTATTGTGGATTTTGTCAAATTGCTCTGGTACATGGTATATCATTGTTCATAAGCTTTGATGGGTCTTTACACCAATCCACCTAATGGGCATTGCCATTTTCCGCAACTTGGGTAAGATTTTAGATAAGACCGAAGGGTTAACTGTGAGGCAGCATGGATTGTTCTTTTAACGGTGTTGATAAGCATTTTGAGCTTTTGTTCTTCTGGATTCCATGTGTTTCCACTGCGTTCTGACTACGTAACTGGATTGCAGGAGGAATTACGAAACAACATGATATCAGTTGTCAAGGAGTCAACAGCTTTGAATCGACCCGGTGCTCAAAATATGAAAACCAGGCAACTCACTGATGCGATATTCGAAGAAGTCGGGTAAGTTTAAAAGAGAGGGCTCGTTCTATCCAGCTGACTCTTGTTGTTGTAACTGGTAAAGACAAGGATTCTAAAAAGTTTGGAATTTTTCATTTCTTGTAGAAGCAAGATGTTGAGCCAGCTCTCAGATGGGTTGTGGGGGATAATAAGATCAGAGGACGGGATGAAGAATGAAATCAGAGAAACCGTGCAATCCGTCTATGCGACATTAACGGGAGGCGTTCAAGACGGATCATCCTTCAGAGAAGCCAAACATAACGTCCCAACACCGGTCCCAAAAGGTGAAACCTCGTCTTATCCCCATTTAGAGGCGAGTAAACAGAAGCAAAAGCTGATTCATGTAGCTGTACAAGGAAACAAAGCAGAAGCATGTAGTAGTAGTAGCAACAAAGTTAATAACATCGACAACAACAACAACATTAGTGATGACGAAGATCCTGAACTCCCTCCTGGTTTTGGCTAAAAGTTTGTATATATTTGTATTAAAAAAACTCCTTACTGTGGACGGCAAAAAGAAAAAAAAAAACTCCTTACTGTGGATGGCAAAAAAAAAAAAACTCCTTAAAAAAATTCTATGTTGTAATTGCCATTAGTATGATAGCATTAAATAAATCAAATCTAATTTTTTTATAATGAAATTAACAACTGACGTTGGGAGCAAATTGAACAGTAGTGAGTTTTTCTATTTAGTCCACGATTTAGATGAATTTTGTATATGTTGATATGAAAAAGCTTGTTATTTCAGTCAATTGCGTGCTTTTTATCGCTTTTGAAAATATTTTCTGTTTGTTAAAAAAAAATAATTTGATAATCTAAAAAGGTTGCGACTTTGTGAATGTGAAAGGAAAAAAGAAGAAAATAAAAGGGCGCATAAGCTGAAGAACGAAAGGAATGGCATCAATCCTGAGGTCAGTGGCAACGACTACAGCCGTCGTAGCGTCTGCGATTCCCATCGCGATCGCGTTTTCTTCTTCATCTTCTTCCTCCTCTACCAGCTCTAAATCACAGTCTCTCAATTTCTCCTTCCTCTGCCGAGGGTCTCCACGTCGCTTGGGGCTTTCACGAAGCTTCGCTAGCTCTCCCATGGCGACCGTTCCTGTTTCTGACCGTAATCTCCATCAGGTTTGGTTGAAATGTTTAGACTTTTGAGTTACCCGTATTTCCAGTTACAGCTTTTTCGATGATTAAGTTGCTGATATATTACAATAAATTCGATTTGTAGGAGGATCGAGTCATGCCTCAGCTCCTTGTAAGTCTTTCTCTTTCCTATCTGGATTTCGGATATCATTCGCAATTTTAGATCAATTGATACAATGATTTAGGATTCAGCTACTGGGAACTTATGTTGTGTTGTCTTAATCTGTTGTTGTTTTCTAGACCGAGTTTATGGTGGATATGAAATGTGAGGGTTGTGTTAACGCCGTGAAGAGCAAGTTAATAACCATTGAAGGTAGTAAGAAGATTGTATGGCTCTTCGATTGATCGTGTAAACAGCTTTGTCTCTGTTCTTTTTTTGGTGTTGCTTATCACTGTGCAATAAAAATTTGATCTTGAAAGGGATTGAAAACGTGGAGGTGGATTTGCTTAACCAAGTTGTGAGAATACTTGGATCTTCTCCTGTAATGGCTATGACCCAAGCTTTGGAGCAAACCGGTCGAAAAGCTCGCTTGATTGGACAAGGTGTTCCTCAAGGTTAGATATCACTTCACCGACCACTTTGGGATTTGTTTTTGAAGTAAACAAAGACAAAAAGATTACACTTTCTGACAAATTTCCGACCTTTGATACACTGCTTTTCTCTTTGTCCTATACTGATTCATTAGAAAGTTTTGGAATTTGGGGATTTACCATTTAAGCTTTCACGTCCTGCCCTTCATCGATAGCCTCTTTTCTCATTCCGTGCTTTTTTACTTTGCGACGTGTTGGCAGATTTCTTAGTCTCAGCTGCAGTAGCGGAATTCAAAGGCCCTGACATTTTCGGGGTGGTAAGATTTGCTCAGGTCAGTATGGAGCTTGCAAGAATCGAAGCCAACTTCACCGGTTTGTCTCCCGGAAACCACAGTTGGTCTATCAACGAGTATGGAGATCTCACAAACGGAGCAGCCAGCACCGGGAACTTGTACAATCCATTTCAAGATCATAACGGCACAGAGGTTGGTCACACTCGCTCTTAAGAGAATCAAATATCATCACAATGAATTAAAACTCATTCTTTTTTTTTCCTTCTTGTTTTGTCAGGCATTGGGTGACCTGGGAACACTAGTGGCAGACCAAAGCGGAGAGGTGTTTTACTCGGGAAAGAAAGAGAAGCTCAAGGTTGTGGATCTTATCGGGCGAGCAGTTGTGGTTTACAAGACCGAGGATAATAAGTCAGGCCCCGGATTGACCGCTGCAGTGATTGCTAGAAGCGCAGGAGTTGGTGAAAACTACAAAAAGCTTTGTACTTGTGATGGTACTGTCATTTGGGAAGCTACAAACAGCGATTTCGTGACTAGTAAGGTATAATAAGAAAGAACAATGATAAATTTGATAGTACATTACGTATTGTACCAATGAAGATTTGTTATGGACCAAAATTTGAGGGTACTGTATCTTGAAACGACACTCACAGCTTTTTGTATTGTACCAAAATCTGTTGTGCACTCGTGTAACGAATGTACCGTTTATTACGGCAAAGAGTTAATGGTTGGGATTAAGTTCTGTCTCAGAAGTTGTTGATCGGTATATATAGTCTGTAGATCGGGAAATGCTCAACAGGTTTCGTGGTGTAGTTGGTTATCACGTCAGTCTAACACACTGAAGGTCTCCGGTTCGAACCCGGGCGAAGCCAATTTTAAGAGCATTATCCTTTTTAATAATTGACCAAATGTTTTAGATAATGTTTTGATGTCAATTTCTAACGGCCCCATGCAAATAGCTTTAGTCCCACTAAAATTGGGTCGCACATGGAAACAAATGGTTCCTATACCAGTATGGCCTACATAGATTATTCTTGTAAACGTAAGAAGTTTTTTAAAATCATTGAATTCTGAATACCAAGAACATGTGATGTTGCTATTAATAGTCTACTCTTATACCATAAATCATCGTATACAATGTTATTTATATTTACTTTTTACATATATATAAAAAATGACTTGACTTTGTATTGTTAAAATTTCAAAATTTAGACCGAGAAAAAGTTATTTTCAATCAAATATATAAAACTTTTTTTTGGTAAACGTCTATACTCAATACATATTATTAGTTAATTGTATTATCAATCAAAAGGATTTGTTGATATTCTATTAAAAAATAGAAGAATTAGTTAGTTGATTTGTTACCATAAATTCATAAGTAGATAGATATCCATCATTCTAAGTTTCTTTACTAAGCGACGCGGTGTAATCATTTATCATCATTCACTCGATTTTTTTTAGTTTTAAGATTATTCATTTGGATTTTGTCTTTAAGGCAATTTGCAAAAGGAGACATTTTCATTATTCGTGGAATGCAAACAGACAGATAGCTGGTCCTTCTAAGTAAAGATAGCTCCTCCCTATTACACATGCTCGTATATATATATTATATATATATATGTAAATTACGAATACTTATGTCTCCATGTATTATGTATATATATTATATATAACCATATAAATCTCCATATTTAGAAACACTAGTGCGATAAGATCATAAGAAAATGGGTGTGGACCGATGTGGTAACGAGAAAATGAAGTTACTGATAGGTGCACGTCTTAAAATGGGACACATAACTTCGATCATAGAACGTATAATACAAAAAAAAAAATCATGATTTCTGTAGTTCCTTTTCAATGGGGGCCAATTCTCTTTTCGTTTTTGTCAACGAACAGTTTGTAACTGATGAAGGCACTGATTGATTTATTCTCCAACGTGTTATTTCCTTTTTTTTTTATAGGAAAAGGTATAGTATATTTTCTTGTCGAAAGGAAAAGTGATTTTAGTAAATTGTAATTATCAAAGTCACACTACAAAAATGATTTACCTTGGATTAGCAATCGCATGCATGATCAGTTGACAAAATGGCAAGTGATGAAAATATAAATAATACTCCAATAGAATGCAATAAATAAAATATTTTACAGAACGCAGCATTAAATTTGCGAAGAATATTGGATTTTATTGGCCAAGTTCCCTTTTCTGGAATTAAATCCTTGTTTAAAATGTTTTTACCATAACTGGTATTGAACTTTTAATGAATTAGATAAACCAGAAGATATATATAATGTGGCAGTCGCACATGCTCACACATTTAGTCCTTTTAATTAACTCAACGCGTGATTAATGCTGATGTGAAAGAAAAATCGCGTTATTACTTCACAGATCTGATTTGATTTTGGTATATGTGACACCCTTTATTAAATGTACTATGGTCAAATGTAAATTATACTAATATGAGATCATAAAAAAAAACACGTTGACCTTTTTTGAAAAAATTATATGTATAAATATTTAAACACATAAAACTAGATGAATCAGAGTATAAAAAAATATACCTACAAGTTTGAACTACTAAACATAAATCAAGAAGTTTACACTTGAAAGATACAAAAAAATCAAGCAGTATTCCGTGTAAACTTCGGACTGATTTTTGTCGTTGTGGAGATGTTTAAATAATCTTAGGATTAATTATAAGACAGAAATAATCTATTTCGGTTCTCAGTTGCTGTACCGTAATAACTTTACATGTCCATCAATCAAGTCTTGATTTGTCTGTTACATTATTATCGTTTCTTTCAACATCAATGCGACTGGTGTATGTATAATTAGGGACAATTATTAAAACAAAACTTGGAAGCAGAGAGTTAGTTTACATGGGTAATGAATAATTAGTGGGTTTTATAATTAGGCTGCGTCGTAGAGGATTGCAACCGTTGGATCTCAAATGTGGACCTACTACCGACACTTCTGACTCATGCTTGGACTCCGAACACAAGACTTCGAATCTTAAAATTAATTTTGTTAGATTTATTCTTTTTTTTTTCCTTTAATTTTAAATAAAAGAACTCCCTCCAACTATAAGATCCAACGGTTGACATCACTCATAACCTTTACAGCTAAATCTGAATCTCCACCGTCCGATTCACATTCATCATCTTCCTTCTTCTTCTTCCTTCCTTTGCTCTCACTCTCAGATCTCAAAAACCCCAACAAAGATACAAAAAAAAAACAAAAACTTTTTCTCTCTAGAAGAAGAAAGAGAGAAACTTTCCTATTACCATTTTACCCCTAACATAAAAAATGGTAGAAGCTCAATCATGGACGACGCGGCGGATGAGCAATCCGAGATTCGACGCCGCCGCAACCGCCGCACCAACAGTCGTCGACATCCCCGAAACACCTCCACACTCTTCCTCTTCATCCACCGGAAAATCCTTCTTCCTCTCCTCACCCACCGTATCTCCGACCATTCTCACGGCGGCGATAATCGCCGCCTGGTTCGGCTCCAACATAGGAGTCCTCCTCCTTAACAAATACCTCCTCTTCTACTACGGTTTCCGCTACCCAATCTTCCTTACCATGACTCACATGCTCTCCTGCGCCGCCTACAGCTCCGCCGTCATCAACATCGCCGGCATCGTGCCACGTCAGCACATACTCTCCCGCCGTCAGTTTTTGAAGATCCTCTCTCTCTCGGCGATCTTTTGCCTCTCCGTCGTCTGCGGCAACACTTCGCTCCGTTACATCCCCGTCTCTTTTAACCAAGCGATCGGAGCAACGACGCCTTTCTTCACCGCCGTGTTCTCTTTCCTCATCACCTGTAAAACTGAATCCACCGAAGTTTACTTAGCTCTCCTTCCCGTCGTCTCCGGCATAGTCCTCGCTTCTAACTCCGAACCTTCTTTTCATCTCTTTGGTTTCTTAATCTGCGTCGCTTCCACCGCCGGTAGAGCTCTTAAATCCGTCGTCCAGGTATAACAATTGACCTTAACCGGATTGGTTTTCTCGAAAATTTGAGTTCGGATCCGGTTTGATGTAATTATCGGTTTGTTTTGGTGTAATTGCAGGGGATTATTCTGACGTCTGAATCGGAGAAGCTACATTCAATGAATCTTCTGCTCTACATGGCTCCAATGGCGGCTTGTATCTTATTACCATTTACACTCTACATCGAAGGAAACGTATTGAGAATCTTAATCGAGAAGGCGAGGACTGATCCATTGATCATCTTCTTGCTCGCCGGGAATGCGACGGTGGCGTATTTAGTAAATTTGACGAATTTCTTGGTGACAAAGCACACGAGTGCTCTGACTCTGCAGGTTTTAGGCAACGGAAAAGCCGCCGTGGCCGCCGGAGTATCGGTTCTGATATTTAGGAATCCGGTGACGGTGATGGGAGTTGCCGGTTTCGGCGTCACGATTATGGGTGTGGTTCTCTATAGCGAAGCTAGGAAGAGATCCAAGTTGCTTAACCAGAAGTGAAAAAGTGAGTAAAGAAAGCTGGATTAAACCGGTGAAGTGATTTATACACGTTTTATTTTATTATTTTTCGGTTTAGTTTCTTGATTCTTTGGAATTCTGCTATTGTTTTGAACCGGTTTGGTTCGGTTTGAGAGGGGGAAAAATCAATTTAATTGTAAATGGTTGAGATTGATTGGGGGAAAACTATGAGATGAAAAAAGGGGATATATATATATATATATAATCATACATATGTAACAAAAGTGAAAAAGGTAGGGGGCAGAATTAAAAGAAATAAGATTGTATTCTTTCTTTACTTTTCTTTCAATTCTTCTCTTCTACTGTTACGTTTCATGATTTGTGTTACCAAAATAACCGAAACATAGTGGAAAAAAGATGAAAAAATAATAAATTTCTTTCTTCTGTTAGGCGGAATCGCATTGGCATATGGTTGGTTAAATTATTTCACTTTGTTTTCTTTTGGCAACTTGCTCATTCTTTTCTTTCCTTTAGGCAACTTGCTCATTATTATGATCTCGAGCTATACCATTTTGATATAAAAACCATTGAGCTTGGCTTAAGCGTTTGTTCTTTGTTACAAAATGGTGTGGTTTTTGTTTAAATGTTTTAATTATATATTACAGTATCTTGCGAACTTCTTAAGTACATATAATACACATATCATATTTGTTGTTTACTATAATTGACGAATCAGACTCTGAGACAACCAGAAATTAACCAGTATTAAATAGGTCTGATAAGATGTTGATGTTTTAGCTAATGTAGGTTAAGTTTATCATTAGGCTTTCTTGTCAAGGTGTCTTCCGAATATAGTTAACCTTTTAAGGTGGTAACACTACTTAATATTTTAGGCTTCTATATAATTAATAGTACTGTTATCTTACATGCTTCATTTCTTATAGAGTGTAAGTAATTCCAACTTGTTGCGGTTTCATTCTCATAATTGCATACATAAATCTAACGTGTTGGTTGGAAAACCAAATTTTCTTCAAGTGTTTATGTTATGTATTTGTTTTTATTTATTTATGAAGAAAGGTCCAAACTGTAAAGAGAAAATAAGAGGAGAGACAGAGAGTGACAGCTTATGTGAGTTTGTCTTTTGGTCCAATACATGCGAGGCTATTAATTGATTTCCTATCACTTTTGTATTCTTTTTGTGTCTTATTGATTCAAAGTTTTTTTGTTTGTCTAAAGGGAAAAGTAAAGCAATATAGGGACCAATTTCATGAAAACAAATCTCTTAGAAAAGCAGAAGAATATATGCTAGTCTTCTTTTGTTTTCACATATTTTTTGGTTGCTCCACTTTTCCAATACATTACGTTGTTTTAGTAATAATAGCAACTGCTTTTAAAATTTTAACTACGGGTATCATTTAGTAATTTTCACTTAGGTTGGTCATATTTTCATCCAAATTCAAATCGAGTTGAATGTAACTTGAGCGGTAAAAAATGATAATAAATTTAAAGTTGATAATGAATCATTTTTGGCTGTTAAATCCACTAAAAACATTTTTCATATCAACTTTAGAACCTTCTGTATAATTAATTATAGCAAGATTTAGAACATTTGTCATCGAAACTAAGAAAGAACCCGGTTCATCATAGGAAGGGCCAGACCAAAACTGATTTACCAACATGTGAAAAGATAAGATCTCGAGCTCTTGTTTCTTTTGCAATGAAGTTAGCACGATAGTGATTTAAAGATTGAAAGAGTGTCAATTATGTGTATTTCACTAGGCGAAGAACACTTGGTGCAACATAACATGTTTTCAATACTTACCAAAATAACTTCTCTTGACATCGAAAACCAATTTCTCCACTAACTTTCATCAATTTCCGAAAATATTTTGATCTTTAGTTCTTTACTAACTAATGCTGTAGGTTTTGCTAGGTTGGTTACGGCAACGAATTAGGTTGGTTACGGTTTGAATACATCTACTTAACCACCTGAAAAATTCACGTGGTAGTTGTTAATCGCTAAATCAGTTTAAATGCTGGTCAATCCGATCAAATTACTAGAAAAGAGTATGTGATCTTTTAAACCTGAGGAGTGAGGACTGCTCAGAAACTTTAAGATTTCGAAATATGTAGCAAACAAAAAGAGCAAACAGAAATAGAATCAAGTGTCAACTAAACCGACTCAAATTTTGTTTTGAAGACAAAAGAGCAAATAAGCAAAATGCATTTTGACTTTGGTTTGTATTTGAGTCCTGTGACTAATGGAACGGCCTCTATTTTTTTTTTTCTTTCTTTCATCGTCTCTCCTTTTCCAAGTTGTTGGGATCGAAACACTTTCACGAGAAACCTCAGATACTTTCCGGGAAAGTATTGGTTGACATACACCAGAAATCACACCATTCACCAAGCTTTCTTGTGATTTCTTCTCTTTAACCACAAACTTTTCTTTTAAACTTAAGTCCGTTGCATCTCTCTATATACATCAACATGTTTGCTCGCATAAGAGAGAAATATCTTCTCCTCTGTTTCAAGTATCGAACTTCTCAGATCAATGGAACAAAAGCAATTAACTTCTCGTTCCAATTTTGCTGACATCAATGAAGTTGGACCAGAAGAAGATGCAGAGCAAGAACCGCAACAGGAAGAGAACAACAGCAAGAGATTTGCCGGTAACAGAGGACCAAACCGAGGGAGACAGAGACCATACCGAGGTTTCAGCAGACAGGTGTCGCTAGAGACGGGTTTCTCGGTGCTCAACAGAGAATCTAGAGGAAGAGAGGACAAGAAGAGTTTACCAAGGAGTGGTCGTAGCTTCGCTGGCTTTGAAACAGGCGGAATCATCAACGGTGGAGATGGTCGGAAAGCAGATTTCAGTATGTTTAGGACCAAATCGACGCTCAGCAAACAAAACTCTCTCTTGCCTTCTATCATAAGGGAGAGAGACGTTGAGAATTCTTTAAGAAATGAAGATGGTGAGACCAAAGATGATTCTATAAATGAAAATGTTTCTGCAGGAAGATACTTTGCTGCTCTTAGAGGACCTGAACTAGATGAAGTCAAGGTAACAACTTCTTCTTCTTCTCCTCTCGTATTCTCTCTTCAGGTCAAAGCTTAGTGAGTTTCAATTGTATTCTCTATTTGCAGGACAATGAAGATATTCTGCTTCCAAAAGAAGAACAATGGCCGTTTCTTCTTAGGTTCCCAATTGGATGCTTCGGAATCTGTTTAGGACTTAGCAGTCAAGCTGTCTTGTGGCTTGCCCTAGCGAAAAGCCCCGCTACACACTTCCTACACGTCACACCATTGATTAACTTGATTGTATGGCTATTGTCACTCGTAGCCTTAGTCTCTGTCTCCTTCACTTACATACTCAAATGCATCTTCTACTTTGAAGCTGTGAAAAGAGAGTATTTTCATCCGGTTCGAGTTAACTTCTTCTTCGCTCCTTGGGTGGTTTGCATGTTTCTAGCCATCAGCGTACCTCCTGTGCTCTCATCAAATCGAAAATCTCTCCATCCGGCCATTTGGTGCGTTTTCATGGCTCCTTATTTCTTCCTCGAGCTAAAGATTTACGGGCAATGGCTTTCCGGAGGGAGAAGGCGACTCTGCAAAGTCGCAAACCCGTCTTCTCATCTTTCTATCGTAGGGAACTTCGTTGGGGCCATCTTAGCTTCAAAAGTTGGATGGAATGAAGTAGCTAAGTTTCTATGGGCAGTAGGTTTTGCACATTACTTGGTTGTGTTTGTAACACTGTATCAAAGACTTCCCACAAGTGAAGCTCTGCCTAAAGAGCTTCACCCTGTCTACTCTATGTTCATAGCTGCCCCTTCAGCAGCAAGTATCGCTTGGAACACAATCTATGGCCAATTCGACGGATGTTCAAGAACTTGCTTCTTCATTGCACTCTTCCTCTACATTTCCCTTGTAGTACGCATCAATTTCTTCACCGGGTTTAAGTAAGTCAATCTCAGGGTTTATACAATGTCTCGGTTTAATATGTATTGATGCAACTAATTGGCAAGCGGACTGTTGCAGGTTCTCAGTGGCGTGGTGGTCATATACCTTTCCTATGACAACAGCATCAGTAGCAACAATAAAGTATGCGGAGGCAGTACCTTGTTACCCTAGCCGGGCTTTAGCACTCACTCTTTCCTTCATTTCCTCGGCGATGGTCTGCGTTTTGTTTGTCTCTACGCTTCTCCACGCCTTTGTCTGGCGATCTTTGTTTCCAAACGATCTTGCAATCGCCATTACAAAGAAAAGACTTACCAAGGATAAGAAACCTTTCAAGAGAGCCTATGACTTGAAGCGCTGGAGCAAGCAGGCTCTGGCGAAGAAAATATCTGCAGAAAAAGATTTTGAAGCCGAGGACGACTCGCGTCACTGATGAAAAACAAAAAGGATCCTTGAGGTTGAAATTATAGTCGATGATAGTTAGCTATAGAGACAAAAGTAGATGAGCAAACTTATTGTATGTATTTCAAGACGCATGTTTAATAATAACATTACATCAACAATCCAGCACTCAAAATCACAATCACTCTCCAAAGCTAGCTGAAGAAGAGATTACACGAAAAGGAAATCACAGTGTGACACATATCAAACAGGCAAAGAAATGGTCCTTTGGTTTGCTAAGTTGTTCTGTGGTCGGAGGTCCCATGAAGCAGAATGTTGTGTTTCCTCAGGTTTAATAAAAGGCAGAGTGATCTCATTGATCATTAGTTCTCCACAGAACGGGCATTCGCTGGCAATAGCATCATCTAGCTCTGATCGAAGCTGTGTCACATTAAGGAAAAAATGTCAAGCCATTGATGTTAAAGAGAAATAGAAAGAAAAAAAAAATGAAACAAATGACCCTACCTTATCTGCAGTAGTTGTGTTAGACATGGGTTCATCAGATCGATTACTATCTCTGTCTCTCCGGGTTTCGCTACCAAGCAATGTCAGCTGCTTCTGCAGATCGAGTATGTGCTCTGCCTAAACCAATCCAAAAATGAAATCACTATTATAATATTGGTACATAAATCTCGAGATTATGTATTACTGAAAGCAGAACTAAGAACTACGGTACAGGAAGAGTAAATCTTTCCCATGGTAGTTTCATCATAACAAAAAATCTAGAACAACTGAATATGGCTAAAATTTGCAGTATCGAAAATGCAACGGTAAATAAGAGGGAACTCATAACAGGAAATCATGGTTTCAAGACTTACTTGCTCTTCGTGTGCACAGCTTGTGACGTGTGTGATCAGGCACTGTGCATGGAAAGAGTGCCCACAAGGAAAGACATAGAAAGGAGCCAGTGGTCCAGCTGAAGAATATCCCTGGGCCATTCTG